CGGGTCGAAGTTGCCCGGGTCGTCCTCGCTTATTGCCCGGCGGGTTGCGTTCGAGCCTCGAACAGAGTCCTCGAACCACGCTCATCAAACTTCGAGCAGCCCCGCAGCGACCAGTGGCAGACTCTTGGGCAAAACTTGCGCAAACGCGCGGCGATGTCGAATGCCTGGAACGTGCGAGCTCGGTGCAGGAGGTTGATATTAACTATGGAATGACTTCTGTCGAGAGTGACTTCCGAGGTCGTCCACTCTGGACCGGATCTGTCCAACAAGTCCACGTTTCGGTATACCTCGAAGAAAAGATCGGTCAGATAAAAATTGAATCCTGGCGGACCAGTCTACAAAGTTGATTATAAGAGTTTGTATCACTTACATACTACCTACGTTTCGGTGGAGCAACATGTTTACGCGAATCATTAGCGAATAACAAAACACTCGAGAGATAAATATAAACCGATTCTACGATTCTAAAAATAACATTTTTATCGATACAAAGTAAAATGAGTTGTCCAGGGTCATTGGAGACCCTGGATGTCTTGCCATGGTTGAAAAGCGGGAAAGTTCCATCACGGCGTATCCGCAGCCTGGCATTTCCGTTATTCCCCGAGCGGTGTGCAATTATCTGGTACTATTACCCCGTCTGCTAGCTATCGCGATGAAAGTGAATTATTCAGCAGCTGCTAATTAATTAGTATCGGTGGCGGAGGCATTGCGGGCACGCCGCGATATCATTTTCCCAGACGTTGGAACGTCCTCGTTAAAGTCACGACCAGCGGTGCGTTGTTCGCGACGTTTCCGGAGAATTTCCACGGAACACTTCCACGTTGTCGCTATCGCTTAATCATTGTTAACAGCCGGCGGCGCTTCTCGCTTTCGGCACGGCCTTCGTCGACCCGCGGGACTTAAGAAGCTTACGAACTGTATAAGTAATAGACGCAGGTAAAACTTTCGTTCTGTTCTCGTTACGTCTCTTTATCTTCTTTTGCAACGTCCGCGCGGAGAACGAGAGTCGTTTCCGAGACCGATAGCTAAATCAAGCATTTAAGAACGTATTCTTCCATGAAACGTAGCATAATCAAGAACGTTTTTATTATCGAAGGAGTTTCCTTACACTCCACGTTTCGCCCGCGCCATTCATAAAATTTATGAACCGTACCAGTTGTAGTACACAATATTTTTCTTCATTTTACTTTTCAGCCGCTGGGGAAAAGCGATGATAACTCGATTGTAGAGCTATCGTCAAAGAATATTCAGATATTTAGTATTTGGAAAAATTCTTCCTCGAATTGAAGGGCGACTAGATACATTTTCATTCATGAATTCCAATCGCACGGTCTCACTTGTAAGTAACTCCAAGTCATTATGAACTGTATAAGTTACAACAGCTTTTCTTTTGGTCCTTCTGCGTCGTTCTATCTTCCTTTTCAACATCTGAGAAGAAAGAGAAAGTCGTTTAGTGACTACGATAACCGAGATCAAGCATCGAGAAACGTATTCCTCCATGAAATATAGTACGATCAGTGTTTTTATTTGCCAATTCCATGTTTCAACTATACCAAGCTATTCATAAAATTTATTTGTAAGTTATGACCTGCAATATTTTTCTTCTGATCCAGCTGCGTCTCTTTATTTTACTTTGTGGCGTTCGAGAAAAGAGCATGAGTTATAGAGAGATCAAGAAATAATAGGATTTGATCTCTGAAATATTGTGCGGTGAGTCCTTGAAAAATTGTCCGTCTTTCCCTAGAAAATATATATTTTTACTGGTATCTTTTACCTCCGTTTTTCTGCACTGTGAATGTATTCTTCCTTGAATAATTACAGGCAGCTTTTTCACTTATATCAGGCCATTCGCAAAATTTATGAACTGCACAAGTTCCAACTGGCGCTATTTTTCTTCTAATCCTGCCGTGTCACTTTATTTTATTTTATAAAGTCTGAAAAGAGAAAAGCTATCTTCGGAGCAAAAGCAGTCGTTGAACCAATGCTACTCCAAATTTCGGGCCAAAATTACCTCTGCGCTTTAAAAATTCAACAGCGCATCGCTTAGAGCTGGTAACCTTTTCATCTTGCAAAATATCCGATAACTCTGATGAATCTTTAACACCATCAAATTAATTTTAGCCTCTTTATAGCATGTCTGCATGTCACAAGTAAAAATTCTAGGACAGTAACTTTGATTAATTTTCTCCCGTTTCCGTTGTGACCCTCCATCTTAGTTTACAATGTTTGCGAAGGAAAAGTCATTTCTGAGAGTGATGTCGGGATCAAGAAGTAATTTAAGAGCAATGACGAAGTCGGTCTCCGAATGGTTGTATAGACAGTCTCCGAAGGACTATTCTGTCTTTGTTAGAAAAGTTTTTAGTTGTCCTAGTTGTGCTTGGTCCATTCTGAAGATTGTGCAAAGTCCAATAATTCCAACGAATCTTTGGCAATTCCAGCAAAAATTTTGCAAGCTTCTTATAACACGTTTACATGCTTCGTCTTAAAAATTGAAGGAATTTCTCGATGGTCGACAATTACCTACAACAAACAGAACTGTATGAAATATATTGAAAGTGAAGTAGATTATGTTGAAAAATAAAAGCAATTTAAAATTCAAAATCCTTGTATAAGCACCAGCTCCTATTAATTTTCTTCTGTTCCCATTAAGTCTACTTATCACATTCTGCAGCGTTTAAGAACAAAGCAGCATTTCTAAGAATGATATGGAGTATCAAGAGCTATGTCAGCATGATGTAAGAGCGATTCATCGAATGGCAGATTATGAATGAAGAATACTTGCGTATACTTGTTTAATAAGAATACTTTGGCATGATTAAAAACATTTCATTCGTATATTTATCTTATCTCGCATTATCTAAATACTGAGAATCATTTTTGGGAATGATAGCAGTTTCAAGAATTTGTTTTTAAGGATGTTGTGGCCAAAAGACTATCGAGTTTCTATCAGCAAAGATTTGATTATTAATTTCCTGCTGTCCTTTCTAAACTTTATAAATTCATAATGAGGTTCAAAAACAGCTGTCTTAATCTGTTTCTTCTGGAAGATGGATTGTAAAATAGGAACCGAGACCTTTCTGTCGTCAAAGGTTCAGTTATTTCAGTTCCCGTGTTCTACATTCACTGGATGAATCTTATAAAGGAATAATTCTATTACTATCTGAGCAAGCCAGCTAATTTTATTCTATTCCTCTGGCTCTTTATTTCGCCTTGACGTCTGTAAAAAATAAATTCGTCTCCGGTACAGCGGGGAACTAATTTTGGGGAAATTCGTGCCACCGGTTCTTTTCGAAGATTCTAAAACAAGCACAGAGAAATTTTACCAATTCAAACGTTCTACTTTTACATTCTGTTCGTCCCGGTTTCTTTTTGCAGCTTTACGAACTGTAAAGCAAGCAACAATTGCAACAAATTTCGTTCGACTCGCCGCCACGATACCCTTATCAGCGCGGTTTTGCAGCATACGCAAGCAGAAAATTATTTCCGACAAAGATACGGTCAAACGGTCGAAGACGAGAAACCAATTTAGATCGGCGTCGCGGAACTCCTTGCCCGGAAGGAAAATTTTTAATTAAAATCCAGGAGGAGCCTCTCCCCGCGGAAAATATTTGATTAAGTCAAAGTCTTTCTTGTTCCCCTTATCTGTTATCACGCCCGTGGAGAAAAAAAAGAAGCGGTTCGACCCAGTGGGAGTCGGTCTTTCAGTTCTTCGCTGACCAAAAAGGCGTAAAACGCGGAATAGAACGTTCATTGTTCTCTTGAAAATGACGATCCGCCAAATGAATTTCCTGCTCCGTTCTTGCGACTCCGCGCGATATTCTGCCGCTGAATGCATCAACGACTTCCCAGCGGGAGACGGTCGTTATCAAATCTGCACCGAGCGAGAATCGAAGCGCGCGGAATGCAAGAATGTGCAACGCCATGAGCTCGGATTCTCGCGTCAGGAAAAGGGAACAGTGGCACTGCTCTCGCGTGCACGCCGAAAGCAAATAGAAACGAATCGATAATGGTAAATCGTCTTATGTATTACGTACCCGATAAATAAACAGTCGGTTCTCGCGTGACTTCCGGGCTCCGTCGAGCCGTACGAAAAGAATAACAAATATGCACCGTGTTTACGAACCAATGATACGATGCAACAAGAAGCACATCTGCAGAAAAGAATACCACTTCCAAATTCATTTTTCTGGATAACGCAACCTGCTACGAGGAAATGTATCGTTTCGATTTATTTCGAGGATCGAATATATTTGTCGCCAGGTTTCGTGAATATTTAAAAAATAAATTCAGCTTTGTGTTTACTTCCGTGTATTCTACCCCACGAGACGGTAAAAAAGTTCAAAAGGAACTGTATGCCCCGAACGAACCGTTTTCTCACAAAAGACTGTTAAAGTTTTGACCAATTAGATCGCGCGTAACAGCCCTCGGGATCGAAACGCTTCCCCCACTCTGCGCGACGTATTTGGACGGAGCATGCGTGCATCGTGCGGGCTAATAGCGCGATACCAAGAGGGGGAGAAACCGCCTTCCGGGAACCATTCTACGCGATCTAATTGGTCGAAACTTTAACAAGCTTTTGTCAGAAAAGTACGTGCTTGCAATATGTACTTCCTTTTCAGTTTGTTACCTTTTTGTGGAGTAAAATATCTAGAAATAAAAATTAATTTGGATACAAAGGAATGGAAACATTTACAATTTAAAGTAGAGAATGAACACAGTTTTAATGAACTAATTAATGATAGCGTACTCGCGCATTATTTTCTTTCTGAGGGGATGATGCTACCGAACTCTGCCAGAAGGATCTACACATACAATCGTAATTTAAATTAAATACAGATATAACACTTTATATTACAAAAACATAACATCGCGCTTGTAAGCTGAAATAAGCCTCGTTTGAGGTGTCGAATGCTCGATAAAAGAAAAGATCACACCGTCGAAATGAAAAGTCATCGATAGCATCGCGTGTACGCAATAATCTTCGTCTTGTTCTGTTCCAGATACCGAACCTGGGCACAGGTCGTAGTCATGTGATTCCCCCGAAAAAAGAAGGCGACCTCTCATATTTGGTTGTGATTAGTCCCCCCTCCCCCGGTTAGGATCCCCGTCAGGCCTCTCTGCACTTCCGGCTGCGAAGATCGGGTGATGAGCTCAGGGTACAAGGTGACAAGCCCCGTCATAAAATGTTCCGTTTCAAGATTCGCATTCACACGTGCCAAGTGATACTGCTCACGTCGCTGGTATGGTTCCTCGTGGACGTGATGGTGCTGATGCTCTATTCGGACTGTATCGGAGGGTCCGGATGGGGTTGCACGGAGAACAACAAGCAGCAGACGTTGACGGAGGAGAGCCTGCCGCATCCGAAAGCGCTGAAGGAGGAACAGGTTCAGCCGACCGGCCATCAGAGCAAGAAACGTTACAAGCAGTCCGAGCTTCATTTCTGGAGGCCGGCGAAGGCCGTGCGCGAGCACAAGCGTAGTCCTGGCGAGATGGGCGCAGCAGTGCACATTTCGCCGGAGGACGAGGCCAGGCAACAGGAGCTCTTCAAGCTGAATCAGTTCAATATCATGGCCAGCGACATGATATCCTTGAATCGGTCCCTGAAAGACATCAGGCTCGAGGGATGCAAGACGAAGAAGCACAACAAGTACCTTCCGGACACCAGCATCGTCGTTGTGTTCCACAACGAGGCTTGGAGCACGTTGCTGAGGACCGTTTGGTCGGTCATAAACCGATCGCCCAGAACTTTGCTCAAGGAGATCATTCTGGTGGACGACAAAAGCGAACAAGGTGAAATATGACCTTACGCGTAAACTATTTGCGATAAGATAATATATTTGTTTAACTAGAAGAAGACAAATTCAGCCTCGTTCGTGTTACTTAATAATTACATAACGCTTGACCCGCAGATCACTTGAAGCAAGACTTGGAGGACTACGTAAAAACGTTACCCGTCCCTACGTATGTGTATCGTACCGAGAAAAGATCGGGCCTAATAAGAGCCAGACTGCTCGGGGCAAAGCACGTGAAGGGTCAAGTTATAACGTTCTTGGACGCGCACTGCGAGTGCACCGAAGGCTGGCTGGAACCCCTGCTTTCGAGGATCGCTGAAGACAGAACCACGGTTGTCTGCCCCATCATTGACGTAATCAGCGACGATACTTTCGAATATATTCCAGCCAGCGACATGACATGGGGTGGTTTCAATTGGAAACTAAACTTCAGATGGTAAGGAATTATTGATTATTTTCCTGAACTAAAGCTAAACCCGACTGTGTCTACTTGATAATTAATTGTCTTCTTATACAGCATTCGTTTATTACATTTTTAATCAATTGTACAATCGGTTTAACAATTGATTCGTCCAATTTTAATTGCAATTAAAACATTCGTTGTTGTTCGAGACAATTAACTCTTTTGTAATAATAAATGAACGAGGCAGAAACAAGCAGGAATTACTCGTTCTCCAATTAAATGAAACATTCATATGTACTCGACAAACAACATCTATTTGTGAATTTAGAACAATCGGTTACCGAGACTAAGCTTTATCAGTTATCAGAATAATACCAAATGTCTTGAACTTTCAAGGTACAGAGTAGCTCAAAGAGAAATGGACAGAAGATTAGGAGATAGAACTGCTCCCCTACGAACGCCGACAATGGCTGGCGGATTATTTTCTATCGATAAGGACTATTTTTACGAGTTGGGCGCGTACGACGAAGGCATGGACATTTGGGGCGGTGAAAATCTCGAAATGAGTTTCCGGGTGAGTATTAATTAACGACAACGTTTAATTTCTAATTAAAATTATTTAAAAAAATCGTGCAATTCCAAAGAAAACGCAAGCAAGCGAGAAATAATAAATGCAAAGTGTATAGTATTTGATTATTATTTTTTTAATACAGATTATGGTGGCTATAAAATTTACAGGTGATTCCCAGGAAAAATAAATATTGTTTACTTGAGAAAGCTCGAGTAAACATACTTTTTTGTTTGCTTTTTCAGCCGTTGTCTTCGTAGAAAGATTCTTTACAATAATGTTTTTCAGTCGTAGTTACATTGAGTTCTTTGTACGTCGAAATTGTAATACTGTAATGTAGCATTAACATCGTAGTTTACAAATTAATACTAGAACTTTCAGCCTGTGCGCTTTATCTGGTTGAAAATTGAAATTAATTTTCGTAATGTATACATAGAGTAATTTGTATTTAGTAAAACTAAAACGTGAACGCCTCTATGAGGGTCTAGTGTTAAATGGATAATTTTGTATTGGGATACTGGATGGTACAAAAGAAAAGCAAGATTTAAATTTTTTATTCCAATTAGAGGGTTTAACTATGAATACATTCACCTTCATTTGTGAAGTCATAAGTACCTTGTAGGTATGGCAATGCGGTGGGACGTTAGAAATCAGTCCATGTTCACATGTTGGACATGTATTCCGAGACAAGAGTCCATATACATTCCCTGGCGGTGTCAGCAAAGTAGTACTACACAATGCGGCTAGGGTGGCCGAAGTCTGGATGGATGAGTGGAGAGATTTTTACTATGCCATGAATCCAGGTTAGATAATAACGTGTTTAATTTCATTTTGTTTTTCTTTTGCTCTTACATGAATTCCATAAACTAACAACGTTGATTATTTAATAGGAAGTTAATTTTTAATCGTTCAATTTTGCTTCAGAAAAGTGTGCGATTATTGCAATTTTATAATAAGAAAATGGCTTTTCTACAAAAAGAAAATGCATAAGGTAAAATTGATTAGCCGTTTGATGCTTGTGCTCATATAGTGTTAATAAACTCTGACACAAAATACATTTGTATAGTGTTGGAATATATTTTAAAAAATGTATAGGTATGCATACATACTGGACGGGTATCTGATACAAGCTATGATATAATATTATTGATACAAAGAGAGAGCATATTACAACACATTATTTTCTTTTTATTTCTTCCTAGTTTGTTTCGTTTCAGTAATAACTACGTTACTATGTTCATTGCAATATGCAGGATGAAGCATTCAAAACAAACCACCTGAGTAACTTGTCTATTTTTGACTATAGGAAAATATACATTTGACTGATATACTTACTAAATCCGACATGTTTTCTCATAACAAATGTTACGTAAAATTACATACACAATGAACAAATTTCCATAAATTCTATTACAGTCGGCAATGCGTACAATAAACTAAACATTTCAAATATTAACACCCATAGTTATGTAGTTCGATCTATACTCGATTGTAAGATTAACTTTGAATGTATTTACTATTGTGACATTAACCACATTGTTTGTGCATCCACCATACAGTTTGATATTAACACGTGTGTTTCTACATAAGTATGTTATTATTACTACAAACATCACATACTTTTTCCCCAAATATTTTTACTGACACGTTTATACATGCAACATGGATTCTGGGATGTAGTTGTTATATTTAGCCATTGAATTTGATTTACAGGAATATAATTAATTTATTTTCATTTTTATACACTACAGTATAGTCTTAACCACTCATCCATCCAGCCGACTAACAAAATAAGTTTCTTTGCTTTTAGTTGATACATTTATAAACTATATTATAGGTACTGCAGAGGAGATCGAGATCCGTCTGAACAATTCTAAATCTAATGCATTAGCTCTTTTTCTTATCATGTTATGAACTCTTAATTGTAATTGCTAACATACTAACAGAACTGAGTTGGTTAGATATGGATGTGTGGTGGGACATTGGAAATCGCAACGTGCTCGCACGTCGGTCATGTATTCCGTAAATCAACACCATACACGTTCCCTGGTGGTACGAGCAAGATAGTGAACCACAACAATGCGCGACTCGCAGAGGTCTGGTTGGACCAGTGGAAGTACTTCTATTACAACATTAATCCAGGTAGCACTAACACCAGCATTTGGAAAACGAACAAACTGCAATGTCGCTGAGTCCTTATGTGTCTTTTATGTATTCTTCAGCTTATCTATCTAGCATGTTGTTTTTTTTTTTCTGTCGGGAGATTGGCATGCTTTTATAAGTTGCAAACGCTATAAGCTTCCTGCAGCCGGGTACCAGCCACATGTATATCAGATACCCGTTAACCACTGTATGTATGGGAAAATGATAAGAATACTCCGTTTGTTTCATGCATTTTTTAAATGAGAAAGTGTCACAACTAATAGATGAAACCCAAAGAAAGAGGATCGTAATATGTGAAATAAAAACTGATGTACTAAATTCGAAGTTTATGATCAATTTCGAAAGAAACGAAAATTTTTCTTTCCAATTTGACATCATAATAGAAGTTGCAGTACAGTAGCAGTTATTTCCAAGGGCAAGCATACAGCATTAATACACCACACATGGCAATTCCTTCATTTTAGCACATATTTCCGACACACTCTACTTTCAGTGAACAATTCATATATGCAAGCACATTATTGCATCACATAGATTTAAAAACTGTACAAATTAAGCGATGTTCAAATGATCATTTTACTTATAGGAGCTCGAAATGTAGCTGTTGGAGATGTATCTGAACGAGTTAAACTGCGAGAACGTCTCAAGTGTAAAAGCTTCAGGTGGTATTTGGAGAACATTTACCCTGAATCTCCAATGCCACTAGATTATTACTATTTGGGAGATGTACAAAATGTTGACACGCAATCTTGTTTAGACACTATGGGTAGAAGAACAGGAGAAAATGTTGGAATTAGCTATTGTCATGGATTGGGTGGTAATCAGGTCAGTAACGAAATTTGAAAACATGATTTTTTATCATTGTTTAGTGGCAGAAATGTATCCGTTCGACCATTATAAATTTTAACGAAAGTCTTTGCCTTTAGGTATTTGCTTATACTAAACGGCAGCAAATTATGTCCGATGATATGTGCCTTGATGCAGCTAGTCCCCAAGATTTTGTCAAAATAGTAAGATGCCATGGTATGGGTGGAAATCAAGCATGGGTTTATAATGAGGAGGTATGGTAGAAATATGAATTTAGATTAAATAAATCAGCGTTTCTTAAACTGGATTATAACGACGACGTAAATGTTGTCCTTTTGATAAACGCATTTATCTTTTTATAGACAAAGATGATCAAACACACTAATACTGGGCATTGTTTGTCGAAACCTCGCCCGAACGATGTATTACAACCTGTTCTATTACCATGCGAATCTCGTAACATTGGCCAGAAATGGATTATGCGTAGTAAATTCAAATGGCAAGCCAGCTAATACCAACTAACTTCTAAATGCAACAACTGTGTGTAACACTTGTTGTCGTATTTAATATACTACAATCAAGAGCTAACAGTCGAGAGAGACTTCTCTACATGCAAGATCAAGACAGAAAATAGTATTATATTCCATAAACTCTAGTATCATCTTTCGTCGATCCACTAAATATCAACGGTATCGGCAGTGCGACAAAAATTGACTTATACCTTAAAACTGAGAAATCGAAGTTAATGCTTTTAGTTATATAAGATTTATTTACTGTTAATAGCAGTATCGTGTATTTACTGCCATTTTTCATGGTATGCCTTGATTACTAATACACAAGAGTGTTGAAGAAAAAAAAATATTTCCAACTGTGAGTGAATGTATACAAGTGATACGAAGAGACATGTATGTGAACACTTTTTTTTAGTAAACAGTAGAGAGGAAAGCATATCAGACCACTGTTATAAATAAATCATTATTAATACAAAAGAAGAGAGACATATTTGATAATATGGGATGAGTGCAATGCTGGATGACTGCAAGATATATCAGTGTGGTAAACCACAGATATGTTTGTGACATAAATGTCACCATTATGATGGAGTGAATGTTTGAATGCAAGTGAAATTATTGTGACACTACTGGTTACGATTTAGGACTTATACTGTACAAGTTTCTAGCAATTAGGGAAGAGCACTGAATCTTTTTATACTGATATTTCTAACAGTTCCTTGCTGCATCTCGTTCGTATAATTTAGTTGTTATTTTCTTCTTATTTGTTTGGAAGGAGAAATGTACTTATACTTGAATTCGCCATAGCAATATGAGATTACATTTACGAAATATCGTTTAAGAATATGAAGAACTATCGACTGTTATTCAATGTAATGTTATATTTTAAATACTTTCTTAAATTCAAGACAGAGTGTCTTCCGTATATTCTTAAAACAAAAATGCAAAATATTTTTATGATATTCCTACTATCTTGCATAGTTACAATTCTTAATGGATTCAGACTCTTTTTATCTTCTACGTACTAGAAATATGCCGAAAGTTTTAGAGTGCAATATACTTGTTGAGTGAGACACATAGAGAACAGTTTCCTGTAAGTAATGTAAAAATGTTGTTATTAGATTCTGGCGCCCTTCCCTTATATTACAGTAGATTCGAGTTGATAATTTTTTCACAGTCCAAGAAAAAAAAAAGACGATCGACGAAGTGAAATACTTTGTCTGGAAAATGTTGACTGATAATTAAACGCATTTGCAGTTGAGAAAAAGTATAGCTGATTCTGTAACTTTCAATACGAACATAAAAACTACATTTATAATATTTAAAGTATATTATACACGATTCTAAAATTTCAATTTAGGACAATTCTAATGGCAAAGAATATACTCAATTTTATGTTACTTGAAGGAATGGTGATGGTGCAACAGATTATTGTTTACAGCATAATTATATATTTAATTATTCATGCAAAGCTATAGTATTTATTTTTGTACAGGACTATTTGATTTTTATTAAATCAATACATTATTTGAATGTACGTTGAATTAAGAATTGTATTAGCAAAATTTGTAGATAGTTGTTAGTTGTTTAAACTGATAAAGTTAAGTTTAAGTAAACTCAGAGTAAGTTCATAAACATAGAAAAAAATAAAGTCAATAATAATTTGTAAACACATTTTTAATCTCAAAATTTATCCATTGAAATTGCTTGTTATTAGTATATACATACTATTTTACTATTTACATTTTAATTTATTTTATCAGAATATTGTCCCAATTATTCATAAAAATTATTTGAAAAGTAGTCTTAAAATTTTTATTTTATACATAAATTTACGTATGTATACCAAAATACTATTTTGGTATAACGAAATAATTTTTTTCATAGTTTATAATAAAAAATTCACTCTGAAATTAATACAGCTTAAAAGACAATAACTATGTATGTTCCATTAGGTTCTTCTCTAATCATATTAATAATGTATATGTATAGTATTTAATCTTTATGATTAAATTAATACTTTCACATATTTTCTAAAATCTTAATACATTTTTAAGCATTAGTTAGCTTAATTAATTTAAAGAAAATGATATATGTCCATGTTTCATAAAACTTGCATACAAGGTAATCCATTATTAACCCAATTCTCTCACAGAGTGAAACTCGCTATACGAAATTGTAAAGAAAGAGATCGTGTATCTAATCCTAGTAAAATTTAATATATACATCAGAACTCTGAGAAAATGTGAATGTAAATAGATAAATTGGCTATGGTTTCAATGTGCCTCCAGAATAATTTTTAAATATACTTTCTAACTGAGGTAATAATAAAATTCTGACATATATATATATATACTATGAAATATTGCTTAAAACAATCTATGATTCTGATGTATCATATATTGAATTGTCAAAAACTTATTAAATTTAGAAAAAATTGTACATTGTGTTAATGTCACTCCTGTACTAAAATAATCCTTAAAAGGTCTATGTATATTTCTTGTTTAACTGATTGCAAATTTAAATGACATACAATTAAACAGCTATCAGTTTAATAAAGTTTTAAGCAATGAATTAGGGATTCAAATAAAGTGAAGTCCTGAAATATTATTACAATATATTTATTATATTTACTTATTGTTCTTTAACTTCACGCAATCTCCTGACAGCAGACCTAACAGATGCAGCAGCTGTTGTCGAATAAACCCATGCACCTCCTGCAACTGTCCTTTTACAACGTTTACATGACCAGATACCCACAACACTTCGCTTCATTGCATCCTGTTGTAAAATAAAAAAAATATAATTCACGAATCTTTTCACAATGTTAATAAACGCAAAGAATGAAGTACACATGCACAATGTAGTTCGGTAAACAAATTTGATGACTTCATCTTTGGTGAAAATTTTGGTCATTTTTATATTCAATGATCTTTACCTTGCCACAGAATGTACAGGTATATTTGCTGTGTTGGGTAATTTCCATCTTCTTAACCATTTTCCTAAGTGAGGCACCATATCGGGTACCATACTTTCCTGTGATTCCAACCTTCTTTGTACGCTTCGCCTGACAATCGTAAATAAAAATCATAAACTCAATGCACATGTAACAGTGAAGTAATAAAGTCGTTTGAAGTAACAAGACAGATAGACATTTCACAACAAAATTTAGTACTTATAAAATATACACTTTTTCTAACAATGCAAAATATTTCGAGCACTTGGTTGACACGTATAGATCAAGACAGCTAAGATTATTACGACACCATTGTTTCGATTTTCATAATTTTTAAAACTAATTAAATGCATCGCGATATTTAAATCGATAAAATAAGTGATAAATGTTTATTTTTTCGCGAAAATTAGACATAACCATAAAGCCACTATTTCGATGTAAAATGTTATTTAAAGCTAATATTATTGCACAATATATGTAGCAGTGTTTCGTTAACGATCATCTTCGACACATTACACTCAATTTTATCGATGTTTCGATGAGATTTACAAAATATTTCTCAATAACAATTCTTACCATTTTGTACAAATATAAGGTACTTTCCAAAAGAACCGGAAAAGGACAGAGACTGTAAAGTCCGATCTTCACCGCGCGCGCTAGGAAACCGGAAGCCGCGATGCAATGGCGCGTTCACGGGAAGCGCGAATTCAAATCGTATCGAACGAAAAGTGCAACCCACGGCGTTCTCATTCACGTGTCATTAACGGCAAGTAAACGCAACAAAATTGTACGTTATTCATCTCGCGAACGCCGACGAACAATCGAACGTCATTGTCGGTACCAAATTGAAATTCGCGCCGCGTTAAAATCGCATATATAAGACGAAGAAAGCGCGGGCCACGGTGAGTATGCAATCGCGGTACCGTCGAAAAATTTCCACGGGCAGGTAGTCGTGCGTATTGACCTCAATGCAGCACCGTTAGCTTTCAACGAGGGTGCACGTCGGTATCAGGATCACAGTTTGATCATAGCCGCGACGTAGAAAGGATTCGCGTGCAGTCGTGCATGAGAACACTCGTTAAACCGGCTTGAAATGACGTAGCAAGTGGATCCCAGACCAGCCAGACCCGTGCGCGTTAAATCAGTGTTGCTCATCGTCGGCGATACCCGGGACTAATAAATAGTCTATAGCGATTCACTGATCGCTTATCACTCCGCGGAACTCGCTAATCGTGGAACACGCACTGAAGAGGAGTGCAAACTTGTCAATTGATACGAGGGCGCCGGCTAACGATGGTCGTCAAAATCTACATATCGGGTATCAGCGGCAACAAGGAAGTGAGTGCGAAACACCCTTGGTGACCAACGAACATAATGATACTTTTTGTGAGAGCGCACATAGAGAGAGTGTGTATATGCGCGTGTGATTGCGCGTGTGTGCACGAATCGAGGAGAATGCCAGATTTACTGGGCACCTGAATTCTTGCGATATTTCACGGCTACTTCGGATCGGGTTACGTCGGGAACTCTTCGCGCGACCGTAGCGTCGATTGTTAATCAACGCTGTCACCGACCCTGCGGATCGTTATTCGATGCAACCACGCACATTACGGTCCCACGCGGTGAAACTCTTATCGTGATAATGATTCACGCATCTTTCGATCGCAGTTTTTATCTGATCAGATGCACTCGGTACCGCGGAAACGATATGTTAAACTCTCGGACGTCGACCGAGGCCCCGAGCGAACAATATGTTTTACGTAAAATCGAACGCGATACGTGTCCGTACGTCGACGGGAACGTTTGTGGGTATCATAGAAAGGAAGTGGAACAATATTTATGGAAAATAGAGCCGCGGTTCCTGGGTAATTGAACCTTTCGATGAATGTTTATGTTCGCTGTAGTATAGTATACGATAGAATGATAGGACGTTTGAAATAATTATTCTGCTAAATCTTAATAGCAATAGTAATTTCACTATTTCATTACCTAATGTCTTACACATTACTCTAACTGGTCATTAATATGTTATCATTTTGTCCCACTGTAATGAAATTTATGTTTTATAACACCATTGCATTTTTTTTTAGGTGAAGAAGAGGCAACAACGTGTTTTAATGATATTAGATAGTAAAAATGTAGAATATGAAACCATTGACATAACAGAACCAGGAAAAGAATTAGAGAAAGAATTTATGCAAACCAATGGTATTGCAAGAGAGAGTAAATATCCTTTACCTCCACAAATATTTAATGAAGAGGAATATTGTGGGGTAATTATGATTACATGAATTCTGATAATTAATAATTTAAAGCATAATAACTAATAATGTTGTCAACAAAAAGTAATTTTAGAACAAACTTTAAATTTTCAAAGTTTTAAACATGAAATGATTTGCATATTTCATGTTCGATCTATAAATGCTTATAATGAATCATCTTGCAGGATTATGAAGATTTCGATTTGGCAAATGAAACGGATGAATTAGAAGAATTTTTGAAAGTGGCGCCTCCTGCTAGTGCATCAGAAACTGCTCTTGACTCAAATCAGAGTAAGAATATCCAAGAAAATGGAAATACCACGAGTCGAGAAGTAAGTGTCTAATAATACCTTAAAAAATTGTCAAATACAATTGTGTTGTCTAGTTTAAGTAGCTTTAAGATTTTTCCATTTTTAATTGTTTTAGTTATGTTCATTCATCTGTGGTTTTGCCCTTGGCACTAAATTTATACTATACACATACTAACTACTACGTATTTATTTTAGCCTTCCACAGACAAAGATGCAACTGCAGTGCAAGCAGAAAGGTAAGTACTATAGACACACTGATTGCATAATTCTGTAATCGTTCATTTAAATTAGATAATAGCTATAACTGTAGATATACCTAAACAAAATTATTTAGCTTCGTTTATGTATGACCATTGCTTTAAAAATAAAAATTTTTTATTGGACAATTCAATCACTTCCTGGTTTTGTCATCTTAGTACAGAGGAAAGGACGACTTTGCCAAATGAAAGTGTAGAGCCGGCCGAATCTAAACCAGTAGAACACGATGGCGGGACAAATATTGCGACCGATGAAGTCGCGGAACATCCAAAGGACAATGTCGAAAAAAATGAAGAAAAATCCGACAACGAAGAGAAAGAAGAGTAGGCGTGTAAAATAATCCATACGATTTTGGGACGTTTTATATTTTTTTGACATCCTTGGTTTTCCACCAATAAGGGTATTTTATAAAAAGCTATATTTATCACATTTTTAAGGCTGAGTGAAGGTACTGCCAAGATAATATTTCTGCTCTGCAGAAGGTATATTGAATGAACAGTATAAATGAAATATAAGCGATACTTTTATAGAACTATTTTATATTGCGACCGAATATGTTTTCGCCAATAGATTCTTGATAGATCTGGCTAGAAGATATGAATTAACTTCATCTTTCTTCATATCGTTAATTAATATAATGTTTTTAATTTCGTATGCTGACATTTTGCAGTATTTATACGATATTTTATTATATTTAATTGCAATTCTAACGATGTACTAGAAGTAATAAATTTGCAATATTGTGATTGCTTTCTGTCCTTTTACTTGTTTAAAGTATACTGACAAGTTTAGGTAAATTTATCGTATTTTAAAATTATGTTTTATCGTTTCGTTTGAAATGTTATACTGAACTATTAATTTTCTAATTAAAATTTCAATTGCTTTAAGAGTTTTCTAGTAGCTTTCGTGTGTTTCTTCATGGTCTAAGATATATACTATTCGCTTACCATTTGTACTGAAAAATGACTTCCATAATATCAAATGTAGGTCATATTGACATCTCAAAAATTTTAGTCTCGTTCTTTTAGTTTTATACAAGCTTTTTAAGATTAGTGCTTCCTGTTGTGTAAGATAAATAAGTTCGGACAGTACAACACTCAGTTTTGCATAAAATGCAATTATTACAAAAGACGACACAAAATTAGTTATATTACAATTTTACCAATATCATACGCACTAACAATTCTTTATTGCCGAGTACATAGATCCTAAAATGATTCTTCATATTATTTCTAAGAAAGGTAGGATTAATTTAGAACAGATTTCTTAGTTTTGCATAATGTATCTGACAAAATTACATACTAATTTGTTATAATTACATTTATATCAACCCTATTCTTGTTATTATTAATATAATTCGTACAGATATTCCAGAAGAACTAAAAATAAAATATGCGTAGAGTAATCTATAGCAATAGCTCATTTCCTTTTTTCATGATGAAAATATTTACTTATAATTGTATAATTAAATATGAATTACCGAATTGTTGAAAATCTTGAACCCTGTTATCGAAGGCCTACTTATGAGCGTTTCTATAAAAATTAGTATCGATGAAACGCATTTTATCGGACCTGGTTACTTGTCGGAATAGCTTAAAATAATTTTAATTATTTTATACATACCGCTCAATGCTAATCAAATACTAAGCGGGTATTAATCACGAACAAATGGAAGCTTTATGCAAATGTTACGAACTGTTTTGATATAAGGCAAAATTAAATATAATACGAGAACTTCATGATACGATAATTGTACATGAGATAATAAGCCTGACTAATTTTAATATAGCGTACAGCAAGCTTTTTAATATCAAATATGTGCTACTAGAAACGAATTAGGAAGAAAATTATAAAGCTTTACCGAAGTAAATCGTGATGTCCATCGTGTTGTTATCATAGAACACTATATCCGTAAGAAATTGGTGTTGGACATGAACATTACAGTTAATAAATTTTAACATGATATATATTCAAAATATATATTTGCGAAAACAATATTCATTATACACGATGTATATGAATCATGCCGATCATTGTTACATGCATATAAGAATTTACTAATAAATATCATGAAAGAAGTTTAAATATCTGTTTAAATAACCCTGTACATATATTAATTTTTTAATATTAAATATTGAAATTATGCAAATACGAAGATCGACAAATTTTCATTTCAGGTATATTTGTCTTACAATGTGGTAAGTAATATATTATGAATACATTAACTCTTAAAGCACTATAATCTATATGTATATATTTTTTTTATACTTATATGTATAAAATTTTGTATCTCCCCCTAATGTTCAATAAATACTTTTCTTAGTTTTATATCTAGATTTTGTATTCTATTTTTAAATAAGTATCTATCTTTTGTACCAATAATTAAAGGACTAGGATTAATGTTAATACATGTAAAAACAAAATATCTACGTTTACGAGTATTTTCGTAATATCGCATGGAAGAACATACTTGCAAATGTACAAAGATTAGGCTTCATACAAATTTCGAGCATCGATTGGCTGTGTCTGAATTAAAGAAAAGTGTTTTTGTGTACCTATTATAATTCAGGGTTGTTTGTTCACCGAAATAAAACAAAATTCGGAGATCTACGTTGTCTGTACAACGTAAATTCTTCAAATATCTTTCCCTTGTATGTTTGCAGTCTCTCCTACGATGAATCGAGAACAGCCTGGAAACAATAATTTTCAAAGTGTTTTTGATACTTGTAGACGATCTATAACATAATTAATTACGATAAAATACAGGCTTTGAAACAATTTAAAGAAAATGCTTAGTTGTTAAGAAGCAAATTTTTTTTATATAATTTAAGAAGTATTTTTTGTTTATTTCAGGAACATTAGAAACAATATATTTAAATTATTTTGTAGATAATTGAGGTAGAAGTGGTAAAAAATTGTTATTACATTGCTTGAAATGGAAAAACGATAAACATTTATTTTTAAATAAAATAAAAAATAAAAAGCATATATTGGTTTTATGAAATTCTATTTATTTTAGATCATGTGTTAGGTAATTAGTGCTTGATGTGCATATTTATTCATATTTTTCAATGTATACAAATACAATATCTTTACGAAGTACACATCCATTTTGAATGCAAGAACTACTATTAAATATTAAAAAGTACTCTTGGGCAACTTACAGTGTAGTAAGTGTACAGATGTTGTTCGTAATAACAGACATTTATGTACACTCAAATGACATAATATAATGCACATAGTTCATATACGATTTCTAAAATCACAGTTCTAGATACTGTAATGCAGCTTTCTTATAGGCACATTGCAAGGTGAATTAACAATGGTATAGATATTTTAATATCTGAATTTTATATATTTTGTGATAAAAAAATGAAAAGAAAAATTTAGAATGAAGTTTAAATAAAAAATATAATAAGAAACATTATTTTAATATGTTATCATCGTACGCAAATCGAAAATTGTCTACTTGTAAAAGCTGCATAATCAATTCTAGATGTCATTCAACAATCACACAAAAAATTTAATTAATACAAATGGCAATAAGCTTCATCAAATTGTGGTTTAACATTTTTCATAGTTTGTATATTAGTATACACTTTAATAACATGTAATATTTATGAAATGGTCTTCAATGTAACACAAATTGCTGCTGTTTTAATCTGTTACTACTCATCGAAAATGAAAGCAATTAATGAGTACATTGATCATAATCAGACATTAGTCCAATATATGCATTTGAAAAATTATGATTTATTCTGTGTTGCATTTTACACTAAATATTGTACTTATTCACATACCATTAGTATGTATTAAAACAAATATAATTCGAGCTATTAATACATGACTAATTCAATAAAAACTAGAAGAAAAATTAAAATACTATAACCACCACCGAAGATAATGTTTGATATTGCAATTAGACGTTGAATGTTCTCATATTGTTCAATATATTGTAATAATTTCTTTTTATAGAAAAATTGATATTTCTACGAATATGTAAGACTGTTCGCATACATATTGAACAGCATTATATCAGAATTTTAGGAAATTGGTAGTTTAACATTTGATTGCAAGTTATCAACATAAAAAAACGGTCTTAAATACTTATTGAACAAATTATAGAATATATATTTACAAACAAAATATTTGTGTAAATTCAGATGTATAATTTTTAATATTACTAGTTTCGTTTAAGTATCTGTATAACAATTTTAACAAAAAGATTTATTTTAAGATACTATTTGCACCTGTAGAAGGAGTGCTGAATTAAACAGATTATATTTTTAAGTGTTGAATAAAAATTGTGCTTTGCCATTCAGACAATGAAATATTCTGCAATATTTTATGTTTCTCGTTATGATCATACCAAAAAATTAACAGTCATCAAAATATTATGCATACTTGGTTATGAAAATTCTCAAACACTGTAATTCATATTACAGATCTGTGTAATAATATGCTTACGAATTATCTTATTACTAACGATACAAAAAAAAAAAGACAAAAAAAATTGACCAAATTACTGTGAATTCATGCAATATTTGGAAACTCTATTCTTAATTACCCTTATAACTCCGCGAACTCAAACTTTACAAATGAAAAGTCTTGAGATCCTTAATATTTATATCACATATACATATACACTGATTATCAGTATATAACTGAAATTAAAAATGTTGGAATAAAATTTACTTGCAGTTTTTCAGTTGTTTTTATAACTGTAACAGGACTTATTTTCCTTTTTTTTTATTAGAACTGTGGCTTTGATAAATAAATATATGTGATACATATTTTAAGCAATATCTATTTGTCACATCTTTCACTTGATTTAATGCATGTTTTTTAATGGGAATACTTACTTTATCGCATTTGAAATTCACAGTTTACAATATGGAGAGTAAAAAATGGAAAAAAATTTGAACTGGCATATTATGCTGAAATGAGTAATCAGTCGAAATGCGACTGATTTACCTTGATTAAATAATAATAAACTATGTTACTTCCAGTCTTACACTAAGTACAGAAAATTAATCTATGGAAGGTTTACATGATTGTGTAAATACAAATATTCAAAATACTATCTCAAACACAGTTCTGTATTACAATATGGAAGTGAAAAGAAATTACATTCACATCACACACACTCGTACAAGCGTTGAAAGTAGAAGTTAAAACGTTACTTATTTTGTCTCGTATTAGAAGGTGGTATTAAGTTAGTAAGTAAAAAGTTATTAATTTCCATCATTTGAAAATTTATAATAAATTATGAAATGAAACTGCATGATAGAAGAAGCTGTAAAATGTTGGGGTAAATTTTTATAATGGCACATTCCACATAATTCAAATAAAGTATTATAAAAGTTAGTATATAATATATACAAAAGTAAATGCTTTTATGAAATTTGAAACAAATAATATGATACAGTATCGCCAATGCTGCATAGAACTCTTTAAATACGGGCATTTTGTACTAATACAAAATTATAAAGTTTATTTAACTTTCCTATAAGTATGTTAAAATTATTATGATCACAAATATAAATATACACGTTTATTAAAAAAAATATAAATAAATAAATATTATTATGCAAGATTTTACTTAGTTCATTATGCAACATTTTTATTACTATTATTATTTTATTAATATTAAAATGTATTAAGTAAATCTTGTACATAATTATTACATTTCAATTAAAGTAAATGTAATTTAATTAAAGATGTTAAGAAATTAGCAATAAAATGAAAGTTTAAGTACTGAGAATACAACATAAAAAATAATAATACAACAATGAATTCTAAATGAAAATTATACAAACAATTATATTGTGTTAAGTTTTTATCTTTTGTGTACTGAGTTTAATAACAGATAGAAACCAGTACCCAGCAATGCTACAGATAAGTTACCAACAGGTATCATTTTATAATGTTTCATTTCATAAAATGTATTATTCTGTATTTTATAATGTATTTTAATGCATCATGTTACCTTCCATTATTGATTTTCTGTTATTCTCTTATAATAAATTCTAATTTATTATACCATATACTAATAAAATTTAGTTAATCCGTACCAAAGTATTTTTGTCCAAAGTGATTTGGGGCTATACTATGAATCTCTGATGTCAAAATTTTCATCTGTAAAAGGAAATACAACTTAAATAACATTTATTAATTTCAAATGTTGCAATGATAATCAATTTCGGTAAAATTTGTAGAAAACAACTATGTGTGTTATGCAAGAAAGGGAATGAAAATTTAGTAAAACGATACAAAGTTGCTATTGCCTGTTTGTGTGTTATGCAATCAGAACATACCTGGGGAAAAGCAGCAACTAGAGATTTGGCTGCAATTGGTGTACAAAATAAATTTGATAAAATAATATTTTCTTCAAGTACATTATGTTCTTTTAGAACAGCTATTGCCTTTATCACAGTATTCCCAGTACCTTTAATTCAAAATAAAATACAATGAGATATTTTTTTTAATTATAAATATAAATTATATATTAATTCTGGCTGATAACTGTGATATATAATTTTACACTTACTCATTATAGGATACATTAACAACACTTTCCTCTCAGATATATCATCTGGAAATTTTGCATAAACTACCTTGGCTTCATGGGTATCCACATCACTTTCAACCAGTATCTTGCCAATTCTTATACTTCTACAACAATCCCTTAAACCCTAAAAGGAAAAATGCAATTAATACAACCTGTGAATTTAAATTCTCAATAATTGTAGAATTTACATTATACCTGTTCCATGGCTTCTCCACTTCTTACTATTGACACACCACAGTTTCCTTTTTGATATTTTAAACCATGGTATTTGGCACCTGTTGGTGTAGTTACCACACATTTGGAAAATGGTAGTTGATTTAAACTTTCTTCTATAACTAGCCTTATCTAAAAATTTGAAGATCAACTTGCAATAAATAAGATATAATTGTACGAATAAATCATAAATATTTATATTAAGAATTCATTGGTATCATTTCCAAAAATGTAAGATGAAAATTACAGAAGGTGAACAATTTTCTTATTCTATAATTATTTTCTCAAAATAATTCTGTGTACCGCGTGTATCTCGCTTCTTTCTATTAAATTGATTCCCTTTCCGTCTTTGCTGAGTCAAGTTTCGCTGAATTGCGGAAAAAGAGTGGGGATAAATCGTAAAAATTTAACCGTGCAATATTGTATAATGATACGAAGATACGAGACTATAGATATGATTCGTGAAAAACAAGAGACGAACACGAATAATTTTCCATTTCTTGTAAGACACATGTGCTTTCATAGAGTACGAGGACTTCTTGTTTAAAAATTCTTTCAGAATTACGTGACAACACGCCAAATAGTATTATTAAACGAAAATCAAACATGCTCACCAATCGATCAGCGTAGAACTTAAAATCGCTCCTCGTGGTGTTTCTGTAAAGAACGATACAACGTGTCATTTAATCGACTTAGTCAGGAATGATCGACACGATGCACTGGCATTATGTCAGCGTTTTTTATATTGAAAAAAAAAGAAAAACATGCTGTATACGCTGATTTTCACGGTTAATTTACTTACTTGTCCCGTAATATAGTCTGCAATTCTTTCACTTGATTGTTAGTCGGAAGAATTTTTAAATGTGGACCGTACAAGTCATTAGTACCATTACTCTCGCTCGATTTCTTTACAGCCGACGCTACATCTGTGCTACTCATCTCAGATTATTCTTCACGTGTGCAGACACCACTTTTTCAGACGTCGATCAAACTAAATCGAACAATACACGGCAGCGTGTACAACAAAACTGACGAGTACAATTGTCATTGATAAACTGACTACTAGAGAATATGCTTTCGCAGAAAAACTATATAATGATTTGGTGAAAAGATGGTTAGCAACATTGAGAGATTGAAATTGACTGTTGGCGCCTTCGGTGGAGATGCAACTACGTAATAGTACAGTTTTTATCATAAACATTGCATCGATGTATCTTTTACGCAATATCATAATTATATTAAATTTTAATTTCACATTGAAGAAGAAATATCATAAACTACGTCGTAATTGGACACTGGATGCCCCAATCATCTAGCTTGGAGAAATATTTCGAAACATGACTTTGTATCAGATAAGAGAAAGATCACAGAAGTATAGACTGTATATTCTTTTCCCTCAATATCGTTTCGAGTTTTGTAGATATTTCTACAAAAAACCACTTGAAGAAAAATATTTTTCATTGTGGACAGGTGAAGAAAATATCTTTGTAAAATATGTCTGCGTACTATGTTTTGCCGCCATATGACCATTTTACATTTATTTGGTTAGTTATTTATTATTTAGTTGGTATAATTATTTACTCCCATTCTCGTTCTTCATCGATTTCCCGAAGTTTCATGAAGTGCTGACCTGACGTAACATGTGGCTCATGCGGTAGGATATGTCAGCTTTCCCCACCATTCCGTTAAACGCTAAGGAAGTTCGTCGTTGCTAGTGTCGCCATCGATGCACTCAATTATGCCAAATCTGGCGACACTGGGCCGAGGGGTTTGGTGTTACGAATGATAATCGTTCGTACCTAATTTAATGAGACTTAAAAACTGTGTACACGATAATGTCTCATCCTTACAGAGCACGGGGATCGTATTCCCGGCGGAACAAATACGGTAAACAAAATTATGCAGATAATTTTGTGTAATATAATCAATAAATTCATAGAATTCATTGTTATTAAATTACATTTTATATATTCTGTGAGATTCTATTTTATAATTTTAATTCAGAAAGCTTCATACATTCATTGCAATCTATAATTTGATTGAATTTCATACTTGGGTTAGTTTTGACTTGTTGTGTTAATGTTTTGTAATGTAAGACATATATGCTTAGGAGATGGAGTTGAAAGTTCTCAATCTGGAAGCTCACATTTTGAACAGCATGGCCATGCAAGAGGCAGGGGTCAAGGGCATCCCCCTTGGCTAAAAGGCAAAGAAATAGGGCTCTATTACAAAAATAAATCTAAAGTGAAACGTGTACAAAAACAAACACGTGTTATTAAATTACCATTGAATATTCAACAGAAAATTGAATACGTGTTAGGAAACTCTACAGGTTTTTATGATAAATTGTATGACAATGAAGCATCAGCTGAAGATATCAATAGCAAAATTGAAAACAAATATACACATATTCATGATTCACACTTCAAGAGAAAGTTTCTAAACATAGTATCTGGTAACATACAGGAAAATCTAGCTAAAGCTTTATTTGTTGAACCCAGTATAAAGAAGGATAGTGATTTAGATGACAGATTACTAAAGGAATATGAATTAAAAGCATCCTTGGAAGAGTATGAACGTATGATGAAATTTCGTTTAAAACTGCCAACATATCACAAGAAATCAGAGATTTTACAATTGATCAAAGAAAATCAAGTTGTTGTAATAAGTGGAGAGACTGGTATGTTTTTTATTAATAGTTTTATACAAACTACTATAGTTTATTCTATTTAATTATCGCATATATGTATTTTATATGTATTTAGGCTGTGGAAAAACAACACAGATTGCCCAGTTTATACTTGATGATCAAATTGAAGATGGTAATGGCAGCACTACACGAATTATTTGTACTCAGCCTAGAAGGATATCTGCAATATCTGTTGCTGAAAGAGTTGCTGCTGAAAGAGGAGAAAAGCTTGGAAAATCTGTTGGGTTTCAAATTAGACTTGAAAAGTATGTTTTTATCATTCTATAATTATCTTGTATAATGAAATATTATATTATTTTTGTTTATGTATAGAGTCCTACCCAGAGATAGAGGAAGTATATTATTCTGTACTACTGCTATGCTATTGCAATTCATGCAAAGTGATCCAGCTTTAAAAAATTATTCTCATATAATATTAGATGAAATTCACGAACGCTCAATACAAAGTGACTTTATTATTGCTCTGTTGAAACTAATTATTCCTAAAGTATGTGCAATAAGATTATGTATAAATTTACATCTAAAGTTAAATCAAATCCTTTTTTCCTTTTAATATGAAAACCAATGTACTTCGTAGAGACCAGATTTAAAAGTCCTTCTCATGAGTGCAACACTTAATTCTGAAAGATTTTCAAAATATTATAATGATTGTCCCATGATTCATATACCAGGCTTTACTTACCCAGTGGAAACGTTTTATTTAGAAGATGTTTTATCAGTTACACAGTAAGTCCTCTGATTGCAGTCTTTATTATAAAGTAGGTAAAATAAAAAATTATAATATAAATTTATTTACAGATTTAAGTTTCCTGAACCACCTGCAATGCCACAAAATTTCAGGAAATATACCAAGAAGTATAAAAATGTTCAACATACAATGGACGAGTTTTCCGAAATCATAAATCCATACGCACGGCAACTTATAGCTGATGCAAGTATCATTTTTAGGCTTCTATATTTTTTTCGCACGATAATTTAATTGCGTTTGTTGTAATACAGAAAAAGTATCCAAAACATGTGACCGATCAACTGAAGAATCCTAATAGCGAAAAAATATCTTATGAACTTATAGAAGAGTTGATTGATCACATTTCTAGAACAAAAGATCCTGGAGCAATTTTAGTTTTTTTGCCTGGTATGATGGACATAATAAAATTACACAGACTAATGTTGGATAGCGGACGATATCCGCAAAGTAAGTACGTTTAATAGAAATGTACATTAAATGTAGGCCTTAGTATTATAACATTTGTTAAAAATTATTTACGATATATAGGCAAATACGTAATTTATCCTCTTCACTCTCGTATGCCAACGGTCGATCAAAGGCTTATATTTAAAGAACCGCCAGCAGGAGTTCGAAAAATAATCATTGCTACTTCTATTGCGGAGACTTCCATAACTATTGAAGACGTAGTATACGTCATTGACTGTGGCAGAACGAAGTTTTCTAAATTTGATTTGAATAAGAATATTCAAACTCTGTTACCCGAATGGGTATCGTTAGCTAATGCTAAACAAAGAAGAGGTCGAGCGGGCAGGTAAGATTAAATTAATTAAAAGAAATTGACTTTTGTATTTTTTGTAATATTTATTTTGATATTCGTATGTTCCTTTTAGAGTAAAACCTGGTTATTGCTATCATCTATATTCGAAAGCTAGAGAAATGACGTTCGATCAATATCCATTACCTGAGATGTTAAGAACTCGTTTAGAAGAAGTAATTTTGCAAATAAAAATTTTGCAATTAGGAAAGGCCAAATCTTTTCTAGCCAGCGTTATGGACCCGCCAAATTTAAAAACTATAGACTTATCTTTGGATCTACTAGGAATACTTAATGCATTAGATAACGACGAAAACCTGACTCCTTTAGGATATCATTTAGCACAATTGCCGCTTGATCCACGTACAGGTAATATCTCTACTCCGAAGTATAATATTTCTATCGATCATTCTTTTCACTAAAATTTGTTTTTACCAGGAAAAATGATTATATGGGCATCATTGTTTTCATGCGTGGAGCCAGTTTTCGCGATTGTAGCAAGTCTTACATTCAAAGACGCATTCTATTCTCCTCTAGGAAACGAGGATCAAGCAAAGCAAAAGAAACTTGAACTTACTTTGAATCAATACAGTGATCACGTTGCACTGGCCGAAGCTTTGAAGAGATTCGAGGCTGCGTACAAAAGGGGAAATGCTTCTTATTTTTGCAGAAAGTATTTTCTCTCTTTAAATACACTCAAACTTCTTTCCGAAATGAAAACTCAATTTGCTCAGTATTTGCACGAAATGAAATTTTTGGAAAGTGACAATCCAAGTGAGAGGAACGCTAATAGGAATTCTGACAATATTGCGTTAATAAAAGCAATAGTATCTGCTGGACTATACCCAAATGTTGCCATCATGAGGTACGTTTTTTCTCTTTTTTATTTTGTTTTTTATTTTTTAAATGTATTAAAACATAAGTTTCGAATTTGCCAAAGTAAAGAGTAATATAAATTTAGATTTTTAAACAATTTCAGGAGAATTACAAAAATGGGAACATCTTTGTGGACTCCAGAAGATGGTAACGTTTACATGCATCCGTCGAGTGTAAACGATAAAGTGGAACTTCCTAGTCCGTATATTACATATTATGTAAAACAAAAATCGTCGTCGATATATTTACATGACACCACATGTGTGACTGGACCAATTTTATTATTCGCGGCTCCCCATATGTGTATAAGTACGAAAAATTCATAGTTCTTTTATATGGCTTACATTATTTATGTTCACGTATCAATACCGTTAATTTTACAGAAAAAGAAAAAGGAAATTATTTGATTAGTTTAACAAGTTCTCAAAATTTTGCGTGTGATTTAAAAACCGCACAACTCATTCAGGTATAAAAAATAGAAACTTCGGTAGAGTAAAATTTATATTTAAAATATATTTTCATGTGCTTATCTAATTATAGAAATTACAAGAAGAATTTAACAATATGTTAGAGTATAAAATAACGCATCCAGGAACAGTATCTTGGAGTAGCCATGAAGGTGACCTACTAAAGTAAGTTTTGCTTTTTTTTAACATTTATTTTTCATTATTATATTAAGAAGCATTAATACTATTTATTGATTATAGTGTGATTATAGATTTTGTCTGCCAAAAAGATGAGGAAATGGGATTTTCCGAGTCTGATGTCAAAGATGAGAAAGATGATTTTTATGAACACAGCGAAACATAATTTAGTAATTTATTTTATGAATAATGTAATTACCTCAGCTAATGCTTTAGAGTATATCGAAATAACTTCAGTAAATTGGTCTTTCAAATCTCTTTTTAAATAACTTTGCAGAATAAATCACTAAATATATTTCAATAATACAATTCGTTAGTTTTCTCTACATTATAATAATGATTGTAAGTACAAGTAAATGCAAACAAAAGTATTATAAACTTTGTAATACAATTAGTAAATAAATTTTTAAAGTAATACATTTTCCCATTAGTTACTGATTACGAGCACCGAGATCCGCTAGGGAATATTCAGAGGCATTCTCGGCGTATCCGCGAGCCACCAGTTAGTTTCTGATGTACTAGTGTGACAAACGGACCAATAAAGACATTCGACCATACAATGTGTTTGTAGTAATTTCCTCCCAGTATTCGCACGTAGATTCGGTAGATTAGATATTTTTCTCCGTACAGTTGCATACGTGTTACGTGAAGTTTGTCCAATTGTTTAGATACAAGAACAAACCATGCGGTCGGCGTTTGGTTTGGTTTGGTTATTCAAAGTATAACACGTGTTATTGTCAAAATATAATTCTTTTTACATATAATTTGTACGTTCATGTGTTATTAATGCATGGGGCATATCATACCGAGTGTAATCGCCAGAAACATTAGTCCTTCGCGAGTCGAACGACAAAATGCAGATGAAATTAAATGCACGTCGACAGTCTACAAATATCGAAGTAATAGATGTAGACGATTTAGTTCTTACGAGAAAAGGTGGAGGTAGTATAATTGATCAACGACCACTCTTTTCTCACGATGGAGAGTAAGTATCAATTTAACAAATACAAGAATCTTGAGCTCTTCTGTTTGATAGTTTTGTTATTTCATTAAACAATTTATACCGTTACAGAACACTGTATATAGTATGGAAACATGTTGTGAGAGCTTATAGCACACAAACTGGAGATTTTGTAAGAGAATTAGAACCAGCAAATCATCGAATAGCAGGATTAATTGTACACCCTGAGAGTTCTAACAGTGTCATTGCTTGTACAGAAAATGGGGAATTAAATTTTTGGAGTTGTCAAAGCGGCATTATCACTAAAAAATTAGTATGAACATTAAATGTATTTTCTAAAACTATAAAATTATATCCTTGCTCAAAATGGCTGAATTTTTTTACATATATTTATCATCATTTTTTTTATTGTTTCTACAGAAATTAAAATTCCAAGAAGATCCAAGAGTAAAAACTTTTCATATTGTGAATTTTAAGAATCAAAAAGGGATTGAGTTACGCCAAGTACTTGTAACTTATATTTCCAAGTGTAATACAAAAATTTATGTAGCACTATTTGATCTAGATACTGGAATTTGTACAAAATCTACTTGTATATCGTAAGTGAAACATTTCAGAATTTTTTGTTAGCTATTTACATTAAGAATTCAAAATAATAATGATAAAAATACATTTATTGTTAAAATAATAATGTTTACCATTGATTATTGCAGAATTGACTCTCATGAATATTATGTTGATATTATTGGTAATCATGGGGAGAATTTGATAGCTATTCTTCATGATGTAGATTTACACATATTAAATCCATCAAGGAATCTTATTGATAAACAGTATGTAACATGTTGTAGTGAAACTATTTATTACTATAATAGAAATTAAATTTAGGAAATAAAATACTTAAATAATTAAATTTTATAATTATAGACACAAAACAGGAAAAACAGGTAGGATACCAACATGTATTGCTGGACATCCAGAAGAAGAATGTGTTGCCACAGGAGATTCATCTGGCCGTGTAGTAGTATGGAAGAGTTTGTTTCAAACCAGACCTTATACAGGAGTTTATCACTGGCACACATTACCAGTGACAGAAATAGCTTTCAGTAAATCAGGTAAAATATAGAAATTTCAATATTTGTTTAGACTTCAATATAATAATAGTTATATTTAAAAATAATTGTGGTCATTTTATCAAAATTACAGGTGGTCATATGTATACTGGTGGAGGAGAATGTGTGCTAGTTAAATGGGTTTTAGCAAACCCACAGCAGAAATCTTTTCTTCCTAGGTTACCAGCACCTATTAAACACCTTACTATTGCTCCAGACAATTTATATGTTGCTGTTTCCACCTTAGATAATGGTAATTGTGTTATTCAATGATCACTATAATATTACTTTGATTTCTTTTGTGTATACTAATAGTACTTTGCATTTGATGAAAATTGCAGGCATTGTAGTTGTAAATCCACAAAAGAAGTTGACATCTGTCATACAAAATTTCACTTGGGGTGTAGCTTTATCCTCTCAAGATTTATTTCCTGCTGGTCTTATCGTCGACCCACGTACAAATTGCCTCGTTTTAAATAGTCGTACTGGGCATGTTCAATTTTATAATACCCATACAAAAAATTTATTGTACAATGTGAGTAGTGTTATAAGGTCATATACAGCGCTCATCTAAATATTAATATACTTAAATATTGATAAAATTTTAGATAAATATTACAGCACAAAATTTTTTAACCCAAGAACGTAGTTTAATTATCGTAAACACGGAAGTTACAAAGATAGCTTTAAATCACGATGGCACGTGGATGGCAACTGTCGAGGAACGAAATGATAAATTATCGTGCATAGAAGTAAGGCTCAAGTTTTGGATGTTTGATGTCAAGCAGCAGTTGTAAGTATAAAATGCGAGTACAATCGCTCGAGTACTCAGTGTATACAAAATTTATACCGATTTGGTAGGTTCACATTGAACACATCGATCGAACTTCCTCACGATGGAGGTATCAATGCTTTACATTTCCAACCGTGCACCTCATTCGACGAAGACGAACCATTAGTAATTACGACTGGTGGTGATAAGAAATTCAAATTGTGGCATCTCGTTGAATCGTCATCGATGTACAGTACGTAAAATAGATGTATTTTATCAATAGCTGTGTTACAGTGAATTATTCTATTAAGTTTTAAGATAATATTTGTTCTAGAGAAACCAAAATATTGGCAGTGTCATAGTATAGGAGATTATAGAAATTTGTCTGTAACGGATGCTGGATTCTCGATAGATGGTTCATTAGTTGGTATTGGTTTTGATTCTAGCGTAACAATGTGGACGCCCGATACCTGCACGTTTAAATGTAGCCTTACGCATAGCCAATATCAATATCCAGTGACGTAAGTTCATAAAAAACTAACAACGACATCAATTACCGTAGTAACATTGACATTGCAATCTAAATTTTATTAGACGAATCGAATTTGGAAAACAAGAAGCCTGTCACCTCGTAGTAGCAGCTTCTACGCAACATATTGCCGTTTGGAATATTTTATCGCTCACTTTAATATGGAGCGTACCTTTGAAAGTTGCAACTCTTGCAGCTGATTCAAAATCTATGTACATGGCCGTTTTTACAACCAATAACTCGTGTAAGTTTACTTTCTCTGGAGAATACATTTAATTTTATTATCTTGTGCATACTAGTATGCTTGTTTATTTTAGTGTTTGTATTTACACCGCAAAGACCATGTCCCGTTTACACAAGAACGAATGTCATTGAAAACAATTGTTCTATCTTGGGAGCTACTTTCGTGCCACATCTGCAGGAGAAGCGGGATTCGTCTTATAGACCGTGGCAACGAAAGTCACAACTTTTCTTTTTGGATTCTAATCAAGTACGTTATACAATATTATCTGCATCACTCGTTTTAAACTATATCTATTTGCCCTAATCCGTCTATTTTTGTATATAGGAATTGTTGACACTGGAACCTGAATCCGAAGTGACAATTTTTCTTGAATCTTTATCCACAAGTGCTAACGTGCCCGCAACTGCCTTTGGTCGCATGATCGCAGCTAAAACTACGTCGACCAAAGAGGCAATGACTCCGTTCATGCACGAACAATTAAGCGTACCGGGGAAAGGAATGGTGGAAGAAGTAAGTGTCTTCAAATATATTTTATACAAATTTTTTCTTCTATAACGTGCAATTATAGTATAGCGAAACAGCTCAGAGTCCGACAGGTAAGTAAGTAATATTCATTTCAGAATACATGTGCGATAAAAAAAATAATTTTATTCTAAAACACATTCTCATCCTATAATAAGATTAAAGTGCATTTATATGTACAGTTTCCCACGTAACATAGTACAAAAATAATTAAGTAATTACAAAACATATAAGTATAAATAGCAACATAATAAAAGGCAGGCAAATTTGATTTATTGTTTTGGTCAAGAAAAGACACTTAACCCTACGTGGCTGGTATCAGGATATACTAAACAACGTATAGTTATCATTTTGAACATAAATCGTGTAACGTTATTTTTTCTAACGTTCATGTTCCAACGTATGCGTCCGCAAAGGGTTAAGTCATTAATTTTCTAAAAAGAAAAGACCGAGAATCCTCTTATTACTTCATTTGCTTCGTCCATTTAATTTACGCGATGCGGAAACTGAACATGAACATTGGGACTCTCACGAGTACAGTTTTGAAGTAAACGGATGCACCATGAAAAATTAAATTAAGAAGATTTATGGAAATGATATCGTTTATCAACTAGGTGTGGTTTCATATTATTTCAAAGTATCGCGACAAGTTTACTACGCGAGTTAAATAAATTTCAATATACGCAGTAGAACGTTGAGAACAGCTGGTCGATGGAATTTGGAGTAAAAGAATTTGTTGGTCGTTGTCCATCCGGGATTATGGCGGTTTTGTGTTCGTCAGTGTTTCCTTCCTAAACGGTAATTCCGACAGCGACGGACAAGATCGAATTTTCTGTAACGCAGACAGTGCCATTGCGGTATCTGCCTCATGTTCTCGATCGCCTGCAAGTTATACATCTTTACAACAATAATTGACGAGCCTTTAATGCTCTCTAACCCCCTGGGACTTAGAGGTCACTGATTGGTTATGGCGAAACAAGCTTGCCTATTCTGGCATACGAAATCCCGTTATTAGTTTAGTCTAGTAATCGGGGCCTGTTGTGACTTACTCCGTACCGTTTTGTACATTTTTCCAGAAGTCATAAATAATTTGGGTTACAGTGAATTAATAAAACTCGAGGAACGATCGCTGCGCAGCGTAGCGTAAATAAACTTAATCATCGCCCCGAGGCTAATTATAGTTGACATTATCCAAAAATGATACTCGCTAGCGTGAACTCTTTGTTTACAATATCGTGTACCACCTACAGTTCAATATGATTAGATATACCAATACAAGCGGAGGAAATAATTCACTTGTAAAGTCCACTTATGCTTGCAGTGTTATCATAAGCGTCCCACGTGTACGTGGCGAGGAAAGTATGAGTTTTATTTATACTTATTGATTCTGAGAATGCGCTGTGTTCCAACGGTTAAATTGCAAAATGTTTTTGGAGATACTAGTCACAACAATATTTCCATAATTAGTCTAGAGTTTCACTCGGGAGAGTGCTTTGTATCTATAAACAAATCTTTATCCGTTGTAACTCGAATATCAATGACCGAATTATGTAATCGCTAACAAAACTTGCGCAATCTTAACGATAACATTTCGTAAATGTTAGAACAGTCTGATCTGGTATGTTAATTTCTGGTATCTCAACGTTGTTATTTTTGTTTCTTTTAGAAGTACACCTTGATTTCCAGTTTTCTGGCCAACAGTATAACAGCCACGCTGACTCACTTTGCGCATCTTTCTAAGCTTGTCGCTATTCCTACTGTTACACAGTTTCTGCACGCTTAGTTCGCAGCGGGGAACGGAAGTTTGCGAGTCAAAGACCCCAACTTACAGACAGTCTACTCATTTACTATCAACACATGGCCAAGTTTGATGTCAAATGAATGTATTAATCGAGAGAAACGTAAAATTGATTTGTAGGTGGTACAGAACGAATCACGAAAGAAAAGATACTCACTATATCTGGATTGCTGGCAGGGTATCCGGACGTGGTAGCCGCCAGAAATAAGATAGCCACCAAGATGCACGACACAAAACTCCACGCCGTTAACTTCATGCCCGAAACTTTCTTCACCGAACGTAGGGAGGCTTACAGTTGTCTCCTTCGATTGGTACGCGCTTCAAAAATCAGAGAGCTGCTTCTTTCTTCGGACGTTTCCCTCGATGAAAAGTTTCAGGAGTTACCGCCGTATCTAGCGAGTATTCAAAAATTGTATCAATGAACAATTCCAAGTAGACTTTCGCAGAGGGTTATAGTATTCTTCTATTGCAAATATTCCATTTACTTTTTCTCTTCAAATGTGAAGGATACGTTGGCCGATAGACGCCGTTGAACCTTCGACAGGATTCAATCGCAGAGCGACGAGAAGTGTGCTCTTGCTCGATGGACCACCCGCCTGAGAAGCCAAAGGGGGAAGAGTTCCTTGCGTGTTCGAACGCTCGACGTAGGACTGACTTTGGGAAGTGGCCTCGCCATGATTTAATATAGGAGCTGCTTCACCGCACTCCCACCCTCTCACAGCGTTCCAGTTGTCCCTCTGACCTAGGGTATTGTCTTTGATGGAGAACCTTCGACACGCGTCACTCGAGGTATTATTTTCATCTTCACGGAAGTTGCGCGTGCGAAGTGACGTTGTTTTTGAACGGATCTTAAAAAATTTTCGCTTCCTACTAACGTAGCGAATGAAAGAACAAATTGTTACAATGCTTCCTAAGTAGCGCTCGTTTCTTTCGGGTCGAAAATAATGTTTGGTAATATCTGTGATCTTTTTTAATAGGAAAAAAGTTATAGGCTGAAATATAGCTTCCTCTTCGAGGCATATCAATTCAAGAAAATCTTAATCTACATGGGTGTGTCTGTCGTCCTTACTAGAATAATACCTAAGCACACAACTAGAATATCCTCGTTTCTAAAATCAGCAAATATTGTTACTTGCTGGACAATATTGATTCCCATCAAACATAATATTCCGTGAAATTGAATAAAGTGCAATTTCATATACATATATGCTATCCTTAGGGAAGTATTCTAGTTTAGGACTATAACTGGAACTACTTGTCGAACGTAGATATTATTTATAACGTTGGTTTGAAACTTTGGACAGTCTTCGTACACGTCTTACCAATTTACATAAATTTTATCACACAAAAATGCGAGATAGTTTTAAAGATGTAGGCTGCTTGCGCAACTATTGTAAAAAGAACCCTCGCGGTTGATATGACTTCGACACTCCCAGTAATCTGAACAAAAAGTATTTAAAAAATGCATCTTCATCTTCTTAAAAAATGTCGCATTGTCGAATGATTTCATTCCTTGAAGCTGTAATAGCCGCGTTTGTCATATCGAACAGTCATCGTTTTAATTCCTGGACTCATTACTCGTCCTTTAAATTCATATGGTGTCTTTGTAGGTATATTAATTGCTCACACAAAGTTTCAGTGTCGTACGTTGTAAACTTTTTCCAAATAAAAATTCCAAATATTACTCATTTTTCGACAAAGAAAACTTCTCAGATAAGAAAGTTTGTTTCTCATTCGAGGTAATAAGGGGTTCGCGATTATTCGAAGATACGGTGGGAGCAGTTACAAAAATAGAATGTCCGAGTCTTTCATGAACCCACGTGCGAATCGGTCGTCGCGAGTGTTCTCGGGAACAATAAAATCAACCCTGCAGTAGAGGTTTCGAAATTTCGTTGTACGATGCAAAATCAATACCGACAGTTCCCCTAGAAGTTGTTATCGCTGAAACATTCAACAAGTACACGGTTTGTCGGAACTTCGCGAGCATTGTGGTTGCTCAAATTACGGCGATAACATCAGCTCCTCTGAAAGTTAAATCTTGTCCCATTTGGAGACTGCCTTAGTCTGGAGGCTAAGCAAATTAAGGATCATCACCAGGGGCGGTCCTTAAGGCCGCACGATCGCTAATGATAGTATCATGAGGAACATGGACGCACCGTATAATTAATTTTAAACGATTGCCCGTATTGTGTCTACACGTTGCCTTCCATTATCTCGAGTCGTGTTATTAGTTTCTTGAATATACAAAAAATCTGATTATTTTGCTCTTTATAAATCGGTCTCGGCAATGAAAACAAATCTGTTAGTTGTAAGATACAAATGTATACATATTAAGAATTTAAATTATATTTATTTATTTCATTAGTTTAGTTTGCGTTATCATTATACATTATACATTATGCATGCCATTGTAGCGGCGGCAATGGAGCGCAAAGTGGTAAATTAGTGTCTTGAATCTGCTTATTGTAAGAAATATTGATGGATGTGTAACAGAAGACAGTGCGTTCTTTGATTCAAAGAAGACAAGATTCTTCGGTACCATAAATATAAAGCAAGTTCTCTTTATTGAGAAGTTTTTTAAGGGGTCTCATGACGTCATAAAGTTAAACGCCTCGACGTGTAATTACTTGCGTACATACGTTTACGCCGCTAGTGGCAGTAAACGGACATCCGTCAATTCGCCACTTTCGTTCTTACTTTACGAATTGCGTCAGTTCTTTGGAATTGTCAAGACTTGTTTACCACCTTATCTCCGTTTCTTTTTATGACCTATATTCTTACAAAGAGGAACGTTTTCCTTCTACGTCATCGCCTTCCAGCCAGACATTGAACAATTATTCCAACGAATAACCGCTGAAAGTTGTCTCATTTTTATCTAGACTTCAGCTGTCTCGATTATGCAAGCGCAGAAAAGAATTATTATTAATTTAATGTTTTACTCAACGTCGACAATCTTACTTAAGATTTACCGTGATGTTTCCCTCGATATTTCTTGACTCGCCTCGTTCGATCTCTATAAATACGGTAGAATGTGTGCCAGGCGAAGTTGGGTTTCAATTTTAATTAAGTTTTCGATACTTCGCCGAGATTAACAAACGATGACGAAGTTCCGTCAGCGCCCGAAGAATCAAACTTTCGATGGAACGTTCCCTTATTCAGTCTCGTTACGGTGTACAATGGAGAACGTAGTTTTCAACGTCGATACGGAATTGTTTGCAAATGTTTGTGTAAAATCAGGTCAGGACGAACCTGTTAGGAAGCTAGGAACAAAGTCTTATCTCCCCCGGGAACTCTCCTGATTGTTACGTTACCTATTAATAAAATGGTATTCTCCTCGTTAGAGCAAACATTGATTCTAGTTAGATTGTTCTGAAATAATCAGTTTTTCTTGCATATTACACGACACACTCTCTATTCTATTAAAGTGTCGTAGAAAGTATTTTTTTAAGGAATTAAAAAATATTAAAAAAATATTTGCATCTTTCTAAAGAACTTTTACTTATAATTTTTATACTTATATGCCTACAAAGTATAATCGTTTAAGTAGAAATCAAGAAAGAGATTTGGCGCGTACGCGTTCATCTTTCTTGGTAATGTTTCCGGTTTATTTTCTTCGCGCGCGCATCTCGGATGAGACACGCGTATTTCTCGTGATTTTCTGGCGAAAACTGGTGTATGCCGTGACAAAGATTCGCGTAGGCTGTAAGAGACGCGTCAACCTAGATCTGAAGTAGAAGATTACAGGAATTGCAGAAATTTTCGTTCGGGGGTGTGCCTGCGTCAGCCTTAAAACTAATTAACTAATGGGCCATCGTGAGAATCATGAGTGTGACTGAACCGAACACACTTCAAATTCATCGTACATCCTCTTTCATTCTTTTCTCAATATTGTTAAGGATAAACAGTAATAATCAAAACTATTTTAATCTATGGAACTATGTAAATTAATGTTAGCAACGTGTTTCAGCTCCTCAGCGTCTCGGCCCACACTTTACCGCCTATGAAAATGCTTTGTTCGTCTTTCATTGCCTCTTTATTGGTGTCATCGACATCGAAAGCACAGTCAGCGGATAACAAGCACGAAAGGTACTTTAATAAACGAAAAACTAAGTTGCTATTTTGTTATGAATCTGCGAGTTTATAGTTTCTTTTTTCATAGGGACGAGAGGATGAATGATGAAGAGGAGTCAGCGGACGAGAGTGAAGATGACTTCCCACGACGAATGAAACCTGAATCCACACCTGTCGTTGAAAACAATATTGCGAATGAAACAAAAACACAAGTCATCGACTGTGATTGGTCTTTCTTAGCGACCATACTTCCAGACCAGGAAAATATCGAACATTAATGATTGAGGAAATAGACGCCAAATATTTTCCCTTGAACGAGCCTCTGGGACTATGATTCAATTTTTTAACATTTTAAGAACCTAATGTCTGAAATGAATTCTTAGTAGCTCAATTATGTAACAAAAAGAAACGAACGATTATCCAAATTCTTTCGTGAAATAATTAAATGAATACGTATACAAGAAAATAGTCTCTTTGTACACTATTTATTACATGTTATTTGACAAATATAATATTTACATTCACACATAAATATTGTATATACATCACAACGTTGTGCAATAATATTTTAAAACGATATCATTATTTTTCAGCATCATGTCAGGTCACATATTGTTCGGTTCAATATTCAGACTTAGCCTAAAGACTCGTTTCAATGTTAGTAGGAAAACAAGAGAATAAAAATGATATTTTTAAACATTACGTTGGTTTTGGTAACTCTTCGAGTCGAAAACTGAGCTCGACCAATTCGGCAACAGTGTCACCCAATCTTTTACTGTATACGGGATCATTTTTCATGGCCTTGAGAACTATGTTCTTTCTATTTTGAAAGACGTAGTCGATGAAACGATCAGCCTCGTTCATAATCTGCGCACTCAAGTCCTCGTCCATCAACACAGTCTGATAATATATAGCTGCAGTGATCAAAGCACCTAATCGTTGTTCTTCCATTCCTTGCACTAACTCTGACCAAGATGGAACCTCTACGGAGATCGAATTCATTGAATTCAAGGTTTCACGCAGAACACTGTAATAATGTTTCAACATAGTCTCTTCCGACGCTTCTCTAAAACTACGATCGGTGCAAAGGTACAGGAACTGGGCCACGTCGTGTGCTAAGGGCGAATACCTCAACAATTGAAAGTCCACTAGCAAACACTTTGGCGGTATATCGTTACTAAACATGAGATTATTCCCCCACAGATCTCCATGACTGACCACGTTGTGTTTTGTAGGTGACATTTCTACGGCGTGATACACTTCCTTGCAAGTCGTTGGTATTAAACTAGCATCAAGACCAAGGTGTTCAGCGACAGCAACGATAGTTTCGATACCGACGTCGAACCATCTTCGAAGTTTCCCAGTGTGACAAAAAGAACTTTCCACGAAAGCATGAGGATACATCTCCTTAAAAGTCTTTCCAAGGCGCGCTTCTGCCAAAAGAGACGACGCGTGCATTCGTGCAATGGTCGTTAGACCGGAAACAGTAAGTTCCTTGGTGAACAATTTGTTCTTCATCGCGTAACCTTTAGCGCCTAAGTCGTCGAAGACCAGCAAATTATCCTTAATCAAGTAACAGGTTGAAACCCACGGCTCACATTTGTATTGGCGACGAAGTTCAGGAATTATGTCACGATAGAATATTCTTTCCTTGTCAAAGACACACTTCTCGATCATGTACTCAGTCTGAAGGGGTATGTCGTAAGGTATGGACTTGGCGAAGAAAGACAACGTTCGTTTTCCATTTTTGGTTTCAATTTCCACGGTGAGCCGTTTATGAGATCCCTGAAATCCAAGCTGTTTATTAGAGTACGGTTCCAACGAAAACTTCTGAACCTTTGCTTCACCGCCACACGAACTTTTTACTATATGTTGGACTTCTTGGAAAGTTAGCAAATTGTCAGAGACGTTCACACGAGAGCACACTTTGTTCAACTGTTCGGATGCAACTTGAACTTCCAGCTCTGACTTCGACATGGTTAAAGAAATAAAGATCACGGCACACGATCATCTTTATATAAGCGTCCTGCAGGAGACTTTTCTTTAGAATCCGTGCCTGCTTCCTTGTCAGTTTATTTACTGACAAAACACTTAGAAGATAAAGTTGCTGCAGCATAAAGGAATGGTACGCTAAACTTACGTGCCGGCTCGAATATGTGCAAAAATTTATTAGCATTTCCTTTGCTGGTTTATAGCATGTACTTTGCGTACATTCTAACGCGATACTTTTATAGTAGTCCGAGCGTTGTTGAAAAGTCCAAAACAAGTGCGTGCAGTATATCAATCTTTGACTATGTTTTTTAACACTCGAATCTGACAAGTGTGACTTTATGTTATCTCGTCTCGGCTAATAAATAACCAGTATGGTATCTCAAAAATACTTAAAATACTGACGCCCATAAATAGACCAAATGCACTTCCAACTGAAACTAGAGATAGCGTAATATGAATGGTGTATCTATGATAAAGTGAGAGTAGTATAATATAGCGTATTTCTTATTATGAATAAAGAATGTGTCTCTCCGATGAAGAGGCCTTTGTCGGTATTACACAACCAGCTGGCATTCAGTTCACAGAGGTAACCAATGCATGTAGCCATCTCTGCTGCATTAGACATCGTCGTCGACCAACAATAAGGGCCTCTTCATCGGCAGAGATTATTGATGTGATGTTTAAGTGGCTAGATTTGACTCCAGCCACTGGCATGAGAATAATTTCGGTAACTTTATATTATATTATAGAATATACATTATTGTCAAGTGTTTACCTACAACATCCAAGAGATCATTAGCTACGTATCGGCGATATCTCACTGTTGGATGCGATAATAACGTAACATGAAGCGTTGAATAAGAAGGGTTTGGAGATTCGTACTCAGGCTGTTCCCATCGATTTCTACGACATATAAAGATAGGCATTTTTGTAACTTTATTTTTCCTTCAAAATTTCGATATTTTTATTGCAAGAAATATATTTTCAGAATGTTTGTATGCCCGTCTGATAACTGTCTAACTGTTTGTTCCGTCAAAACTCCAAAACGGGTCAACATATTTTGGTAAAATTGTGTACACGCGTAGACGTCCTTCCGATTTACGGAATAAACAAATTTTCGTTTGAACTTAATGGCTGCAAAATAACGTAATAACGACAGCGAACGTGTTGAAATTGACCACCCTATAAATACAAACATTCGAATGAAAATCTAATTTCCGTATGGTTCATACGTGAGCAGTGACGTCCCGTCGCAATTTGGCAGACATTGTTTGTCTCTCATCGAGTAAGAGAGAATGTTCGTCTTATTGGCGATTATGCACAACATTTCGGTTCCGTTGCAAGCTCGTGCACCGCGCGGTATGAAATAATAAAAGTGCACGCAGCCGCAGAATGTTATCATCCGCTCTATGATTACCTGGCGAATCGTATAATAAATTATAGTTGATTGACGGTGAGACATGGAGCATTTTATTTACGGGAAATTAAATTCTAGACGCACCTCCAGATAACACGAGTCGCTGCTGTAAATGTCAAACAGACTGTTTTCCCGTTTCTCGTGCGAAAACCGACAATTCCGATGATTGATCGCGACTTTCTTTACACCGTCTTGGTTGACCGTGTCGTACATTATGAATTCCACGCGAGTCGTCTTGCCGATTTTCAAATGTATTGTGTCCTTCTCCACGTTGTTGATCGTTGGCAATTCGTAATTGTTGAAAAGGTGTACCTAGAGCATTTTATATAAAAACTTGTAAGACGTCTACATTAAAATACTAAAGAGATCAAAGAAAACTAGATACGCACTGTAAGCAGTCTGAGTAGCGATTTCGAGGTTGAATTTATATCAATAAAAAGATCGCCATATTGTACGGTTCGATTTATGAGATATTGTACGCTTGGTTTACCGTCGCTAGTCAGATGAAACGTATTCATAGCGAGGCAATAACCTATGCCAGTTTTTTTTAATTCTTGAAACTCGGCGCAGCAATTAAATTTCACGTTGTTCCACTCGCAGTCGACTAATAATTTTGTACACGGAAGTTTCATCTGCGGTAAATAATTTAAACATCGAATATTCAAAATATTTCTCGGCCGAGTAAACTTATTGAACTAAGAGAGATAACGTTCGATAACAAATTTGTTTATAATCTCTTAACTCGTTGCTTTACAATATCATTTCAGACTCGTCGTCCATGACAGATTAGGGATTCGTTTTGACGCAAGATAAATTTAGAGTCCGGCTATGACACATACCGTCTCATATTAAATCATATGGCAAGAGATTAATTGTATGATCTTGCAACAGACATGTAAAATATTATATACGTGGGATACAAACTCTGACCTGTTCGTAAGCGGACAAAAGTTCCTCCGCTGTTGTAGAAAGTAAATTCGGATTGGTATAATTTGCAAGCGCTCCTGGATTCCTTAAAAAATTTTACAAACATAAACGACGTCGATTCGCAAACAAATGGACATTTGGTAACGTAGCTCTAATATTTTACAATAAACAAAATAAAATGAAATTATTCGATCAAATAAATGTTAAGAATAAATTACTATTTTGCTCGTCTCTGCCGTTTAGCGGATCTTCCAAGATATACTCATATGTAGATTAGAATGAGATACTCTATGCGTACCATACACTTTAGAATACGTTACACACCTTTTGAAATAGTTGTTTGAAATCGTTTTAGACGAGGAAATGCAAAAAGCAACCGTAGGAAATGGTGTTACCCAATGAAGATACATGGTCTCCGCGGATACAGCGACGGGATACTCAATATAATTTATCAATGCGGATTTAATCATGTCCACGCAACCATACCAACACAGTACGCAGGCAATCAACCAAAAAAATCTGTGAACAGGGCACACTGAATGAAACGAATCGCGGAAATATTTATTCCTTTTCAGTGAGTTTTATTCAATACATTTTTACCTTTCCAGATACGAAAGCTGATCATCAACAAGATATCTGGCGCCATGAATGCTGCAATTACTTAAGTACTGTTTGATAATTTTCCAACACCAAATCAATCGCTTCCGCATCGTTCGTTTGCGCTTACAGACGGTATTTTCTAATACACTATCACGTATACCAACAGTTTTATTTTAACTGTCTTCATAGCCGAAGAAAAATCGATTCCTAGCGGTACACGTTACCTCATAAATTATACAGAGTTTGATTAAATCTTTCATTCTAGCCAATGTTTATTTAATATTTAATTCAATTTTTTACTTTTGAATTTTCCTACAGCCCTCCGCTGGCCTCTGCTGACCGCTGCTGACCACTCCTGATACTTCTACCAATGTACAACAATTACGACTAGCTACTGTCAGCCTTTCCCAGCCTCTGCTGGCCTCTGCTGACCACCGCTTATATTTCTGACAATGTATACCGATTGCTACTGACTTCTACCTGCCTTCGCTCGCCTCTGCTGACCGCTGCTGATTTCTAGATGCCTCTACTGGTTGCTAACTTGTGTTAACAGGTAATGTCATAAAACATTTTACCCAGTTATACTCCTTTTTACCTGAAGAATAAATTAAGGAGTACGAGGTACAAGATGTGGCTACATGTATTTTTTAATTTTCCTGCAGGCCCCCGCTGGCCTCTGCTGACCGCTGCTGACCACTCCTGATACTTCTGACAACGTATAACGATTATTACGAGCTACTGCCAACGTCTCCCAGCATCTGCTGGCCTCCTCTGACCACCGCTTATATTTCTGACAACGCACAACGATTACTAATGACTTCTGCCTGCCTCCGCTCGTCTCTGCTGACCGCTCCTGACCATTCCTGATACTTCTACCAACGTATAACAATTACGACTGGCTACTGTCAGCCTCTCCCAACCTCTGCTAGCCTCCTCTGACCACCGCTTATATTTCTGACAACTCACAACTATTACTAATGACTTCTGCCTGCCTCCGCTCGTCTCTGCTGACCGCTCCTGACCACTCCTGATACTTCCGACAACGTATAACGATTACTACGTGTTACTGCTTGCTCCTGCTGGTCTCTACATGTCTCTACATGCCTCTGCTGGCCCCTGCCAACATGTGCAGGCTTCTGCCTGCCTCTGCTGACCACACCTGATACTTCCGACAACGTATAACGATTGTTACTGGTTACTGCCAGCCTCTCCCAGCCTCTGTTGGCCTCTCCTGACCTCCGCTTATATTTCTGACAACGTATAACAATTACAACTGACTTCTGCCAACCTCCGCTGGCCTCCGCTGACCACCCCTGATGCTTCCGACAACGTGTGACGATTACTACATGTTACTGCTTGCCCCTGCTGGTCTCTGCTTGCCTCTGCAAGCCTCTGCTGGCCCCTGCTGAACACTGCTGACCACCATCGATGCTTCCGACAACGTGTGACGATTACTACATGTTACTGCTTGCCCCTGCTGGTCTCTACTTGCTTCTGCTGACCCCTGCTGGCCCCTACTGTCCCCTGCTGACCTCTGCTGACCCCTGCTGACCACTGCTGACCCTTGTTAACAACTTCTACCATGATATATATGTATTAAAACATTGTGTAATGTAAATTTATGGCAATAAATGTTATAATTTCAAGGAATTCTATGTGTTCTCATCATTTTTACCTTTCTTTTCCTCTCCGAATCATTCCCATAGTTATAAGATACGTGCCACCTCTTCCCATATCATGTCCTCCTGATAACAAAGTCTAAAATGAACCTAAAACCGCCACCGCCATACCTATCGTTTAAAAATTAACTTTAAAATTTTTCGTCAAAAAGTCCTGAAACAACTGGAAAGTCCTGAAACAACTGGAAAGCCCTGAAACAGCTGAAAAGTCCTGAAACAACGAAAAAGTCCTGAAACAACGAAAAAGCCCTGAAACAGCTGGAAAGTCCTGGAATTTCTTGGAACCCCTGAATTTTTAGCAAAGTTCTGAGTTTCAGGACTTTCCAGCTGTTTCAGGACTTTCCCGTTGTTTCAGGACTTCCCAATTGTTTCAGGACTTTTTGTTAAAGTTAATTTTTGATTTTGGCAGCAAGTATGAGAGCTGGACACTTTGGGAATCCAATTTTAACCGGAAAAACGGTCTCTTAAAACTAAGGCAATGATTTGGAGAGGAAAAGAAAGGTAAAAATGATGAGAAGACATAGAATTCTGTTAAATTATATCATTTATTGCCATAGATTTACATTATACAAGGCTTTAATACATATACATCATATCAGAAGTTGTCAGCAAAGATCAGCAGTGGTCAGCAGTGGTCAGCAGTGGTCAGCAGGGGTCAGCAGGGGCCAGCAGAGGCCAGCAGGGGGATGCAGAGGTAAGCAGAGACCAGCAGGGGCAAGCAGTAATCGTTACACGTTGTCAGAAGCATCAGGGGTGGTCAGCAGTGAGCAGCAGTGGGCAGCAGATACCAGCAGAGGCTGGGAGAGGCTGACAGTAGCCAGTCGTAATCGTTATAAGTTGTCAGAAGTATCAGGAGTGGTCGTATGCCGTTGTCGTAAGGTCGGATTTCAGTTGTGCAAGAACGAGAAGGCAATTGTGAGCCTTTCTCTCTCGACTCCCACGAGGCGGTCCGAAATTACTTCGGGTAGCTTCAGAGAATCGAAAAAGAGAGCATGAGTCAGTTTGCCTTTGTCGACTTTCCGGAACTCTACGAGCTCACGTACGCATGATCTTGCATAATGTGGGTAGTGCACCCGATGACCTGGCGTAACATGTGGCTCGTGTGGTAAGATATGTCGGTTTTCCCCACCACTCCGTTATCGCTAAGGAAGTTCGTCGTTACTAATGTCGACGTCGATGCACTCAATTATGTCAGATCTGACCACACTGGTCCGAGCCATGTTTGTTGTTATTTAAGCTCGACTTTCCTTCTTGATCTTAAACAGCTGAAGTTCGTCCTCGATTCGACACTGCAGTTCCCGCGTTTTTGGTGCACCCAGTACCGGATCTAATAACAATGACTCGAAGCATATGTTTGTGACGTTATTTGATGGCGCGTCGTAATTAATACTATTCAGCAATTGACAGAAGGGTGCAGTTATGGCATATCCGGTAATTATATACCTCCATCTCAGATCGAAAGTGCAGTTGTCATGAATAAGGCAAATTCCCATTTTTCACAGACTGTAAACTGAATGTATTATACGATTTTATTATAATTATTACAAAGTATATATTGCTTTAATTATTTAAGGTATGTTGTAGCTTTGTTTAGTTAGGCCTTGCTTATATTCTATTGTATAACATGTGTATTATGCATTGTTAGGCAGCAATGTATGGAGCAACTAATCCTCAATCTCAAGTAAATCCAGAAGTTCAACAATGGTTTGCTGCTGTTGACAGAGATGGTAGTGGAAGAATTAGTGCTACGGAATTAAAATCTGCACTGGCAAATGGTCAAGGAGGTACATTTTCAGACACTGCTTGCAATTTAATGATAGGTGGGTAATTAAAATTAACCTAAACAGTAATTACTATGCTTAAAAATGCCATAAAACTGTTTTTTTTTTCTGTTTCATAGGCATGTTTGATAAAGAAAAAAGTGGTACAATAGATTTGTTTGAGTTTCAAGCTCTTTACAATTACATTAATGCATGGCTGGGTGTCTTTCGTGGGTTTGATCATGATAATTCAGGAAGTATACAAGAAACTGAATTAAGTGCAGCATTAACACAAATGGGATATAGATTGAAACCAGAATTTATTTCATTCCTTATAAAAAAAAGTGATCCTGCTGGACATTCTTCTATAACTGTTGATCAGTTTATTGTATTATGTGTCCAGATTCAAAGGTTTACAGGTAGATAGATATTATATATTAAATACAGACATTTAAACATTTCTAAGATATGTGAAAGTAAAGAGGTGGTTTATGCAATGTTATCCTTTTTTGTTACAGATGCCTTTAGAGCAAGAGATACAGAGCAAACAGGAGAAATTACTATTGGATTTGAAGACTTTTTGGGTGTTGCACTTAATTGCAGCGTATAACACTTGCAATAACTTTCAATGATTTTAAAATGTTCAATTTAATTTTCTCAGGAACGCCTGAAGTTGATATAAATCGTATAAGTCAACTGTTCGCGGACCAGTCTGGTTAATAGGCCGGCCCGCAAACCGAGAAAAAGACATGGATCATTTAAAACTAAACCAGAAGAGTTTATTAAGTGTAGAAATGTTCAAAGTAAAGCATTTATTAAAGAACGAATTCGGAAGGAATGTTTTGACTTTAAGGTTGATTTAGATATAACGAAAAAGCAGTTTCTTAAGACGCTAACGATTGCAGAGAAGGTGAAGAGACCTCACAGAGAGGTGCCAGGTGTCCGTGATGTAATACCGGAACTAACACTTGAAAATCTGATTTATTTACGAGGACTGGAAGTTGAAATCATCAAGGATGACCAAAGAATAGTACAGTAGATCACCATGTTACAGGATAGAGCTAAGCTAGCGGAGACTCGTACGCGTACACCAGTCGCTTAACAGCTTGATCCAATCAATGATCCATATGTCGATAAAACGATTGAATATCAGACGCAAATAGTAGTCAGAAATTGTCGACTGTTCAACTTGAAACCTTTGAGTACTTGAAACAGTTGTTCATTAAATTAGGACGCAATTCCCGTGATACGTTTCACCATGAAAAATTTGCATGTGTGAATTGGAAATTAGATGCAAGGGCGTTCCTAAGGAAAGTTTAGTTGCGAAATTCGAGCTAATAGAATCACTGTGGCTTATTATTCGAACAATGCGGTTAGTGAACCTAGATTGATGGCCTCTATACTATTAGAAAGTAGCGGTTTTGACGATTATTTAAGCTACTATTTTCTATTTAAATTATCTCTATTTTAATCAAAATAAAAACACTAAAAATTAAACAAATTCGATCCTAATAGTCCCCCATCCTTTGGTACTTAAAAATGTCGCGGATTCTTAGAATTGTGATGTCACTTCCCAAAAATCCAGCCAATTAAAATTTTAACATCCTCTATACTATACATATGCTCATTCATAGGAATAATGAAAATAATTTCTTTTTTTTCAATAATGATTGATGATGAAACATGACCAGAGTGTCTTAAAACGCGTATTTCCGTGTAAATTCTTTTTCATTATGGACTTTGTTTATACGTAAGCGCTGATCCTACGTAACATGTAGCTCGTGCGATAAAATGTCGGTTTTCCCCACCATTCCGTTAAACGCTAAGGAAATTCGTCGTTTCTAGTATCGCCATCGATGTACTCAATTTCCTAGTTCTTCTCGCCTGGCATCAATGGTTACCGAATTTATTTCGTCTATTGTTTAGAATTGGAATATATTATTGTTCATTTGTTTTGTTGGTTTTATTGAGATGGAAGGTAATTAGCGAGTTTTGATACTTATAAAGTGTATATATGGTGTCCTGCCTTTTAATCTGTCTAAAAACCTTCTACTGTTTTCAGTAATGGCATCTGACGAGTGGTTACATGGTTGGATCGACGTCGAGAACGAATTATTTATATTTCGAAATATAAATGAAACGTATCAAGTTTCGAGATTATTTATACCACGTTGAAAAAGAAATGTAGCGAATGCTATGATTTAGACGATTATGTGTAAAAGGTATAAAAAAATTGTATTTGAAATTGTTTAAAAAGTTTTATCAGAAAACAAAATTTACCAAGTTCATACATGCACAGGTTTAATTATCTGTACAAGCGTATGTATAATACGAAATGAAACTCTGAACAACGAATTTAGAAATGAAACAAATGTTTATACTTCATTATTATAATTATGTAAGAGAAATTATTTAGATATCTACCGAAATGTATTTGAGCCTCAAATGACAGTGATATAAAATATTTTTTAATATACATCACATGGCAATTCATTATTTACTTTCTGAAATATGAAAGTAGAATATTATTTATAATTTAATTTTATAAGGATGCTGTAACTACTCGGTATAAACATGATTATTTATATGTTATATTTTAATGTTGTATGTATAATTTATAAGGCCAGGTATAATTATTACAGGATAATTATTTATTTTGAATAGATGCTTCGATGAACCATTAAACAATAGAATAAATGTTTGGAAGTATGTTCCAATGTTGTCCCGTGCTAGGGAAGCACAAGAAAGAATTCAGGAATTCAACAGATTAAAAAGAGCAAGGCATCTTCTTGATGCTATTTTTCTTATAAATGAATTAATTTCAGACGGTTCAGATGTGGAAGTGTTGAGTCTTGCTGGCACAATAATAAAGAGATTAAAAGTTTTAGGAGTGTATAATATACTAATGGGTAAGGCAAATATTTTTAACACAAGAATCTATGTAATCACTTATTGTTATTTGTACTTTTTTTTAATAATAAGCAATCTTTATAGAAAATTCTACAGAAGGTGCAAAAATATCAACATTACAGCCTCCTCACACTGGCATATATCATTGTTGTACATTTTGTTCAAGTGGTGGTAAAAAAGAAGCTGTCTGTGGCTGTGGAGGAACTATGCCTGGTAATATATATGTATAGTGCTTTAAATTACACAAATGTTTATTCTTATTCATTGTTGAAAACATAATTATTTAATTAAAGGAGGGTACAAAGGTTGTGGGCATGGTCACAATGAACATCCAGGTGTGAGTCATTGGTCTTGTTGTGGATCAATTTTACGACATGGACGCTGCTTGGCCCTCCAAAAACACATGCCTCAACTATTACTTTGATGCTATTGGTTTGAAATAAATTTTATTTTTCCATGAATACATATTATTATTTTTGTACATAAACCTTTATCGCATACCGATTGTAATACAAAATTACATCGTGGAATGCTATTGCGTATACATTTTATAAAAGTATTTGTTCCCAAAATCCTTGTCTTAGGTAATGGAATGATTTTTTATTTGATCATCACATTTCTTGTACAGAGTGTAATATAATGTTTTGTCACGGTTATCATTAATGTGATACACGCGTACAAATTTTTATTCTATATTTTATCAGTTACCGAACACTGTATTTAAAAAATGTAAAAGTAAACTCACTCAATCCATACATACACGCGTACGCCCGTGAATTTTCACCGATCTGAATGTGTAGAAACCCCTATGATAGCCACGAGAAAACATTTTTTTACACTCTGTACATATTACATAAATATTTAAATTGTACCTCAAATGACAGTCTCGTTATATTATTACCTTAATCTAACAGATTTTTACTTGTATCATCACATGACAATTCATACCTATTTAACATTTATACTAACAAGTCTTCTGTTTCAGAGCATTTTTGGCTGTTTCAGAAACTAATATATGCACATTTTCTATAATTGTAATAGCAAGTACAAAGTGCTAGAAGTTTAACATACCGATAATCTTTTGAAATGAAAGTATCTCTCATTTCTTCAAAGGAACCATTTAAAAACGCATCTCGGTCATACTGTGTCAGAAGCAGGTTCAAAAGTGTTTTCGCCCTTTGCAATATCGTTATCAAGTATAAAGCGACCCTTTTCCCAGCTCCAGCTGCATTCTCGCTTGCATGGCCTCTATGTCGAGTACTCCATATACACTCTTTGCATGTCACCTAAAGGGAAATACTCATTTGCTTATGAAATACCGCCGTTCGAACAGAAAATTATTATGTAACTGAGAGTTTCAATTATGAACCTGTTGGCATGCAATGCAATAAAACCGTAACGCGTGTGTAGGATGTTTCTGACAGAACGCAGTACGTCGTACTTTGGTAGCTTCCCAAATCGGCCTCGTTAAATGTTTCGATGGCTTTAATTCCATGGTAATTTGTTGCTGATGTTCCACCCCGCAATCTGAACAAAAATTGCGAAGGCACGTGGAACACTGAACGTGTGCCTTTGAATAATAAACAATTTGTATATTAGATGCATTGTATTGTACTTTTTTTTTATTTTTTTTTAATAATGTTAAGTGAGTTATAATACTTACGACAACTTCGTCCGTACAAGTGTCGCAAAGAACTCTGTTTGCAAGTCTGCAGCGTATAGCGTCCATAATTAAACGATGCTGAAGAGGATAATGCGGAGGCGGTACTGGCGAATTAGCGTTTGGTAATCGAAAATCGCATAGAGAGCACATTTCATAAAAATTATTAGCTCGATCTCGTGACTGCGAACTGTGCATCCTAATATCTTTCGAGGAATCACAGAGAGCTGTGCGATACGGGAAGAGATATATTTTGAATCGTGTTTTCATAATTGATCACATACTTTCCCATTAAAATGTTTAATTTCGGATTACGTACGTTTACTCATTAATTCTGAAACGCAAGGCGAACATATAGGATGCAAGCAAGGGAGAAGTCTCGGTTCTTGCATCCTTTTGCCGCATCTGGGACACCGGAAGTCGGCGCCCTCGACATTCTTAAGAGAAGAAAAGATTTCCTCCTCTGTGTATTCGTTACTTGCTCGATCTTTTATGTTATAAGACAATTCGGAAACATGTTGGTACATGGAATTTGTTCCATTTGTGTTCCAAGACAATGGCACTTTCGAATAATTGTCGTAACTAAATGAAAAGGAGCATACATATATGCGAATGATTCATTCCACTTTTCTCGTTCTTAGTGTATGCAAAATTAACGATTTAAACGTTACATCTATCTTTAGAATGTTTGATAATAATCGAAATATTACGCTATGCAGAATGGTATCTTGGAGGTTTGAGATTTACAATTTATGCAAATATAAAATAATCTTAAAATAGAACAGATTGTTGGTACACGAAGAAAATTAAAAATAGTTCTTACCGCTCGCTTGTAGCGAAACATGGTAGCTCCACGTTAGCGACTTTCTGTGTATCCGCAACTTTATTTCTTCGTTTAGGGAATGTACGATCTTTGCTATTAATTTCGTTCTCGTTTTCGCTATCCATCGACGTCGTCCTTTCGCCGCAACAATTCCTTATAGATTTATATTTGGAACATTTAACGCAATCCATGAAACACCATTAATCTGCCAAACTGGTTCGTAAATTAACAAAATTTGTTTACCTATTAATTAACTATATCGAAATGAATCGTTACAAAATTTGAACACGTTAATGGGTAAATTTGATATAAAATTCTGTTTTCGGTGAAATATATTAAAGAAGAAATATTTATTAGGTTTTACAGTATAAAATAATCGTAACAGCGAACTTACCGAATTACAGAAAAATATGTACCTTCTTGTAACACGCAGGGAAAGACTCATCGACGAATGTTACGAATACCGTTTGCACCACCTCGCGTTTGCCATAGCGTAATGAGTTAAAAATAACGTTAAAGCGGGCGCATGCGAAGCGAAATCGTGACTGTTTTGTACCAAATTCCAAATTGTGCCTGCCGCATATTCTATAGATTCACAATTAATAAAGAATCTCTGTACCAGATGGTATATGTTCGCCCGGGCACGAAAGTTCTAGGTAAAATTAATTTCCGCACTATCTACATGGATAGCAAATTTTATTATTTATCCATACACGTGTAAAAATAAGATCGATAATATACATATTAAAGAGCAAGTATTACATACAAAGGATATATGGATAAGGAATGATTACTATATATAAATACTAATTCCAATACTTTCTAAGGCCGTGATCAACCAAGTTCCATCATTGTGCTATGTTATCGTCTGTGTGTGTGTGTACAAACAATGGTGCATCTACATGTTTACATAATAAAAGCCTCAAATTCAAGTACACAATTCAAGTAGATACATGACATATTAACCATGGATAAGTTAAATAAGATGCAATGAAGCGAGCGTGTGCTCGTATCTCTCTAATCGGTACTTAAGTACATCTATTTCGTTCAAATTCTTTTTGTTCATCGTATGGATCATTAAATCATATTATTCGCGTTAGGTACGTACTTAAAATTACAGCCCTGTAAGTGACTAGTACTTTTACATTTTGGCCAAACGTTCACAAGTGTGCGTCGCTTAACGAGATCTTACGTTCTACATGTACATCCCTCGAACGTGCAATTAAATTACAACTTACTTAACGCACGTTCCAATTAGATGCTAACGCTTTTATCTGTTACCTCATGTTTTCACTCTAGAGCCCACTTTAATAAAACCATTTCGAGATTTACCGTTTCTAGCTTGATTGCTATTTTTCACCTTACGATGCTCGAACAAGACGTCGTCGGAATCCGTGGTCGATTCGGACAGTACCATTTTATGCGTTGAAACTGAAAAAAGAATTTCGTCGCTTTTAGTCACGCAGCATTGTCTCGAAATACGAGTAAACATAATGCACCGTACATGTGTTACTGTCATCTTCTGGTTCTGGTTGCAATAGAGAGTAATGTGGTGGTTTCTTTTTAGCCCGAAGCGAGCGTCGTTTTCCTGCGCACATTCTTTGGCATAGACAAACAAGACCCCAAATAAGGCCTACCCAGCACACGACCAGAGATAACAATGCTATTATCACGTAGAGAATGCTCCAGTCTGAAAAAAAAAATAATGTAGTATATGAACGAAAGTTGAAACATAACGTTTAAACTTATTATTAAAACTACTTATTTCGACATACCGCAATTGGAATCGCCATTGCCGAAATACTTCTGTATTAAATTTTGCATCCAAAATGCCTCGCACATGCATAATCTTGTTTCCTGATCGCATACTCCATGGCCTGTATAACAATAAATTTCAAATTTAAGTTAAGCAACGGTTACAATCCCCGCATAGTACGAAAAAATATTTACCCGAACAGTCATTTTGACACACGGCAGTGTCGATGTTTGCTACGGATAATTGAAGAAGTCCCGAATCCTGTCTAAGTTTCTGTTTCAATCGTTTGACTACCTCCGGTCCAGGCATAGTCGTCTTACCCCCTTTCTTCTCTACATAGAAAATTAACACTGCTCTACCCGTGTGCGGTTCTACTCTTAAATTTCGAACGACGATCGAAGCTTCGTCTCGTAGTAACATTTGTAGTTTTAACACTAATGAATTCTTTTGCGATACAGTCAACATGTTCGCGCCAATATTCAATATCAGTTCAACCAGATGCATTAATTGTGGATCTATAAAGAAAATAGAGTTGATAAAATTTACAATTCTCTTACAAATGTTGTTTTCTTCTTTTCTATAAATTACTTACCAGACTTCACTATCACAGACACAGTATCCTCGCTACTGAGTCCTTGGTCGTCTGTTACTTTCAATCTAAACAAGTATCTACCCGGAATGATATCGGTCAACTAAAATCGAAAAAGTATAAACATCACTAAGGTACTTGTTACGTATTAAAAGAACGTTCTGATCACAAGGAGTAAGTATAATTACCATTAAAATCGGTGATTTGTCCGTATTCTGAACTATAGTACCTATTGCAAGACTAGATGAATCTCTTGTCCACGTCCAATCGCTAATTTTTAAGTCGTCGGTTGACTGAGATCCATTAATAATCAGTACACTGACGGGTTCTACGACGACCTGGTCACCACCCGCGTTCGCTTTAGGAGGAGCATTTTTATCTATAAAATAAAATTAATGGCACATTAATTATGTTCTATATAAAATTGGGAATATTTAATATTCTTTTAAAGAACTCGGATAAAACTTCATACATACTTTGTGTAACTTTTAGTTTCACGGTGTCGGAGTCTTTGTTCCCATTATCATCGATCACAGTCAGTTTGAACTCATAGTCACCCTTTGTCAATTTTGTAACATTGGTAATTGATTCATTGACTGCAGAGAATTCGGCACTACTGGGACCACTGTTGAAAAAGTTTCTTGTTATTGTTGTATAAAAGAAATTAGATTGGCCAAACATCCGACAATTTGACTTACCTCACTTGCTCCCAATGGAAAGATACGATTTTAATATCGTCTTTGCTTTTTTGGCCATCGAGTACTGTTCTTGTTTCTGGTAGCGCTATGGTTATATCTTCACCTGCATCGGCTATACAAAATAAATTAAAACAACATATATATTTATACTAGAAACACGATTAAATATTAACAATGTATTTTTTACAGTTTTATAGTCACCTGTTGGCGGTTTATTTGTAGGTGGTTTCACGAACACGTGAACCTCGGCTGTAGAAGACTGTTGAGAGTCGTCTGTTACTTTTAGCACAAACGTATACATTCCCTCTTCCAAATTAGACAGTTGTAAATACGGCGTTCGTGTATTTTGCATATCCACTGCTTTGTTCTGATCAGAGGGACTTTTAGTCCACTCCCAGCTTGCTATACCGTGATCGTCTGAGCTCAAACTACCATTGAGAGTTAGTGTATTCTGAGGTAAATATATAATAATATCCTGCCCCGCATTTGCACTTGGCGGATAATTGGTTACTTTCAAAACCGTTATATTTGCGCTTGTAGAGTTTGTAATGTGATCGGAATCTTCGACGGTCAACCTAAACATACAATCATATTAAATTACTATTTATTTACAAAGTATACCGTCTAGTCTGCAACGTAAATTATAATACTAACTTAAAAGTATAATTGCCAGGAATAAGATTATCTAACTGTAACGTGGGTGTATCGACTAGATTAGGTTGATATCCAATGGGACCTTGTTGCAATTCCCAGTGATAAGAAATGACTCGATCATCGTCTTTGCTCGACGAACCGTCTAACACAGCTCCGGTATTTGGTAGTTTCACAACTTGCGAAGCAGGGGAAATTACGGCAATTGGCGCTTGATTTATTCTTTTGGCTGTAAATAATGCAAAGATCATTCTTAATTAATTTAAATACCGTTAATTGCAAAGTCATTACGAATAAAGTACAAGACTCTTACGCGGCAAGACGATGACATTTGCGTATGCTTCACCATAAGCATTTGGATTGTTCACAGTCACTTTAAATGTATATAAGCCCTTTGATAGATTACTTAATTTAACAGTCATGCGATTCTGATCAGTCATTATGCCAGTGTGGTTTTTTGGTTGGCCTAGAAGGCTCCAGGCATAATTGTAATGTTCATTTTCCTGCTCTGCAGGTACAGTGTAAGCAGACAATGTTACTTCGTTCTCTGGTAAGCGTACTTCCTTTGAAACTACAGAAACTAACAGCTGTTTCACAGGTGGTTTTATAGATGTACTGGAATCTTTTGAAATCTGTGCCTTTATTTGTGGTGTTACACCAAGTTCTATGTCTTCCACCAATGTACAAATTCCTATTATGATAAATATAAATCAGGAAATTATAGTTAACTGCATGAAATGAAATACAAACTATTTTTTACATGAAATAATATTAAACATACCTCCAATATTACGTTTAAATCCAACAGAGCATTGACAAACTCCAATATCAGATTTATCCTGATTTTTAATGCACAATTCGTTTTCCAAACAATTTGTCTGGGTGATGCAGCTCAATCCATTTGTTCCACCAAAAAGAATATCATCTCTTTCTCTAGCATCCGTAAATAATGTACTGGAAATATTAATTTCATTAGATGTTTGATACAAATTAACTAGTCTAAATTTGATTAAAATCAAATCTTACCCAGTATCGTCATTTATTTGAGCCAACAACTCATTCCATGCCTCATAATCTTCTACAGGTTTAACTAGAACCATGCTTGGTGGGCTTTCGTTTGCTAAATCTGCTCTATACAAAGGTACACATTTTTGTGAAGTTTCACATTGTACGTGATAACAAGTATCATTATGCATAAACGCCACGTTACAAGTGGGCTTGGTACAACACGTAGCGACGCAATGTTGCATGCCGGTCGAAGGCTGGCTAAGATATACTCCGCTGGAAAGATTTCCACGAGGTGTATAGCTCGTAAAAACTCTGGGATACAAATCGGGGCACAGCATTTGCCATTTTGTGTCCCAATCCGAATAATCGCCAATGCAATTGCCGAAAAATAATAAATACAATCCCAGATAAAAGATTTCAAACATCTTGTCTGAAAGCAGGACGAAATATTATGTTTTGTACAATAAAATTATACGCTTTACTATTTATTACGCGGAATATCCCTACCGTGTTATACGCACACTTTAGGATAAATAACAAACGTTGAAATTATCGTAGGAAATATTTCTGGTTATTTTATGAAACATCTGTGACCTTATGGATTGTTTCGCTATTAAACACCGACCGAAGACTGTCGAAGAATTGTCTCGATGGTATTAGCTCTGAGTGGTGTGTAGACGTACACGGCACGGGCTTATCATATATTAGCACCATGTTATTATCAACACCAGCAGCTAATCAACTATAGGGGCAATTATCATATTTCCTGCTAGACCGGAATAATGAAAGGTCGAGTAAGCAACGATAATGTTTCGATCGTTAATGGCACACTTTCACGATAAAAATCTATATCGTCGTTAATTGACACCATACGTCCATCAAATCCACGAAAACAATTTATTTGATCAGAGAACGCCACACGCTACTATCTTTCGACAACCAGCAGAGTACCAGCACCTCTATATAATCTACGCCCGACGAAAATATTTGCAGATGTCGACACCGGTAAAAACAATTGATAGCTAAATTGACGGTGAAATTTATGACATCGTACGCCACTGTGTAATATTTATTATATGTATTATACATCGTCGGATACGCTATCTTTAATATGAAAACGCTAGATTCCTTACACCATATTGATTATGTAAAGCAGACAGCTTGTGGATCCTATTATTCTGCTAATTGAATAATAATTATTGTTGGATGTATATACTTGTTATTTTGTAGCATTTATAATATCGATTATTTAGAAATTTACAAGTATTAAAAACACGTCATAGGTTTGAACCGCCAATTACCAATGACTACCATCATAATTAAAATATCTTCCAGACTAATGATTTTTCGTCAGAAGTCTAGTTGTATGCGGTTTCGAAGAACTTATCAAAGGGTTGGTTAATATAGTTTGTTCACGGGGTCGGGATATTTCCAATTTTCCCGCATCTAATGAGCAGAACGTACCGCGCAATATTGCTAGTGCTGCCGCCGACGAGTTATTCGCCAAGTTCTTTACTGCCATGTATTCAAACACCGGAAAGAGGTATGAGCGAGTCCCTCGGGTCTCGGGTTCGTCGTGGGTGGCCTGGGAGCGAGCGCAAGTTGTGTGTGGTCCGAGCGTTCGTACGCTGGATGAGGCTGTCGCGGGCGTAGAAGATGCAAGACGCTTTGTTCGAACGGAGCAGAGAGCTTTCTCCGTGGCAGAATATAATCGGAGTCTGGTCTTGATCGAAACGGTACAAAGGTACTATTTTTAATCGCAAAACACTTTCATTGTTTATCCCTGCACCGTACACGTGACAATTTGTTTTTAATCGGGCCGATAGCGTGCCGGGAAGTCCGCGCATTGTTTACGAGACGTTGCAACGAATTGTTGCCATAACGCAACACTATTCTGTTATTCGCTCGATATTAATAATCGCCGAAAGGGACGAGCTTTATTTTATTTTTATTTTTTTCAGATGATGCTCCTGCTGGTTTATAGTTTTCTAGTTGTTTACCGAGCGTCGTCGGAATTGACACACGGCTTTGCTGGCAATTCGAACAGTGAAAACAAAACATGGGAAAGCTTGGAGTTAAGTCCCATACACAGAATTAAGGATTCCAATTACCTGCTGGACAGGTATCCTATGGGAGAATTACCATCAGACTCCTTGAATTGTCATAGGCCAGCAAAATGTGTGGAGATGCAAAAGAGTACATGTATGGGCACAAGATTGACATATACTACCACTACATTGGATCTTATACCTGAACATGTGACTCAAGATATGATAGAGGTATGTTAAATTAATATATACAAGTACAATGCAATACTTATTACATTTACAAATATATTTCTTATGCATAAAGTTCAGAAAGTAAGACCTATGATAGTAAAAAGATATTTTTCTCTTTTGTGTCCATATACCTGGCTCCTCAGGTATAGAGGGACCCTATTTAAAGTCACCTCAGGTATTTCCTGTCCAGGCTATTGTCTCCAAATAATTTCTATATCTATATGGTGTTCCTATTTATTTTCTGTATCATTTAATGAAATAAACTTAAATTATAAATTATAATTCATTATAAAATAACATATATGTACACCTAAGGAAAAATAAAATATACATTTTTATCTGACACTGCTCTATTTTGTTTTACAGGAAAGATTGCATGTATTGCAAGCATTAAGACATATGCCAAAGTGTTGGGCAGTTGTTCAACCCCTGTTATGCTCAATATTTATGCCTAAATGTATCAATGATACGGTAGACCTGCCATCCCAAGAAATGTGCAAAATTGTTTCGGGACCCTGCAGAATTGTGTTCAACCACACAATATGGCCAAGCTTTGTTAAATGTGAAAATACAGAATTGTTTCCCAGATTATGCAAAAACGATATTCGAGATTTAAAGTTTAACATTTCGGGTAAGTGCCTGAAACCTCTAATCCCGACTGACAATGCACTTGCAATTTTTGAGGGAGTCGAAGGCTGTGGTACACAATGCAATGACCCATTTTTCACACCGGATGAGCACAAACAGATTCATTCTTTTATTGCTTGGGCTGCAGGAATTTGCGGCTCATTTAACTTGTTCACGGTTGTAAGTATCATATAAATAAATAAATATAATTCTCGTAATTTATTTATACACGTTGTTTGTATTTCAGATAACATTTCTAATCGATTGGAGAAGCGCGAATAAATATCCAGCTCTAGTTATATTCTATATAAATTGCTGTTTTATGGTATCCTGTATTGGATGGCTTGCTCAGTTTACACCAGGAAGTAGAGAAGTGATTGTATGTCGTAAAGACGGAACATTAAGAATGAGCGAACCAAGGTAGTTTACGATTATTTCATCCGTGTAATAAGCTTTTTTCGCATAAACGAAATTGTTATATCGATGTATTTTTAGCGGAGAAAACTTATCGTGCGTCGTTGTGTTCGTCCTTGTGTATTATTCTCTTCTGGCCGCGATGGTATGGTTTGTGATTCTCACGTATGCTTGGCACATGAGTTTTCAAGCGCTTGGAAAAATTCAAGATAGGATTGACAAAAAGGGTGCTTACTTTCATTTGATTGCTTGGTGTTTCCCGCTTGTTCTCACCGTCACCATTATGGCATTAGGGGAAATAGATGGGAACAGTGTCACTGGTATATGTTTTGTGGGTTATGCCAATCATGCAGTCAGAGCTTGGTTCTTGCTCGGCCCTGTGATGATTGTTTTATTGGTTGGAGGATATTTCTTGTCCAGAGGTATGTTACAAATCTCCATTCGTCTATTTACGTTTCCTCTATTTTATATAACGAAAATAATAAAACATATTTTTTTGTATGCTGTTCTAAAGACTATAGTCTGTAAGTACTTCCTTTTTCTGCGAATAACAATCGATAATGTCTCGAATACCGCTAATTCAATGTTAATTTAATCATGATCGTTTTCAGGATTGATCACTCTAATTCGATTGAAAATAACCAGCCAAGAAATTATATCCGAAAGGGCGAGTTCCAAAATACGAGAAACTATCGTTCGTATGGGTCTGTTCTCAATTTTCACTTTTACTGCGGTCGTAGTAACGTTTTACTGCCACATTTATGAGTTCCAACATTCTTGGGAATGGCGTCGGAGTTTTAGAAATTATATGATGTAAGAATCATGTCCATGATGTTAAAGACATTAAGCTGTTACGTTATTATACAATATTCTTTTTCTCGTGCATAGATGTGCAATAACGACGAAATATTTGGATATTTCCGAATGTAAAATGGAGGTTCGACCGAGCGCCGCTAAAATGCAATTGCATTTACTTTCACCATTTTTTGCTGGTATTCTAATGTCGTCATGGGTTTGGACTGGCTCGACCGTAGACACCTGGACGAGGTTTCTCAGACGGTAAAATTCCACATATTAATCTTGTTCCTTCGCTTGCATTCGATAACGTAGTTAATCACAGACAAATTTCTAACTGAATTTTTAATTCTTTTTTCCCCCCAGAACATTCAATTGCGAGACTGAAGAACCAATCAGATTAAAGAAGCACAAGGTGATCGCTCAAGCGTTCGCGAAACGGAAGATGTTCAACAACGCTGGCCGACTGTCCATCAGTTTCCACAACACTCACGAAGATCCGGTCGGCCTGAACTTCGATCTAAATTCCGTGGCCTCGCAGGACTTCAGTTCGACGTGGGCTGCCGCATTACCTAAGCTAGTTACACGCAGGTGCGCGCTCGTCGGCGCGACGACGGGTTCCGTCTCCAGCAACAGACGTAACTCCGTGGACTCTGAGATCAGTTTCAGCGTGCGTCGGGTGTCCGTAGAGTCCAGGAGGAACTCCTTAGATTCTCAGATATCCGTTCAAATAGCCGAGCTGAAGACAACGCGAAAGGTCGCGAGTACCTCGCGCGGCCGACGCGGCAAACGTCGACGAGACTTTGGGAAATCGAGATCGGGCAAGGTGGGTCCGTTGTTCAGGAGAGGCAGCACGACGTCTCAGGAGAGCCAACTTGGTGCTCAGATATTGTCAGCGTTGACTATAGGCGGCGGTGACGCAAGGGTACCAACGATTCAAGTGCCCAACATGAAAAGACGATCCGCGAATGCAGGTCTGGACGAGCGTACTTTGAACTCGAAACTGTTCGACGGGAAGAACGCGGGCATGCTTCTGCCGTTCTTGTTCCCGGCGCAGAGCGGCAGCGATGAGAATCTGACCAGCGAGGAGAAACAGGAGCAAGAAATGACGGGAAAGGACGCGGATATAGAGGGTGGCAACGTCGAGAAAGACGACCAAGACAGCGACACCGACGAGAGCGAGCCCGAGGAGAAGACGAAGATGTTGGAGCCCGACGAGCCCCACGAGCGCAGCAAAAGCAAGACGAGCAACAAGAGCTCCAAGAGTTACAGCCACGAGAGCGTCAGACGAAGCAGAGAGGGTCGTAAAAGTAAATACTTCCTCCAGGACGAGGCTATCCTGAAACACTTGTTTCAGGAATCCAGCGATCTCAAATTGAAAAACGACACCGATATCAAGGAGGCGTATAAAAAAGCTGGAATGGGAAATCTAGCGTCTAGTCTTAACTCTTGTTGCCCGGAACTGACGCGTCTGAAACAACCGGACGTGCAGATCGCCAACGCCCGTGAAATGGCGACGCAGACCTCGCTCCCGTTGGACATTTTGGAGATGGAGGAACTGAAGCAGAGCATAGACGAGATCATCAACAGCCGGCATTGTAGTTCGAAGGGTACACAGATATCGCCGCAGTTGAACAAAGGTAAAAACATTGCCACGTAACGCCAACTACTTTCTTGGAAACTACGGCATTAAGGAAGTGATAGCAACAAAGTGAACTTTACGAACGATCCTTTTATTCTCGATAGTAATTGCCGTCAAACTGTGTCTGTCTTTTTATACTTTTTTTTCTTTTTTTTTTTTTTATTCTTTTTATATTTATCCTCACTGTAACTTTTTCCTCTTGTTATTCTTACCTGAGGTTATAGTGTTCCCTGAAAAAAAAGAAAGTAAAAGTGCATAACAATTCAATAGTGCCAAAATCGTATGTTATTCGCCGTGTTATTTATAATTCGCAATTGTATATTTACGGGTGCTATAGTATAACTTCGATTGTAAATAATACGTTAGAATAACTCGGATTCAACAATGCATATTATTACTTTTATACGTTTTATTACCGATAAAAATAGTGATAAAAATCTCGATGTAGTAAAATAATTTAGAATTTATGACACCAGAAGTATAAACGTATTGCGATTTCTCTTTTATACAGAACGGACTAAATCTATCTTTAATATTACTCTGTACATTACAGTATTTGCATTGTGTATATTCTATAGTACTTAGATTATATATAAATATTTTTTACGTACACGTGCCTACGACTTATGACTCTTGATTCACATCGCCTAATGTTCCTACTATAATTATTGTCAGATTCAATGAAAATTGGGGAAACCAATCACTAATTGATTGCGAACTGCAGCATGCAAACGTAAATAGTTTAACGTAATCATTAATACTGCATAAAATTATGCAAAATAATTTCTATTAATTTTCTAAATATTTAAAACAATTCTTTTTTTTCTTTCGATGATTCTAAAATGACAGTCTATTAAAAAAATAGTGGAAACAAGAAATTAGTTTACAAAGCGTCAACGTTCCATGCATACGAATGTAAAGAGATAAAGAAAGGAATGTTTAAGGGCATATAAAACATTTGTGTAAAGTGTGATTTACCCAAGCAAAAATCTAAAACGAAATAGCAAAATGAACGTTTCTGCGCTTCCCATTCCTGTAAATCTGTTAAAATATTTATGTTTATTCGTATATATATATATATTCGCACGAAACAACGTGGAACGTAACTTAAAAAATCAGTATCACGCAATTATACATACACGTAGACTAATAATTATTGTCGAGTAAGAATTTCTCCAAAATACGGATTTGGATATTATGCATCGCGTTCTGATTATGTCCGGGAAAATTTATTCTGAGACTCATTGACGTATATGTAATTATAGAAAGGGTCTACCCCGTTATCGATAATTGATATTTTCCACACACAGTTTAAAGCGAACTTTCTCTGTTCTCTCCAAAATTATTCACAAAAAAGCTTTAACCACATCATTCTGCAAACGTGTTCTTTAATTTATACGAAATTCTTCGACTCTGTCACTACGCACGTATAATAACTTTCTATTGTTCCAAGTTTCTAAGCGTCTATTGAAATTAACAATTTTATTCAACTTCGTCGAGAGGTAACAAAGAGGGATTAATAAATCCTGTAATTTTCATCGACGAAGCGTAATCTTATTTTACTACTTTGTACAAAAAGGAGAAAGTTGAACTTGATTTAGCGAGAATGCGTTCTGCGTGTCCCGCTAAAAAGAATCTGTCTTCTTTGCACGAGCCCTCGACGAACAGGTACACGTTAACCATTTCTCTGATCGGTCTGCGAAACCACGGTCCTCTTGCTCGAGATCCTCTCACGCTTTCAAATCTGGTCCGATACTCTCAGCTACGTATTTTTTCCCTATACTCGGTACAAATACATCCCGATTTTAGTGTCGAGAAAAAACGTGTAGAGAATGAGTCTGGTGGATATTACGCTCACAAAATGTGGCTTCCTTTAGTTCCTTTTATTTATTTCTATTTCATTTGCCACGATAACAAAGATCGTCGTACGTACAAAAAGTAGCTGTGTTGCATATCGTGTGTACGCATATGTGTACGTGTGTACGTGTGTGTGTGTGTGTTTTTTTTTCTTATTTACATCAGCATGTACATCAGGCACTATACAGCGTAGAGTGTCGAATTACAATTAGTCTTCCCTTTTGCAACGCATATGAGACACAAGCCACGCGAGGAAATCATCACCTACATGCTTCAGCTACGCAACCCTTGCGAGGAATTTAACAAGAACCGCGTCAACGTTGGAACGTTCGGCTCGGAACACACGCTCCTTTTTACATGCACATTAAGGGTAGTATGGGTTTCCAAATTATTTGTCCGGATTACGGCGTGCATGCTATAATGGACTATGGGGAGGTAGAGAAACGTTTCGTCGAATTTTGTTTTATTCACCACCACCTTAGGGGAGGTAGAATGTGATCGAAGTCAGCAGCTAAATCACAGGGCGAGGCTACTTGCTCTTGGCATAGAACTTTTGGTGTTTATTGTATTCGTTACCCCAAACGAAGTTGTCCAGCATTTCCCCGATAAAATAGAGCATCGAGCTGAACAAGAGCATCACAAAGAGGAACGCCGCTCGCATGGGCAATGAGAGCACCTTCATCACCGGGTACACCCAGATGCCGCTTTTCAAATAGATTATGTGCATCCTGAAACATTTATTAAACGATCGTAAATAATAGACTTTGCTATGTATCTACTTTGATCTTATCAACACTTATGCGAATTTTTTTTTGTTTTTTTTTTTTTAAACGTAATTCCTTTGTGTCGAGCGCAGGAACGTTGAAGGCAAACCGGAATTATTATGAGAATAATGTTCGTCGAATTTTAATTTTAAATTATCGAGCATTCGTAGTCACGAAGGTAGGATTTATTTTATATCCGTGAACCGACGACGCGACAAACGTAGTCTGGTCAGGATAGAACGGATAATTAAATTTGACCAATTATTGCTGAGCAATTAACCGAAATTTCCATAGTTTCATAAATATTTTCTGCTATAAATGGGGAAAAGAATTAAATCAAAGTGGGAGTTCCTGAAAGTCGATTCTTTCTTTGACACGAGTATGGTAACCGCTTTAGAGCCAATGTCGTACCAAATTAAATACGTGAACATGAACATGAGATGACCAAAGAGTCCCTGTGCTCGCTTCGGGTACTTCCTCGGCGAGAGAATCGTCTCCATCAGCGTCGAGACCATGATCATCGTGTGCATCAGATGATTCAACCACCACGGGAAGTAAGGATCAATGGCCTTCGGGAATACCAATTCGCGGTCCACGAACATCAGAGACCAGAAAATTACACCGACAAACTGCAATCCAGACAAAGAACGTAAGACGACGGAACACGTGAAACGAACTGGCTATACTTGTTCAATTATACTTACCATGGCCACCGGGAAACTGAAGACCGCATGCACATAGTCCTTGAGCTTCCGTATGAACGGAGGTTTCTTGGGGCACGCGGCATTTGTGCCGAACCAGTCGTTCAGCATGCATATCAAAAAAAATACTGCTTGAATGATCTGAAACAAGCGAGAAACACAATCGTTGTAACCGTATTATTAAATGGATTTCTTTGGAATTCCCAAACATTTTCTATCATAGGAATTGCCATAACCTAAAGCCATTCAGCATATTTAATTAATTTCAAAGGGTAATTTGAGCATCTACCTGCCCAAATCGGCTCCACAAATTGTATGGGAGCCAACAGTATTCGAGAAAAGAAAATCGTGACGCACATCGATAGAGCTTACGTCATTAGTAAATATTATCGTGAATCTACAGTTCAAACTGCAAGCCAATACGTAGTTTATTAGCAAAGTTTTCCACCAGTTTCGAGAAAAACGCGTTTGAAGCTTAAAGATCGATTACTTCATAGGTTAGGGCATACTTCACGGAGCACGCTATATTTTCATTAATATTTCGAACTTCTCCTCGATACACAGTATTCTTAATAAAGTCTTACGGATCTTTAGCAAAAAGTTCTCGAACGAAGGCTTAAAAATTGACCTTCCGAACGAGAATACCCTTTTAACCTTGTTTCCGAGTTATAGCCATTTTTCTGCTTCGATAATGATTCATTCGTTGAATTCCATACAGCTGTTTACCTTCGCAGGGCGAGCTTAAAATGGCCACCTTTGTCCGAACGTAAACCTGCAGGCCTTCCATAGTTTCTCGATATTTCGAATATCCCCGCGAAATAAACTAGAACAACGGTTCAAGAATTATCTGGCTACTCGGTTAAGTAAATAAGACGATGCATTGTTACGTAATTATGCAAGAAATTGATGTAAGATTGACCTCTTAATCTTCCGTTAAAAAAAGAAACCAAACAAGAGAATTTTCATGGTCATAACTCGGGAATAAAGCCAAATAACACCACATGTTTACATGAACTTTTCTCGTTGTTTTTGTGCTCTTAATTGATCCGTGAAGTATGCACCACATATTACGAAACACCTTTTATACGGATAAATAAACGCTTGGTGAACACGTAACGATAGTTACATTTATTTCACATTATCTTGCCAATGAGGTACAATTAAATACGTATTGCTCAAATTACCCTGATACGGAGGTCATACGAGCACTCCGGCAATGTTCTCGTATTTCCTTATGCGGCAGTTACGCGGGCGATAAAAGTGTGCGTTGAAGGTGCACGCATATTCAGAGCGTAACAATTTACAATGGTGTTCGTATTCTCGCGTTTCGGCATGTCCCGACATTTTAAAACGTTCCGCATATAAAACAGTGAAATCGTTACCTAAGTCTACGATTTCCTCGTGCGTTTCATTGTATTTGAAAACCGATTGCTAAATATTTCCGTCATGAAATTCAAAATGTTACGTTCGCTCTTGATTGTGGCACGTGTACCGTATTAAAATTAGATGCGTTAATCGATCCGACACGCTGTCGATCGCATTGCGTACACTTCAGTGACATTAAAATTGGAAGCCCAAGAAGAAAAGTAAACAAAATTCGACACCGGCAGCTATATTTAGGCGCAGGAATATCGTCGAGCCTCGGAGTTGTCTTTATCTTTTGCAGACGACCGAAAAAAAAGGACAGTGAGCGAGAGAGTGCATGAGAAAAAGTATTGTCTTTCCCCAGAAATCGTCGCCGAGCATCATGGCTCGTGCCGTTTTTTAAATGTCGTCTTTCACGCTACGCTGAGCTTCCACGGTTACCCCTCCAGGCGGAGATTATTTTAAGAATCATTGTTGTATCAATTTCTCAGCGAACGGTATAAAATTTGAAAAATGTCAAATCGACGAGTGCTCGTGAATCCGGCGTTAATTCATTTTTAAACACTGGATCGTGTCGAAGATTGCGGATACGGACGGACAACGCGTTGGATACGCGATGGTATTCGAGTGAAAACATGTCAGACCGTATAATGACAGTCACTTGACCGTGCATAGATAACACGACGTGACGCGTGCCATAGTTCGGAAACGACATGGAGTGCCGCTCGAGCAATTTAACTCGAGATACGTGATTTGCAGTGCAAACGCGAAATGGCCATAAGTGTGAAATCGTTCGCCAGCGATAGATGACCACAAAAAATTCTTTACGTGTCGGTTCACGTTTTCGTTGATTGACCGATTAGCTCTTCTAAAAAAAAAAAAAACGTTAAATCTATCCTAAAAAAAAAAGGAAAAGAAAACTGAAATAGCCGACAGAAATAACTTCCACGTAGGTAACAGATGGTTAGACGCGTAATCGAACAAGATTTCTATGTGTTATGCGCGTATACTTGATGTTTTCCTTTGATTAAATATCCTAAAAGATTGTTGCACTTTGTTGCAATTCTAAGTGTCCCCGTTTCCTTCAGCACGTACACAATGCACTACGTATTCTTATAATGGTGTTCACTGTTGCGTAACATCGTAATAGGGACGTGGCGCAATCGCTTGTTAAAACTATCGTGCGGTCCAAGCACGAAAGAAAAAGAATTTTAAACAGCACGGTACGGTTCCTTGGAAACTCGGATAGTCAAGCATTGAATAATAGTGACATCATCCATTTACAGTGTTTAGGTATTGTCAGTGCGAAGTAGTCATTGTTTCGTAACGATTAAAGAAAAGTATTCTGCCGGTGGGTTCAGGATCGTGACAAAATAGGGGCGAAAGGGGCACGCGCTTATGGGCGCCATGTTACGAGTACGCTAGCAGACGCCCCTTAAAGTAAGTAAACATTTTCCACTAATTTACTTCAATCGTCTTCGTAAGAATAAAACTATTTGAACTATTTGATTTGGTCGATTTAACGATTCGTGATTTCGCAAGTGGCAACGATCAAATTCTCTTAAAAACTGGTATGATATTGCATAAGGCGACTCGTATGAACGACCCAATTGAATGCACAAAATGAAAGAAACAACGAGATCGAAGTAATCGTGTCGAAATACTAACCGCGTCCCAGAATGTGAGAAACTTGAATTTCCCGCCGTAGGCGTTGTGCATTTGGGTAACGTGCGAGGGCACGACCACATGCGTGTAATCATAATACACTGATACTGCGAACTGCACGCAGGAGATCGCATGGAATACAATCAGTAGGCCGTCCCGCATCTCACAGGCGTCTTAGCTTTCCGTGTTCTAAAATAGTTCAACGAGTTTCCATGACAACGATCGTCTCGAGCCGATCGTAACCGATACAAGCGAACTAATTTTCACTCGCTAACCTAGCGTCGTTTTCCCTCTCGCGGGAATCGATAAACAAAAAAAAAAGAAACACTGATCGTTTTACTTGGTCGCAAGAACGAACGTGGAAAACGCGTCGAGCTTGAATATTTTTATCCCCCGTTTTCATGGTGTCGACTATTTTTTTTTTTCCCAACGGCGTAACGGGGCAGACCGTAAATTCGCGTATCGAGTTAAAATTAGAACGACGAACATGACACGGTACAAATATTTGTCTCCACACTGTGAATCATTCTGCAGTTGGGAAAGTTCGTTCAACTCTAACGACAACGATAAATCGAAGCCTGTGGTAATGTTTATTCTCGATATAGAAATTGTTCGTTATTTGCAATAACAATGAGACTTTGTGGGACACTCGTCCCTCAATATGCGCAAACTTTTATTATACTTCAAGCAAGAAATTAATTAAAATACTTACTGTTGATTTTATCGTGTATTATTTACTTAATAATGCATATTTTTGTTTACAAACATCTAAATCTTCTATTCCATCGCACATTGCCACGGCACAGATTAAATAATCGCTCAGAGCGAGCAGGTGTATATTCTGTTTACAATTACGTAATGAAGTTTACTTTCGAATTATGTAAACTGCATAAAAAAAAAAAGTTGCATTCAAATGACTTGCAGCTCTGTAATGGATTATGTACATGTTGGGAACTTTACTCGACCGTAAAATTGTTTTCATACAACTTTATATATCTCGTATACATACTATACTTATGCTATGTATTAGAAGCATGAATGGCAATTCTAAACATTTAAGTACTGTTTTTCAGAATGAGCGAAATTGATGATCGTAGATAATAATAAAATACCTTTTTCCCGACGAGTTAAAAAAAACTATTTTAATTGTAACCAAAATTTCATTGTCATTTTTATTTCATTTCGATATCGAATATAAAAATTTTTAAAAATCTCTAATCTTTCATTACAACTAGGCTTCGTCACTATATCTTTTCTTCACTATTTGCAAGAATGCATTATAAAGATAACAGTCAATAATTGGAATTCGATACGAGAACTTTGAATCCAACTATGGTAAAGTTTTGCTCTACTATCGTACATGTCGAATGAACATTGATAACGTGTAATCTCAACAACTGCGATCTATTAGGAAGTTAAATAGCAGATGTTGTATAACAGTGCAAGACTAATTTCAAATTTGAATTGCATGAAAACGAAGGATTCATTTCTATAATTGCTTCGATCATCGGTCAAAGATAGAGGAAAAAGAATTGTTCAATGCGCAGTTTACACACGTATTATTCTCTATTAAGGCATAAAAATCACTGTAATAACAAAATGATAATTTTAGAGAGTCCCACGGTTCATCGTCCGTCAACGTAGCGTCGACAAGTCAACTATACGTTATGTATTTTGGTCGTGTTGCGAGCGTTTCTCACGCGATCTGTATTTTTACCACGTTTTCTTGATATCCAATCGATTAACCGTGTCCCGCGAGAAAAATTCGCCTCTTTTCACAGAAAAACACTCCGGCTTTTTCGGTCACATGTACGATCCGCGCCAACAGTATCGACCGCGACGATGGTCTGCGACTTACTGACGGATAGGCGAAAATACGCCAATGAGAAAGAGAGAAACAGTTCACCATGTGCGTGAGGCCTACAATCTAGGGGAGGGGGCGGAAAACGAGACAGCACGATGCAAGATCTACGCCTAGACACAACGAACAGAACCGTACATAGAGATGTAAAAGAAAGAGACAAGAACCATTTATTATAGATATGTGTTAGACAACAAAATCAGTTGTTGGCTACGTACATGCACAACCACACGACTCTATGCACTTCGTATTATGTCTGATACCACGTAACCACTACACGCCGAAGCATCTTCTATCTGGTAAACGACACGAACATCTTATATACAAGTTTCACGTTCCTGACTTTCTTTGGTTTAAGCGAACGTTGACTTCGTGAAGTAAATAAACAGAGAATGCACGACTGGCTGCATGAAAATAGGACAGTATAAACAAAGAAAAAGGGGGTGTGTACGAAACAGAGACGAACCGCGAACAGAGAGAGACAAAAAATGCGGCTGATGCTCCTATTCTGCGCGACGCGGATGCGCGTTCGTTTTTATGGACGAACGGATTTGTTTTCATAACATCTTTCTCTGTTACTTAATATGTACCATTCTTCGTGTCGCGGATGTTGCACGCTGACGTCGTAAAAAAAGTCACGAACGCAAGTTCTAGCGACGTATTAAATAATTTTAATACCGTACGTACGTATGTATCATCGTACGGTACGATTCTAGAAAAACTTGTTTCAGCTTGCGCTTTCTAATTGAAGTTTAAAAGTCTGAGGTCGTTTCTGTGAAACACGTCGCGTATTTACTCGGCAAGAGACGAGAGATCGAACGATTGCTGCAATGTGTTACGTGATTTTTCACTTCCCGCTATCATATGTCCGTTACACCATACACGGCGAATCAAAATTACCGTTTGAAATATTTCCATTATTTTCCGTTCCGGTCAAGAAATTATTTTCTCCGCGAAAACGGTAACGATATTGAAAGTTAATTTTCACTTTTCGACTTGCAACGGAGAAAACTTGTAGGAAAATCTTTTCTTTCAATTTACGTAATTTATCGTCAATTAGAACGAGATGTACGAAGATGTAAATAAATTATCATTTGATGACAATTGTAATTTTGAATCGGGTCAACTGATACTCTGTAAAGTAGATTGAGAACTATCAGAAGATTATTAATCAAACAAGGAAGTAGGCCTCCACAGCACTCTGCGATGTCGATGAATATTCAACATTAGTATTCGATGTACTAACATCGGTCCTGATTTAATAATTACATATTTATCGCTGAATTTCGACCTTTACACTAGAAATATCATCTTTATAATTGCATTCGTCTCATGTCGTTTTTCTTTTTCATCTTGTTTTCTATGTTAATTAACGAGTAGTGTGCATCTACATTATGTAATAAAAACGTATCGCACACGCATAGAAGAACTTTGAATTGATTACACAGTTTCAGTTGCACGAGTCGAATACAAATATGGCGCCATCTATTGATGTTTCCGTGAAATTGTAAAACATAATGCAGGTTTGACTGCAATATCTACATGGCTGACAAAAAGTAGAACAACAGAACTGAATGCTAATCTAGATACTTGATCAGACACAATTGGATTTTCTGCCTTCACGTAATGCGATTACTTACTTTATTTTGAAACTCCTCAAAGTAGAATTTTACATATTATTTTACTCATATTCCCACATTTCGACAGTTAAGGATATTTGCACATTACCTGCTACATTTCATATTCTGAGCATCCAGATATATTTTTTTAAAATACAAACCTTTAGAAATAAAATAAAAATAAAATTTCTAAGCAATAAATAATAACACTTGCGATCTGAAGTTTTTTTAATAAATTTATTAACAATGACTTACCACACCCCAGACAGTCAGGTATTTGAATTCTTTTGGATCAAACTTTTCGAATGCAGAATTCACCATAGGTATGTTGAGATGATCCGCACTGTACATCGTAAATGCGTACGTTAGGAACATCGTCGTGTGGAACAATTGATTTATCGTGTACGCCATGCTGCCGAAACGCTGCGAAATGGAAAACAATTTATGAAACGGATATACCCATTGGAGAGAACATCGGTTTTTGCCGAACTTGTGATTGCTTCGAATGCTCCCCATGTTCTAATAGCTTCCCGGCTTTTCGGTGGTTACGTTATAGGTTAGGTTCAAATTCACAACGAACAATCAATAAGCTGGACGTTTCTCTGCTCTTACACAATAAGTATTCTTGGTATTCTTTTTTAAATAAATAATTTATTACACCGAGCATAATGCTTTCACAACATGTAATTTATTATAACGCGAATGGCGATTGAAACGATCGAGACGAATTTTTATTTCATTGATTATTGTAATGTTTGTAAATATACAGTGGAATTAACAGCTCTTATCGATTGATAGCAGAATGCTTAAAAACATTGCGATATCAATGAAATGCTAAATGAGATCCTTGTGTAATCAGCACCGAACAAAAAGTTGTAACTCTATCTCAGATTTGTTTCCTCGTTCGGCGATATTCATTTACGTAAATTGCGTACTGTAAACAAAAATTTTTTCTCCATTATCGCGAATGTCTGGTCAACGTTGAATCTGTCTGGAAGACCAAAAAGGTTCGACGATAAATGTGCGACACGCGTGATAACACAAGTGCAGTTTTTTGAAGTTCAAGTTCGATAATCCGAACACTGGTGTAACGACACGCGTTCGACAAAACTTTTGCCCGTTCTTTACGATATAATACAATGCGTGACTCATCACAATTCCATGGCGTTTAGAATTAATTTACACGTTGACAGCAGTGGTTCAATGAAACTTGAAAATTTTAATCAGGTCTTTTAATTCAATTATAAATATTTATTAGGAAATGTAAATTCTTTAAAAACTTTTATTGATCGACAGAAAATAAATAAATTTACTGTTTCATTCCGACCCTTGGTTAAAGGCTTCGCTGGAATCGAAGATATTTCATTAAATAAATAAGGAATCAATCGAACGAAAAATGGTGAGTAATACGCGTATCGGAATAACATTATCAAAACAATATACATACAATGTTTGATGTAAGTTCCACGGCATAATACCGGATCTAGTTTATCGCGATTGAATATTCTTGCCTTACGTCTGTTGTTACAGTTGGCAGTCAGAATTTAATCAGTGCTTATTGGCGTTACTTAACTCTTAATCATACTTTTATTCCAAATGACTTGAGACAAAGAACCGAGTTTGACGTTTCTATTATAAGCGTCTGAGTCGTCTGTAATGCCACGAGTCGAGGAAGTACATGTTATTTAGTTTCCGGACCTACAAAGCAACGGCAGCAAGGTCGATGTGGAGGGAAGGGCAAGGTGAACACGACCGATTGAAATAATCTATACAAAATTTTTACAAACGACCAGACCCCTTAATTAACGTCACGTTTCTCGCGATAAACATCTGTTCGAGATTCTTATTATTTTTCTATAAACATTGGAAGTTTTTTTATATCACTCTGCATAAACAGGGAGCATTAGTATTATTAATTACAAAATCTAGTTCTAGCATCGCAAACGCAAACAATGACATGCACATTTTTTACGATACAATACGTGCATTGTTTGAATATTATTAATATATTACGTCTAGTATTTTTTATCTAGTATAGATATTTTTCTCAAACGAACAGTAGCTGGGAAATTATCGATACGAATGCAAATAATTATACAGTGCGTATGGAACATGACCGGAAATACATCCTCTCTCCAACATGGTGAATGCACCATAGTTATATAGGATGTTCCAGAATACTAGGCACGACTCGTATAGTATTCTACTAAGAAAAATGAATCGAGAATCGTCGTATAAAATTTTATTTTGCAACACTTTGTGTTTAGAATCTTTAACTTGTAATAACGATTTATTTTTCACGGAGGAACCATCCCCCTATCGATCGTACCGCGAATGATAGGACACCCCTTATATTTGCACGCAGACATGCGATCTGAAACTGGTTCGAACGACTATATACATATGCATACGCATAAAGTTCGTACACAATACAATACAAGGCAATAAGGTCGGGGACTTCCCCATGTCACTTCGACGTGCAGTATTCGTCTTTTCCATACAAATGAAGGGTATTAGTTTAAATTTAGAACCAGTACAATGGTACAATTACCGAATAGCGTTTGTTCGAACACCAAGAATTGTTAAATCATAAATTTTTAAATTATCGATGCTCTCTCGGTGTGCTCATTTTTATCCCGTTACCACGACCACGCGAAATGTTTATAATCGCTGGGTGTGTCGATTCTTTTTTTAGACAGCCACGTTTAAACTTTAAGTCAGTTTATCGGCCGTTTCAGAGAACAGAATACATAATCGTCGTAACAATGAACAAGAAGTGACGAAACACAGATTTCGATAACCGAACCCCTACAGCTAATAAGATTCATTGTCAAACCGTTTATTCGTGCGATCCTTTCGTCGCGTAATATTCGTTATCTTCCATACGAATTATCTATTAGACGAATTCCACACGATCGTTATCTTATGGTAAATATTTTTCACAAGATCTTAACTGCTTATGTGGAACTTGTTCTTTGCGCAACTGCGTAATCTGTTCTCCGTGTATACTCTCAGGGATTTTTTATTTCAAAATATCCTTATGTAACCTTAAAAATCTACCTTCAAACTTTCTACTGTACCTTTTATAAAATAACTTTAATTCGAAGCTATTTCTATCGAACAAAGACTTCTTGTAGCCTGAGTTGCTTATCTTGGAATCACTGTATGCATAGCTTACATCCTACGGTATTAATTCAAGGCAATCTTCGTTTCGAAATATTCTTCTTTAACCTTACTGTCCACCTAAACTTCTACAAGCATATCCAATTCTATGGGATTCCTTAATAGGACCTAATTGTCCAGCCTACTTCTACTCTAAATTGTTTACCTCGATAGTACTATTGAATGTGCACTATTCATTCACGATAAAATTGATTTACTGCGAATTTCGTTTTAAGATTTCGTTCGTTCTTGTCACCTACCTGCAACGATCTTGGACGCCAACGAAGATCAGGCGAAAAGCGTCCTCTGTGGACAGGTTCGATCGGGACTAGTGTACGTACCGACGATACGAAACACAGTAACCCAACCACGAGTGGACGGCAAGCCTCGTTGATTCACGAAGCAGAACACTTTTAACGGGCAACCGGTCGTGAACTGACAACTGATCGTTGCCCCACGTCTCGCCTACAACCAGCAATGACTAACGACGAATTTATCAAAGGCGTCGAGCGCCGTTTCCTGATTCGTCGTCGCACCCCGCAAATGTTTTGGTAGGGGATTTTCTTATCGAGATGATACTTTCAATACGTACACACTCGCGTTCCGATTAAACTTGCACCCATTCAAAAAAATATTTCTTTTTTTGGAAAGTCATGATTTAACGATTAATTGGCATTTTGGACAATGTGCGTTCTACATGAAATTTGACGGTCTTTTTCTGGCCGTGACATGATTTCTTGAAAGGTATTCTTCGTTAATAAGTGCTAATGGCATAACTAGCTTCTCCAGGCAAATATGGATGTCTTATTAATACGTGTACAGAGTATGTAGCCTTCGTGCAATCGTGATATTGAGCAACGTATTATGTTAATTTTTTAATTTATGTAAATAGACGAGAAATTTAAAAAAACACTGTGAATTGTTTTCTACCTTCAGGTATAAGTGTAATGAAATTATCGATCACGAGACTTTCGAAATACCCGAGCCCTTAATATTTCTTATTAACCGAGTATACAGGTGTTCGAAAAGCTCGGGTACTCGAAATATCTTGGGTATCGGAGATCTTCAATTGCTCGAGTACCGAATATCCGAAAATTTCTGTAATCAAATGTCTTCAAAATATTAACTCATTTGCATCCAAGCGCGGAATATTCCGCTGTTTACTATCGTCAGTTGAACGTCGCTGATGTTTCGATGCGGAAGCTTAAGTAGAGCGATGATGCAAATGGGTTAATATTATATACTTATCATTTTTATAACGTTTCATAATTGTTAATAAGTTTGTTCAATCACCTTTATTTCAACATACGTTATATAGCAACATCAATCAATTTCTACATTTTCTCTACTATCCATAAAGAGGTTAGGTTTATAACGGCATGTGGCTACACCTAGCCTTTGTTCTAGATGTACTTATTCTTATTTCTTTACATTAACCTCCACCTTTCGTTTTCTTCTTTTCTACTTTGTCATCTACAAAGATAGTATACTCTATTCGAATGATTGATCACGTAAATGTTTGTAAGCATGTTTTCGCAAAAACCGATAAGAACTAAGTCAATTTTAAATTACATTCATTTTTGATAAAATAAGCATAATCAGTTAGATGTTTAATTGCTATGTCTTTTCAAGCAAAACATATTGCAAAGCATGACGAATAAGCGAACTTTGATTTTGAAAGTTATTGCGTTTTAAATGCAATTTGTGTATTATGTATTTACGTTTCGTATGAAATTACATACGTATTTTTTGTAGCCGTGGTATCTATATATGCAGATAACCAAGATGTGAATGTACTGTTTTGAAAAATACCACAGATGTTACAAGGGTATCGGGTTTTCTCTGATCTACGATATTTGTGGCGACGACTTGCGATAAGCTTACTGTACGTATTTCGAGTCAATTATAATGTTAACAAGGCACGGAAAGTTATCTTATCCGTCTATTAATCATTACCGATCACGAAGCTGGCGGAATAAGAAATACTTTTTAAAATACGAAAATAACGTAATTTATCGTTTGTATGCATTCTACATATACATGCGCATACCATGGTAAAAGTTTGCTGACATAATCTTTAATTTCGACCAAACAAAATATTTATACATATTTTGGCATCCTTAACCATCGCAATATAGAGGTCATAATGCATTCTTTATATACATTGTACATTACCAAATATAAATCGAAATATTTTTTATTCGATATTTATGGAAAAATGGAACGATTTTCTGGCACGTTTTATAGTCGTTTATGCTACCGGTAGTGACCTCTCACGGAAATTAGCAAAAGTAGCTGCACCGCTGCGTTAATTATCTTAAACGCAAAACATCATTTTTGCGATAAAATGCACAATTGCAGAAATCATTACGACATTCCATGATAAACGAATGATTTGTATTTCATTTTTTTATCGATTAAACATGAATTTTTTGCATTCGTCGAATTACGATTCAGAATTTCACAGAGACATCGTTTACGTTATTGCTTTGGCTCAATATTTTGTTGTTGGTCAAATATTGTGCAACGGACTTCGTTTCGCAAAGCTGTTTTACATTCGGTCGCGAACATTATTACCGAAGCACGGTTATCTTCTTATTAGTTACCGTGAAACCCATAGGGGGCTCGCGAGTGAATCGATTGGATGACAGTTTCGAAAGGACAGTTTGGCGCCGAACGTTTCGTTCAACCAATGCGCCGTCGAAGCATCGTCCTTTTAGTTCTGTAGTTTCGGTGAATGATTCGTACGTGCACTCGCGAATGAACGACGACAATTGTCTTTCTTTGCCTGTTACTCGGTGTGGTGGTTAAGTTTGATGTGTCGTCGTTGGTTACGACTATTCGATACGAAACTACGCTGCCATTGACGTAGCATAAACAGGTAACTATGCATTGCAAACTGTGCCGTGCACTCAGCAACGAACGTAACACCTTTTATTATGCTTGGCTTTATGTCGCTGTCACGGTCCGCTGAACCTTGAATATTTTATTGCCTCGAACGGTGTTCGCGTTTTTCGGATTCGTTGGAACAAATCTTTTGAATGTTCGATGGAAGCCAGCTGCCAGGAAAAGCAACGTGTCAGTAATGCATATTTATGATAATTTTTTGTACGAACGTTTTTTTACTGCCAGATAGTAAATTTTTGCAAAATCATCGTCCGTAAAATTCGTTATGCTTTTTAAAATTTCCTCAACGATGCAACATATATTAATTAAAGAGTACGTGTTACACGAACCGTATTAAATTCAGTCTTCCTTACTATAATTGTTTCCCCCGTCGAAGGAAAAACTACGCGTAATTACGGCGCACTTTCCTTTTCATCTTTCGGTTCGAATTGTCTCCCGATCATTTTCCATTTTCTCCTACGCGGAAGGGAAATCGATCAGTGCCGCTACACTTGTATTTATATTTCATTATCCACGCATCGACGAACATCAACTGTTGTTACAGTTCGATACAGACGTAACTATTCTCGTAATGTGCGGACTCGAGGGAATTTCGTAACATTATGGATGTTTCAACGACCAATCTGGACGCGACTTTGCATCTGTACCGCTTTTATTTTGTTATGAATTAAATTAATAACAAAGGAAGCATACGATTAATACAAAAAGTGTGTCAATGGCGAATCAATCGAAATTATTAATTATTTTTCGCGCCAATACTTATATCCAGCGATGTGTAATAGAATATAATCGTGTGTATGAATCGAACTGGAGTTAGATCATCGTAACGTATCGGAACCCTGAGAAATGGCTTGGTGCCACCTTTTATGGCGCCAAAAGAAACCGGTAATTTCTGTCTTCTTCTTTGCCACTTGTTTCTACCGTTATGTTGCGTAATCTATGGCGGCGATACCCGAACAGATCTGTTTTCGTCCTTCGTGCGGATACAAGCGCACGATGCACCGCAAAATAAGGATCAGTAACTTGTATGTGTCGCAGTTTCAAAACCGCGCGATCGTTTACTAAATACTGCATCGATTTTCGCAATCGATGGTTGAAATGTAAGGTTATATTCGCGCGGCTGTCAATTCGAGGAATCGTAACTGTGCAAGCTTGAACTTGCGTCGTTCGTGTAGCAACGTTGCTGGTCAAAAATGTACAGTCAGGGACGAACTGACAAGGGAAGGGGGACGGATTATTTATTACTAAAAATTGTATCGCGACAAGCTTTCCGGGTCTAATTTTTTCTTCTTATTAATGTTTGTTCCTTTTAGAACTCGATTATAACACGACACGACACGTGTGCATTATATAAATTGCTACGCGTAATTTAACGATGTCAGGCTTGAGCGCCCTCAAGAACTTGTAGTTAATCGTCCTTCTATTGAACTTATTGAACATGGCCGTTGGTATTGAAAGACTGTTCGAATTTTATCATTATTAAATAATATAATATATTATACCTGAGGTGGTCGAACACCCTGTATAATAAATATAATAAATATTTATATAATATATATATATATATTTATTATCCAAAGTAGATCAGAATAATTGATAACCTAAAAAATATACATTTATATTGTGCGATGGCGATAATATTTATTGTCACTTGTAACGAATTTGTTACTGTTTTTAAAAAGTTAACGCGTGACTTAAAAATCAAATTCCGTGCCAGGATTAATTGTAAATTTATCTCAGTTGGAATGCATAGTAGTTATAGTTGACGGACCATGGATTACGATACCTAATCCGAACAGTGATATCGCAGTACATACCTCGACCTTGACAGAATCGATCGATGGGGAGAATTGAATGGTTTCGCGCCATAAAACAAGATTTTATTCCTTTAGTGAATATATAAGTAGCATTTCAATCACCGAAGTGTTTGTTCCGTGTGGGCGTACCGAACCAGGCTATCGTATATTCCGATTTTATGTGGTAAGTTACGTTGCAAGACTCATCGATCGTTACACACACTAAATTTTCACCTCTAGTTTTTAACATCCGTTAAAAATAGTTTCCGGTGTGCAACTATTCTCGAGGATCGGTATCAGCGGGTTTCAGGAAGCAACGCGAGTGTTTCGAACAATCACATGGATTTGCCAGATATTTCGTAACGCCAATTACGGCAATTACACGACGTTTTTTTTTTTCTTTATCTAGAAATTAAACGTATTTCTTAGTGCATATAGGCACGTTTTATAAATTAACTCACCGACAATTTCTTATTTTATATCGCAAGACATTTGAAAGTCGTGGAAGTCGAGGATAAAAATTTGTACGATCGACGGGCTAATAACGTTGCACGCAACGCGACAGCAATTTGCAACGAAGAAAAACAGTCGAGTTCACCGTTTCCTGGGTGTTGCGTTTTACCGAACTGATAAAAAAAAAAAATAACCGGACGCGAGACATCTGCTCGATTAATTTTTCTGAGAAACCTCGGTCGCAGGTGTACGACGAAGAGGCCGGAGATTAATCGCGAGAGAGTGCTGTTTACATACACGCGAGTCCCTTAAACTGCAATTAGTCATAGCGACCGGTTCCAACCAACCTTGAATGATAAATTTCAGATCGAACAACTATTTTCGCGACGAGAGTAGCCACGGAGCAAAATAAAAAGTTATCTGCTCGGGTTTCTGTAGCCGATCGCGAAGAAAATGGGTGAACGTTCTACTTCCAGTCGGACATATCAAATTACTAAACTTCGCTTTGTAAGATACGCGTCGTAAAAGCTGGCTCGGACACGTCCAATGATTTAGTCGAGTGCCGAGTAATTTAATAACTTACTGTCTGCGAACATTAAAATTTACTTCCCTCCTAAATCTAACTGATCTATCTGAAATCTAATTTTTCAACATTCTGAACGCGTTCGAGTATTCTGTACGACGATACGCTAAACAATACGATGTTACATTTCCCTGTATCGTGCAAGTGATGTAATTTACTTTAATGCACCTGCCAGCACTTTCGATATTTTTTACTAGCGGACGCTCGCATTTTTTGGTGAACGGGTTTACATGATAGCGCAACAAGAACGATCGGGTGAGTCAGCCGTACCGGTAACCGGCTTCGCCTCTCTTTCTCTCCGTGTTTCCCTCGCTCTTTCGTACCTCCCCTTTCGCAGCCGACAGAAGTATCCTTGTCCCTGTCTTACTTACAGCTTCCTTTCATGTTCTTATTCGATCCCGTCCCCGAACAGTGATAGATTCCCTTATCCTTCTTTTCGCAAGTTTACGAGCAAATCCAACGCTCGACAAGTCTGACACTTAACATCTGCTCGAAACTTAAAATATCACGCTTCCCTTTCATACAAGTAAAACTATAATCTTCTAAACTTAATTAACGATCGGATAATATGATTTTCGGGTACAGAATATTTCCGAAAACAATCAAGATAAATATAATGTCATTAAGACGTCGACTGTCATGGCGGCTACTGACGATCGACACTTCAAACTTACGTGTTACAAAACCGTTTACACTGGAAGAGTGCTTGTGAAATTGTAAATAACGAAATTATACACCATTGAATTATCGAATATTCCTATGTGTCAAAATATTAGAAAATAAAAAATTTATGGAACTTGGAAATCTGCGTTAAAAATTTTCTAACATTAAAATTTCCAATTTCAACGTTTCGACGATTTCAGTACTAAAGCGATTAGTTGACAATGGAGATTTTGTAATTCGTAGATATTTTGATCTAATGGTGGTTCGAGATACGCGAGTGGAAATTTTCATGGCGTGTTTGAACAGACTCGAAACGTTTTGAGCCCATCCCTACACCGCAGGCGATCCTTTTCCTTCTCCTGCTAACCGCGCGTCCATCTCTCCTTGGAGGTCTCGCTCACTCCTTTGTTTCCCAATGCTCCAACACTTTCGAGCGAATCGCAACAGGCGACTTCATTGCGTGCCGTTCGCTCGTGACCGTTCGAGCGACGAAGTTCCTTCGTTGCACGAATCCTTTGTCTCCGTTGCTCGCGAATTAGGGCCCGATTCGACGCGAGAAAAGAAATGACCGGCCAGTGAGTTTTCGGGTATTCGGTGTAGTTTCGTTTTCATTGTGAAAGTTACGTTCGAAACATTTGTGCGACAGTTTGACAGTGACGTACGAAGCGACACTAGAGGGAAGAGAACGAAAAACTAACCCGACACTCGTCGAAGTATCGAAACGATTCGATCATCGAAACTATCACGCGTAAGTTCGATATCGCGATTAACGATGTGCAATTAAGATTTTGGAGAATTTGGTTCACGTTCGTGAACAGTGTTCTCTGTACCCGAAATGTCAAATTGAACGATTGTAAGCGTGGTACTAATTTCAGAAAAGTATAACGTTATGGAAGAAAAGAACTCGTTTAGCATAATATACCGAAAATAGGATTTGGTTAAATGGAACGATAACGATTGTATTAATGGGTTTCGAACAATTTTGCACGTGTTCAGCGGGAAACCGTAATTGACGTCCCGATACACCGTTAGTGAGTTTCTATGCATAACTACAGTTTACACTTTAATTACAGTGCATGCAATTATGGTGTTTATTTATTCCCGACGGGCTCGAACGACTCGCGAACCGCTTGAACGTAAAATAAGCGAGATTTGTTTGGTTTCTTCCTTCGTAAAATAAATATCAAAGCGTAACCGTGGGCACGAAAAAATTAACGCGATTTATGAAAATACTTTGTTATCATATGCTCGTTGCGAACTTTAGTCGACGGACGAAATTGCGTCGGAAACGTAGTCGTTAAAATAAACTAATTTGCGTTTGGCAATAAAACTCCGGATCGTCTCGCGTGTAAAATAATAATTTAAACGATACGTGATTCATGAAAGATTTCGTGGAGATTGCGAACCCGAAGTAAAAGTTTCGAAGAGCAGTTGCATGAACCGGTTGAGATGCTGCGTCTGTACGGTGTTTCACCCAGAAATGACTCATTCGCAATACAACAATGTCTTGTTTGATCTCTAGAAATGAATGTTCCCTTTCATGTGTCATTTATGATGCACATATGGACGATAACGTGTCAAGGGTACAAAGGAGAAGATCAATGAAGAAATATTATATGCTCATTCTAAACTGGTTCAAATTTTATGATTATATAGTTCAGTGCACCTGTTTAGATACTTTTTTCTTCAAACGTAGGTTCAAGTTTTCTTTGAAAATAATTATGTGGACCACTTTTCCTGCACACGTTTGTTTCGTACACGCGAGATGTATCGCGTGACCGGCGTTCTTAACGTCGCGTCGATTAGTTAATAATTTTTGTTGGATAAAAACGTTTACAGATACCCTCTGATTACATAAGGTTCTGTTTGCTTAGTAGGAGTGCCGGTTTCACTGCTTTCGTTTCCGATACACTTCTAATGTGGACACGATTGCAGTCCACCATTTGTAAATAGAAATTCGTCTCTTCCGTTTGAGATATGAAACTGAAAACTGTTCATAGTCTGTTTTCAATTTAGTATCTGCGCACGTTGGTTCTAATTACGATCAATTGTTTCAGATCTGTGGTAAAACGGACCAGGGGCTGACGAGATGTCCGAGTACTGCGAGTACATGTGGGACACCACGAGAGGTCACGCGAGCAGCGCTTTGGCGCGAAGCATCTACGAGGAGGCCAGGTTCGACAAACGCGATAAAAAACTGGCCATTAAGACCGTCAGAGCGATATTGCGAGAAATGCCGGAAGTAGGTGAGAAATCTGCAACGTCTAACATTGGGGTTAGGTCGTTCCGACGCTGGTGTGACCCTAACCTAAAAGTTCCCTTGGTTTTCCCATCCACAGTTTACCGTTGAAGATTTTGGTGCAGAGATTCATGAAAGACTCCACGGGCAGTTTGAAACAAAAAACGCTGAATTAGGTGGTAGTTCTTATTCCGTTTATCCCTCTGAGAAACTAAAAAATATTTCTTCCTGACACGTACCAATAGTAGTGCTGCTATTCCTTCGACTTGTCCCGTTAACATTTTGACGGCCGCTGTCACGTATACGTGACCTATCAGTCCCCACTTCATCATACTTCATCATTCAACTTATGTTTGTGAGGTTACATTTATAATTCCTTATAATAATGTTCCAAGCATCTTCGTGTATCTCACCTTGGTCTACGGTATCAATGGAACGAACCTATCGATACATCGAGAGAGCGTGTCGTCTGATTCGTTTTCAGCTCGTCGATCCTCGAATTTCCGGCATATAATATCCGCGTTCGAGCGGCTTCCTGCCGGCCATTTTTCACGCGAAGCATTACAATGACCCGTGTCTCTCCTCCTAGACTTGAAGCACTGCACGGATGAATATATTACGCGTTTCCTGTTGGCTCGGAAGTATCGCACGGAACAAGCTGCTGCCCTGATAGCCGCTTATCAGGCGCAAGTAGCACATCGACAAGATATCTTCGGCAATCTAACGGCGAGGGACCCAGCCTTGCAGCGCGCGTTGCGAGCAGGAATACCGGGTGTGCTTCCTGCACGTGATAGGTGAGGTTATTCGGTCGTCTCCTAGCCTCCTTAAAAATAATAATTCCTATTAGTATACGAGCTAATTAATCGATACTTTTTTTAAACAATACAGGAAAGGCAGATGCGTACTGGTTATATTAGCGTCCCAGTGGGATCCAATCGCGGTGCCGGCGTTATCTGTGCAGAGAGCCATTTTCTTGGTCCTGGAGATTCTCATACAAGACCCAAGGAATCAGGTACGGTATACAAAGTGTTCAGCTACTCCTGGGAAAAATTTTAATGGGAGATTCTAGGGTCCAAAATAAGACGAAAATCAAGAACACCAATTTGTTGATCGAGGCTTCGTTAAAAAGTTATTAATGTTTAAAGTTCCGCCTGTAGAACGGCAAATTATCATGCGCACGCAGCTGTTCGCCATTCTACAGGCGGAACTTTAAACGTTAATAACTTCTTAACGAAGCCTCGATCAACAAATTGGTATTCTTGATTTTCATCTTATTTTGGCCCCTAGAATCTTTCCTCGGGGGGTGGCCGAACATCCTGTATAATATTTTATTACAGTTTCTCGTGCTGGTCGTTTCGTATACGCCCTGTAGAAATTATTTGATAAAGGAAATCTAATTAACCGTGGCTGAGAACATATTTTGATTTTTTTTTTCTAGCAATCCGGTTTCGTGGCGGTAGTAGATTGGAGCGGGTTCTCTTTGCGACAGGGCGGTGCCTTAGGCGCAGCAGCGCTGAGAAACCTAATAGCCGCTCTCCGAGGACGATTTCCGGCTAGATTCAAAGCTGTACACTTCCTGTCGGCGCCTCTTTACGTTCAAGCCACGCTGGCCCTTGTGAAACCTTTCTTGGACGAAAAGACTCGAAACAAGGTGCGGTGAACCTTTCATATCGATCTTAACGATACCCATCTTCTGTGTTTATTTTACATTTTACCTGGAATCAGTTCAACGCTTCCCGATATACAAACATTACGCTTTTAATTCCTGGGATTGCTCTTCACTTAAATTCCTGTTATCTGCTATCAGTATAGATACCCAGAAGTTAGCTATTATAGCATTTAAGAACGTTATACCGAGGAACATTGCCAAAAGGTTAAGAACCACTGGCCTAACGCATGAATTCAAACACGCTTCTGCATACACGATTCAAGGTAGTCGGAGTTAAATATTTGACCAAAAGATAATTCGATGTATCATCCTACGATTACTATGACTTATCCTCTTTAACCACGTCTGTACTAAAAACGCGATTAATTAACGCGGTTCAACGAAATGATCGTTCTTAAAAATTATTGTTTATTAAAATAATTGAATTATGGCAAAGACGATCGTTCAAGTTGTAAGATACGAATACAAAGACTCACTGCACCCTTTAATCTAGCTTTAATTTAATTTCTGTTTAATTAATAATTCTAGATCTATCTGCATGGGAACAATTTGAGCACCCTACACGAGCATCTGCCCACCGACATTTTACCAGCGGAATTAGGTGGTACAGGGCCAGCCTTCAACCCGGGACTATGGGCAGAGCCAGTAATTCATTCGGCAATGAAGGAAGCCGAGCTGGCCGCGTTAAAGAAGGAAAAAGAGCAAGCTGAAATCGCGGAGAGATCATGTGACAGAAATCTGGTCGAGTCTAGAAACGTGGAGAACCATAAAAGAAACCAAGCGGACTCCATGGAGTCGAGCAATGGTATGAACAAAGAGATCGGACGGCGATTCTTTAATCCCTTTGGTAGCTCTGTAAAGAACCAGTCCGCAAAAAAACCAGGTGGAACGAACGTAGAGCTGAATTTGATTAATCGCAGCATCGCGCACACGGAAGAAAGGGAGCATAGAAGAGGAGTGAATAGGACAATAATGGAAGACGAGGATACTCATTGTCGGAGTAAAGATAAAATGTTGAACAATGGGAATACTAATTACTTCGAAGATAAAAGGGAACGATACAAAGATTCCGAGGATAACTTGTTAGCTTTCCAGTCCGAAACGAACTCGAACGAATACGAGATCTCGAATAGGCCGGACAGCGACGACAGTAAGGACAATTCATTAGACAATAGATCGGAGAATGCGCTAATTGAAACAGGTAAGAGCGAGATACCTTCCGAAGAAACTAATCTCATAACGTAATATTAATCTCATCGAGCTATTTAGTTTAAAATAAATCTATCGAGTACTTAAGCAAGACTTTTATAAGTATGGTAATTCTGGTTACGAATATCGACCAAAATCAAATTTTCAATACATCGCTTTGGACAAAAGGGGAAGAATCAAGTTCAAGGTAGTTTTAGGGTAAAACGTAATAGATCACTTTTTGTAGACATTAAGGAATACCTTGTGATATGGTGAACGTCATTTTTAATGTATTTATATATTCATGAGGCTTTTTATTATTTCCTTCTCATAAATAGAAAGTACATTCACATTATGAACCAATTCGTGTAGAAGTATTAGTGGAACATTTAATATAGCGAATTCATAAATTTTTTTTCATTTTTTTTCTCTCTCTCGATATACTTGTGAAAACATGAATTCATTTTTATAAAATCGAACCCACTGCCTATTTAGGTCATAACACATTAGACAAACGATATACATATTAATGCGAATAACGTACATAAAAGGAGGGTAATGGCATTAAATCAATCCTTATCCTATTAATCGAAAGTACTTAACCTGTAACAAAAGCAGAACTCGTTGCTCGAATATCTCGGAGGTTCCTTTTTTATTTTTGTTTTTTTTTTTTGTTTTTTTTTATTTTAATTGTGCGTAATAAACACAATTTACAAATAGTTTTATAGGTTGCAACAAGTACTTAGACTGCGAATTGAAATTTGCGGTATACTTATAAATGTAAATTAATAAGTTGAACTTCATTGAAACACGTGAAATTATGAATATGGGGCAAGAAACATGTTCTTCCTCGTCATACACATTTTTACATATATCCTTTAAAAACCGTTTCGACAATAAACAATTCGTATTAATTCTGTAAATATGTATTAAATTATTTATTGATGTCAAATGTATCATGAAATTACGGATCTCTTATCACGCGTATTATATACCTGAAAAAGTGTTGTAAACATTGTGTATTTACAATTTTAAGTATATTAAATATAACAGATATTTTGTTTAAATCCTCCCCCTATAAGAACTGTATTTTTAAATAAATATATATTTTACCATTTGGAACATTCTCCTTTGGTCGTCTTGCTTTACATAGAAAACTGAAGAACTATGACAAATCATAAATTAAAATTTAGTTATATCGTTACAAAAATATAAATTATTAGTAACAGCACTGCATAGCATCTGTTAGATCAACATTGATACGTGATAAATGCATAGTAGTACATTAAATTAACTAAATTTTAAGTTGGAAAGCTACATCTCTATGAAAAATGCATATATTAATTTGTCTTCCATCCATATGTTAATCAGACGCTAACAAAAGAGAAATTACGGTAGAAATAATGGAATAAAAATTTATTATTTTAGTACATAAAATATATATGTATACGATTTTAACATCAATATACATTATAAACATAGAATCTTTTAATACTTTATCACATTACCGAAAACATCCTGCTACCTTATAATTCCCTTTTTTATTTTTTCCTCACACACACACTCTCCCCCTCTTTTTCTCGATTTGTATGAAAATAGAAAATCCTACACAGAGATCTAAGATGAGGTATATAAAAAACGTTAGTCAAATATAATGCGACAGGTTGCTTATGTACAAATGTTATTACTTACGTGGACACTGAATTTTGTTACAAAAAAGAAAAAGAAGAACCTTTCAACATCAATGTATAAATATAAATATATGCAGTTATGAAAACTATGCGTTCTCTGATTCGAATCGTATTTCGATTTATGATTCGATGTGTCTATGACCGTATGCTTGACATAACGCAATTTATAGTGGACTATAAAACTGACGGTGACTTCTATGTTTCTCAAATTACGTATACTTTACGCGTATAATCGTCAACATGGAATATTGTAAACGTGAACATCTACTTCTCTGAATACATATGTGTTTTGTACTGTACCTTATGATTTCTCGTTATGAAATTATCTTGATGTAAATTGTTTGTCGAAAACTAATAATGGCAGAGTATGGTGGAAATTGTACACATTGCGTACAATGCATTAGATTATTGTCCAACAGACAAAACTCAGGCTACAACAGCAGGAGGAACCCAACCACCAAAACCGCGTTCCAATTCCTCCGCTACGGCTATCGTTAAACGATCTTGATACAGATCACCGACAACCTGTTATAAATATAATTACAAGGTATTAGAAATAATCCATTTAACGGCATAACGTCGACGTATCAAAATTTGCACCTGTATACCAATGGGAAGACCTTGCTTGTTCAAACCTAAAGGGCAAGCAGTGGCTGGCAACCCTAGCACATTAATAATTGCAGTGTACGAAAAATTGAACGGTTTAATCAGTGGCTCGTGATGCAACGGTGCTGCTGTTGGATGTGTTGGATACAAAAACACACCGTTATCACCCAAGATTTCCTATAATAAAAAGTATAGTAAGAAAGATGTCGTGGCATATGGTCAAAGATGAAAAAACTGGATGCTTCTGGTTTACATGCTTCCTAACAAATTCAATCGCTCGTTTCGTTGCGATAAAAGGACTACAATATAATTCACAAAAAGAATGTACTTTTACTAAATTAGATAGAAAAATCGCATTCTGCATGCAGGGCGAAAACATGTTTCTGTTACTAAATAGGGAAACACGTTATACCGTGTGTGACACACTAGTAGCCTGACCAGTTTGCACAAGAGTGATTCGAGAAAGAATTCACATCCGCTAACGAACAGTACAGTTCCGTAATTCGATTGTAAGAATTAATCAATATCTTGATATCTTGCGCGGTATTTCGGAAAGGAAGGCGAAGAATAAAGGTGCCAATTCCAACCCTGATGAGTTACATTACGGCCACTTAATCAATTCGAGATATTGTAATAAAAGTTTATATACAGAAAATTAAAGTTCATCGATATAATGCATAAGCTTTGCGAAATACCTTAAATTCTTGATAAAGATCCCTACTCTCTTGCATCAGCTTAACATGCTCCTCGCTTTCATGTTTCACCGCGAACCTTTCGAACGTAGCTGTGAGAAGAGCTATAAGCGTATGATTGCTCATGAACATTGCCCATTTTATAAACTCCCACCAGAGATTTATGTGACCGTTTCTGTTCGACAATTCATACGTGAAGTCTTTCTCATCCTTGCAACTCATGTTCGCCATCCACAGTGCAATGCTTTTCTTCATTTTTCTAATACTGAGTTTGGTCGCCTTGGTTTTGTGCGCTTTCTCGAGATAACGAACTACCCCCCTCATAGCGTCTCTTATTTCCACGTCTACCGGTGATGTTAAGAATTGACCGCCGTCGTCTTCCATGTAATAGAACTAAATTAAAACATATATTTATCGCATATTACAAAGTAAAAAGAACACTTAAGTATATAATTCATACCTCGATTTTTGAAATATCTACTTTGCCATCTAATCGCAATTTATCCACGTTCTTGTCCGCAAGAACTTTCAAAGTGGGCATCAGGTCTTGAGCATACCTACACATTGGACCAACTGAAAGCAGCCTATCCTGTTCATCGCTGTGAGCACTTGGATACTGACCATGTTTGGAAACTATTCCCTCAGAAGGTTTGTGTCCAAAAACACCATTGAAAAAGCATGGCATGCGAATAGAACCACCAATATCTGATCCTATTCCTAATGGTGAGCCAGCGGCTGCTTGTAGGCAACCTTCCCCACCAGAAGATCCCCCGACTATATGCCTAGTATTGTAAGGATTTTTCGTAGTACCATATATGGAATTACTGGTTTCCCACCACATTGCCAATTCTGAAACGTTTGTTGTTGCCAAAGGTATGGCCCCTGCAGTTTTCATCAATTTTACAACGTCTGCATCATGCTTGGCAACAAATTTTTTACGAACAACTAAACCAGCAGTTTGCTTCATGTTAGCAATTGCAATACAATCCTATAAAGTGGATATTACTTGAAATTGCTTTCCAATTAAAGGAGTCAACTCAATGCAGATTATTGTTTTGTTAGGTGAAACTTACCTTTGTTGTGAAAGGCACTCCAAAGAAAGGCTTTTCTTCTGCTAAAGTTTGAGGAGATGGAGCATCCTTAGATTTCAGAAGTTCATCACATTTCTTTGCCTCTTTGAGAGCTTCTTCGAAGCGTTCCTCTACTACACAGTTTAGCACTGGTTGAATTTCTCTTATTCTATCTATGTATGATTGTACTACATTTTCTGAAGTCAGCTGTAACAGTAAATAAATGGTGAAATATTTTTCTCAAATGTGTTTCTTTCCCATCTCAAAGGTAAATGTGTATTTGGGTGGACTTACCTGCTTATTGCGAATTTTAAAGGCTAAAGTAGTTGCACTATGTAGAAGTGTTAAGTCCTTTATAGGTGGTTGAGATTGGGCGGGACCTTTCAGAATTGCAATGAACAGATATATTCTTCTAGCAATTATTTCAATCAATCTATGAAGCACACTCAATACTTTTCCCGTAGTCTGCATTCTGCTTTGATTCTTAATCTTGGTAGACATTTATCTAAAAATAGGTTAAATTTCAATGCATTAGTTACTATTCCCATGTTGCGATAAAAGTTAATAAAAATAAAAGATGCTGAGTAAACAGCAGAATTTAATCTATAGTGTATGCATTGGAATAAAATATGTGCTGTAATAACATCATGACAGTGTCAGTAAACAATGAATCAAACTATTGTATAATGGATGAACATCGTTATTCATGATAGACAATCTGAATGAATAAAAGCATAGAAAGAAATTATACATTTACAGAAACAGACTACATTTACTTTAAACATTTTATCGAAACGTGACAAACCAATTTTTAATATAATTTCGAAATAATAAAACTAATTAATTCAAGTATGCTTAAATAATGCATTAACTTGAAAGTCTGAATTTGATTCTTGCCCACTGTACATCGTGTCGACGTAGCCCACGGCCAACCTGTATTTTAATACATCTCGCATTATACTTGCTAAACAAATAATACACTCGTAACGCCAGCTTGGATACGTTTCGCCATTAGCTGACATGCAAAAGGACTGATGGTTTATGGTACGTTTGCATCATCTTAATCACGTTTAATCGCGCTATCTCCATCGTTCTGGCGGTAGATTAATTGGTTGACCTTGCGTCAGAAATGATATTACCCTGTGTTTTTATGGAAAACGCCGGTACTTATCGATTAACGCGTGCCCCATAAACGACTGCCCCGAAGTGGTGACGTGCACGGCGCGGCTCGGTTTCAAATGACTTCTCAACAAACAGACGTCGTAGGCGCGATAATTTTAATACGAATTCCACACTGATAAGCCAGTAATGATGCAACCGTCCGAGTTACGCATCAAGGCTGCCCATACCAACATCATGTGAGTTTGACAGTGGTCGTTCGACCGGATATTACTTGCGGTGCGTTTCAAGGCGATGTTCTCGTTTCGTCGGGCGTTTTCCACCGGTCGGAAGCTTGCCGTGATGCACGCGGTCCGCGTAATGGGAGAGAACCTCGTTCGGTCGACGAATAACACACCAAAAAGGATAGATTCTCAAAAGTAATCGAAACGAATCGCTCGATCGACGAATTCGATCAACCGATTGCGAAAGCGATCGCGCCTAACGGTGCATGGGCGAGTCCCTTTTCCTCGTGCCTTGCTGGCGCGAACGATTTACGAATTTGATCAATCAGATCATCGAATTAATTTTAAACACGTGACCGAGGCAACTTGGAAACGGTCGATTGGAAATCGATAATTGTTACCAGAGTAACGTTGTCTCCGGAACAAGTATGGAGCATTGACGAACGTTTGTGCAGATCGAAGTACGTACATACTTACAACAGTGATTCGTTTAATGGGTCGACTGGAGAAGCCTGCTGGAAACTAGCGAGCGAATCGATATTGTCCGACACCCCTTCGATAAAGAACAAATTTAAATCACGCGTCATCGACAGTGTAGTGTTCCGTTCCGTATGACACCTCTTTTTTCGGCACTCGAAGTCAACTGATACCACTGCTCACGAGCTCCACTCTCACACCTTTGCCGGCACGAATACTGCGCGAGGGCTCGCGCAATCGCAACAGTCGGTGGGCTGGTAGACAGTCTGGGACTAACGGCGACGACCTTTTATGCGTCGCGGAGATGTTTGGCTGGTCGGGGATAGGTCGTAAAATGGCCGCCGAGTAGCGACAGGAACGATGCTTTCGCGAGTAAATGTTATTTATCGAGGATAGATATTTACAATGAGCGTATCGATATCGATCAGGTCACCCAACCATCACGACCCCTCGATCTGTTACGATACTATTTATATGCAACTACTTTTCCAATAAAGATGCTTTCGCTTCAACGAATATGTACTTACACTTTCCAGTCATTCAGGGCCGACTTTACGCATCGCGTCGAGGCGTTTCGACAATGAAATCAATAAAATAAATAAATTTGGGGACCTCGATTTTAAACGATTTTTAAAATAAAGAATTATTATATTGTTACAGAGTAAGAATTCTAGAGTTTTCCAACGTGAGTAATTTTTCAAGGTAAAGTATGATTTGCATGCAGTAATCTTTATTATTACCGCAGTTACTGCATGTTTCCTGCAAAGTTATTACTTTGACTAATATCCACGCAAATAGATCGGTAATTTGTGCGATAATATTGTTACGTAATAAAATGTTATCTTACTTAATACATATTATTTTGAAATTGAAACTCAAGTTTCACCTCGTTTCAATTTGTAACATAAATTCCAACAATCCGTTGAATAATTGTGCTTGTGATTATGAAAGTGGCCTAAGTCATATACCGGGTGTCCGATAATAAAAGATTTCATTTCTCTGTGTTTCTTATCGTTTACTTGAATAGTCGCGCGCGATTGTCAGCTCCGACGATTAACTTCACGCAACATGGACACGGTGTTTATGTTTGACAGGTTGTTATCTTTTAACACATTTGCTTATTTATGCAAACGATACCTTATATTTACTTCTTTTTATATATCCTGAATAGCTACGTAATATTTTGAAAACAAAATACTTGATATGTCAATTATTTGTTGTTTATCAAGTTTAGTTGCGTTCCCGCCACAATTATGCGACACTCATAGAATGAATTGTACTTGAACTCATTTTCCTCCACAGTGTTTTGAAATCGCTAATTAACCTTTCATCGAATTATATTTACATAGTGCTTTATACACAGTATATATAGCTGTTCATTGAAAGTAATTTATAAGAGCAAAAAATGAATAACAGGTGTGCAGACACATAGGAAATCCATAACGTATGATAATTTAAATGTTTTGATCCATTTCTTCGTTAATAGCTATAACCTTCCGGCTGTCCAGAAAAAAAAGTAACTGGTTATGTAAAAGATCGTGAAAGATTGACAATAGTATGTAGGGCACACATTTTCACATCGAATCATAATATTCATTATTGATAAACAGATGACATATCGTCAACGACAAGTACATCGTAATCGTTCGAATTAAAAGTAACCTCGATAATTTGCATTTATCGCGAGCACTTTTCCTTATTTTTATTTTATTTTTTTGTAACATATAACCGTCAACAATTCCCCGTCATCAGGACACGGAACAATTCGTAATTTTCCAATCGTCATGAATCATTAAAGCTCGTCAGATGGCGACTCGATCGCACGTCATCAGCCAAGATACTAAAGAGGGACAATGGCGTCAATGGTGACGCGCGCGCGTGTGTCTGTGTACGACAGGGTGAATGTCACTTTGTGGCCACTTACTTCCTTATCACTCCACAAAGAACGTTCATCATCCTTGGTGATTTTATTATTGGCTGCGTCTCGTGCTGAGTTAACGACGTAACGGTGTGGTGAGACTGACTCTTACGTTTTCCAACTTGAAATGGGGCTCGCGATCGCTGATCGCCTTTTTGAGGTTAGCTCACAGAACTGTGCGGCATTTTCGCGCCGCAATAACACTTTGCGAAACCTTGTTCCGTTCTCCGTTCGCTCGATTTATCCGCTGTTGGTTCTTGCGACGTCTGCATTACCGAGATTCTGTACGTCGACCATTCCGTTAAAATTCATTCGATGATTTGGGTGTCACCATGATCCAGCCATTCCACATCCACTTCCAACATAACCTTTAAATTTGTTTGGACCTTGTTACGTTTCATCCCTTCCCGTGTAATGATTATTATAGTTTACCATAGTATTATAAACGCAAACTTTGTAGCATGTTTAAACTTCTCGTGCTATTTCCATTGTTTCAGACAACTTCTATTAGTTGCAAGTGAATGTAATTGTTTTGTTTCTCGAATGACGTCGGCTTGATTCATGTCCTCTTTTTTTTGTCTTACTCTACTATTGATTCCATTTTATCTATTACGAAAGTTATGACATCAATTCAGCTGTCTCAACTTCCTACAGCTGTTTTTATTTTCGGACGCGTCGTGTCCTGTCCAGTCTTTAACCTCGATTTATATTTTACTTCTCCGATTACCGGCTATTACCGAATACAGCCAGAATACTTTAATAATAAAACGAAATACTTTCCATTCCTTGTAAATACTAAAATTAGGTAAATGCTTCTTTTTGTAAAAATAAAACAAGTTCTACGAATAAAATCGTCCGAGGGGGCATAATCATATTTTATTATTCGTGAAACTCGGAGTGAAAGTAATAGGAATATTTCGTGACTCTCTTGTGTTTCGCTTTCTAAATTTTACCATAATTACTTTTTGATGATACACATTTCCCAGCGTATTGAAATACCAGCCGAACAATACCGTGATGAAAGACTTCGATAAGTCCTTAAAATCATACTAGTTTTTCGTGCTTATCATTTTCTGCAATCCTGATCGAGATACGTGTATTTTTATCGAACAAACGAGGGGGTAGGTCCAATTTCGAGCGGCTTTAATCTTATCCGATGGAATTTCGAAAATATTCGCGCCAAACGTTCGAGGCCATCGAGAGACGAAAAGCCCGGTCGCCATTCTAAGCCCGATAGAACGTTCTCCGATAATTGAAACCTTGACCCAACGATTCAAGCCATTCAAAAACGCGAGCCAACGAGTGCAAAAGTTTTTTCCGCTATTTCCTCAGATTCGCGCCGCTGCTATGACATAGTGAATACCGAGGCATCGAATCGCTGGTCGACTCCGGAGCAATCGTCGCGATCGAGGTCGCCGTGAAGGATGAAGAAGGTCAAGGGTCAGGACGACGCCAAAGACATTCAGGAAAAAATGAAGATGGTGGACGTGAAATCGTCGTCGCCGGCCAGCCTGCTGGCCAGAAACGCTGTTCTGTTGCCCAGTAGCTTGGCCAGAGTCAAGCAATTCGAGCAGTCGAGAGCGATAATAAGCCAAGCGGGGTCGTCTTCCGGTTCAGCCACCGGTGAGTCAACAAGTTGATTATCCGGTATGCCTTTGGCGTTCAGCTTTTAACTGTTTGCACGCACAGGCATGGGAGTTGCGTATTACCATTGTGCCGTGTGGTTTATCAGGAATTTCTTTAGGTAACCTAATTATTTTGTCATAAGGTATGTATTTTTTATAACAAGGACTGGATGGGTGAGTAAGATAGGATTTTCCAAGCATTTGGTTAGCGAAGGTTGCTCAAGAAAAATTGTCCCAAGTTAGTGGATGTTAGGAAGGGGATCGTAGACGAAGTTTCTCCAGCATCATGCCCGGTTCGCATTATTGGGTCAGGATAGGGCAGGGCAGGGCCACTTGGCGAGTACATTTTGTCTCCTGTCCTGTCCCGATAGTGAGAATCGGTCTTATTCGGGGCCCAAGAAGAGGAATATCACAACGTGGGATTGGACTGGATGTTTCACCCGTCGAGAAGTGAAACACGTTACCGATTTGCATTATTGGGTCAGGATAGGGTAGGGCAGGGCCAACCGGTGTGACCATTCTGTCCCCTGTGCTGTCCCGATAGTGAGAATCGGTGCTAAAAAAAATTTATTCTTCGCTTTATTAATGTATATACCCGTTATTTTTAAATTTCTTTCGTTATACGCGAAATACTCAGACGAAAGTTTAATTCGTAATACGATATTTTCAGCGATAAAGAATGCACGCAGAAAAAGTTTACCATTCAAGTGTGGAGGCTGGGTCTGGCTGACAAAGTTCAGACGAAAAGTTTCTGGTGGATTATGGCGGATACGTTTCAACCGGATGGAAAACGCGACCGATTTATTCTTAACGCGCGGAGCAGTTCCATGAAAGTCATGCTTGTGCGTGGCTGTTCGATACCCGTCTATTTATAATTCCGTGGTTCTATAAGTTTAGCCAAATATTGATTTTGTTCAAACGTCTGGCCGCGGTTCACTTTTGAGCTTTCGCATTCCGATCGACGTGTCCATGGTAAACACCAAACATGCTCGCCACGTCGCGTTACAAGGTCATTATGACGAATGGGTTGCGACGAAAAAAAAACGTTACGCAACCACGGGATAAGGAGCGCTGGATCATTATTAACCTCGAGACGATAGGGAGCGTCGTTGACCACACGAATCAAGAACTCTTCCATTTCGTTTAACGTAGTTTTGTTTTGCTCGAATTACCAAAAATAAATAAGCGAAAATTGAAGTCTGAGTGCAAATTTCGTGAATACATTTTTATCTTACAAAATTGGAACATTTATCTTTGTCGAAAGTGACGGGAATATTTTTGGCACCCGAGTTAACCAGGACATCCTGTCGCCGCCACTCGAAGGACAGGACCAATCTCGTCGAAGTAACAAGAGTCACGTGCCACGCCATTAATCCGTTAAAAATCGTTCGACCGTTTTCTACGTAATTTGATATCCGGATTCCAGGGGTGTCGAGTTTTCTTGTTAGGAGTGACATAGTCTAGGGCGATTCATGCATGACCGGTAACGGAACCACTACTGCCACCTACCGGAGGGGGCAAGGAATAGACCAACTGATCTGCCCCCTTACTGCGTGTACGGGGTTAGTTAGTTCCTGTAGCGAGCTACGCTCGGACGCACAAAGGGACAAATAGTCCTCCCACGCAGGATACTACGTATCTACATATTAAAGTGTTTTATAAACTTTATGTGTGTCGCCCTTCCTGCGTTCACCTCCACGTTGCGCCACCAACATTTCTAACCGAAGATCGGTTTCTGCGATGGAAATGCACCGAATCGGGGAATCGAATTTTGCTCGGTTACCGGACGCAAACTGATCATTTCCGCGAGGGAATCTACTTTTGAGATCGTGGCTCGCATACTGCGCGAAGATGGAAAAAGTCACGGGCGTTATTGGTTCTGTCGCAGCCATGAATTTTGTGATTTATTCTGATTGGATCGCTGGCTCGTTTCGAGAATACAGCGAATTTCTTTTCAATCCAATCGCGAAATTGTAAAGCAACGTTAACCAATATAATCACACTTGCTATTTAAATTGAAAAAAAGAAGGTACAATTTGTAGAACGTGTAAAATTCTAATAATTGAATCACACACTGTATTAACACGTATGTTAAATAAATAAAAAATAGTTCGATTTATGTCGTGTTTGGGTTCGTTTTAATCGACTGGCTCCCAATAATACATTGACACCATTGTTAAGAAAATATCGAAATTATGGGGAGTAAAATTTTGTAGATTGCACGATTATTTTGTTGAAATCGTCGTTGCTCGACATACTCTGTCCGTGTGTCTTTGTCATGCAACGATTCGAGTCCGTTTTAATAAAATGATACGCTACCTTGGACGATTCGATGAAATTCCGGGGTCGTATCTTCCCTGTACTCTGTGCATAGCGTTTCGAGCATCGATCAGATTCAATTTCTCGGGCGAATTATTATCCGACTGTCCCAACGGGGGGGCGAGTACGCGTAAACGCTGTCACAGTCAGGTCTTTCGTACTGAAAGGGTTAATTATTCAGGGTTAATAGTCAGCATCAGCCCGAGTCACTGTAGCGACGTCGATCTTCGCGGAACGCCACACGCTCAGTGGCGAGATCCTGCGTGTTAGACACGCCGTAGCTACTATATTGATCTACCTGTCCGAGGGCTATATCGGTCCGCGTGTTTCGGTGCAGTACCTTCCAGTCCGCCAACGCGAGATCAACGTTTCGTCCGGCAGCTTCTCCCGCGATCACGTTTCGTTCACGTCGAAACGTTTCGAACTCGGACCATATACAATCTGTTTACTTCGAATCGACGGTTCTCGTTGGTGGACGCTTCCGGCCGGGCAGGATGACTCGTCCGAGACGCATCTCGGGGACGAGCAGCAACATAACACCAACGTGACGTATCTTTGTCGGGCGTCAGTCTCTGTTTTTCTCGTTTCGTTCTTCAATCGTTGGTTTTTTTTTTCGAATACTCGCGGCCGGCCATTTCTTTGGGGTTGACGTGGATTGATCGTGCCCGCTATTTCGATTGCTTTTTGCGCGCTACGAAGTGTACGTGTATATATGTCGATTTTCGACGTCACCGCGGTCTCGTGCAGGTACGCTCGCGGGTTTATCCCGTTCCCGCCGTTTTACACTCGATTTTCTAGCACGTTTTCACATCGTTCCGCTGACGGGACAGAAATTCGTACATGTTTTGGTCTCGTTTGACGTTTCCACGCCACTCGACAGTGTGTCTTGTCATCTCGCTACCCACATTTTACATTCAAAGCTAGATTTACACCGGGCATTGATTGCACGTACTTTTATCGAAAATCATATCCACGATTTTTTTCATATTTATATAACTATGTCCAGCGTTGACTGAGTTCCGGTAGAGTTTTATTTCCCATTCTGGCACTGCTTCATCGAGTATTCCTTTTTTTTTACATTACGTTCGTTAAAGATGTTTTTAATACATTGGCGTTTGTAATGTTCGTAGTTCGTTATTATTTCTTTCAATATTCAAGAGTTTGTCGCACCGTTGCTCGAGCCCCTTTAATATTTTACGATGTCACTTTTCCCTCGTAATTTGCACCGTAATTAACTGCCGTTTCAACGTAAATACTTCAACATTTTATAGACGTTTATTAATTTTTTTTTTACTCAAGCACGCAATTTTCCAAACCATTCCACGGCGTTTAATATCTCCATTATATTATTCATTATCCAAACGTGGAGTTCAGGAAAAATGTTCCTGCAGACAATAACCTTTAGGAAGGCTGTTACAATTTTATGACCGCCGTGAACGCTGTTTTATGCTTCGGGAAGTATGTACAAGGGCGTTCAGAAAAGTTGGAAAGACCGTGTTTAAATTCTACAACTTTTATCGAGTTCCTGCGCGATCATCTTTATTGTTAAAGACGCTGTAGAGAAAATTCGCAGTTCTTTTCTACTAAAAATTCCATCGTGGAGACCCAGCTAAAAAGAAACTCGTCGATTTCGAATAAAAGTTTGTTCAGTTCTGTCCGATTAGATTTTAAGGAGTCGAGACGCGATTCTTTCGATTCTTGTACGAAGAACTGTACATTAGGATTCGCAGAGATGCTCACGCGGCTGATTGTACGCAGGAGGATGATTAAACATCCCTGGACACTGACGTTTCGATGAGAAAATGCCACGATGCTGCGGCGCGTCTCTGGTTTCCGTCATGGACGGCGACGGGTCTCCGCAGAGTCTCGGTTTGCAGATCCAGGACGGTCAGTAATCAACGATAATTGGTTGTTAGTTTTACCCATTTTCGAGAACGTTTCCACGGGCGTTATGTTTCAAACGGACGTGCTTAATCGTCGCGACGCGACTTCCCAGAGGATCGCTTCATAAATTACGCCACGAGCTACCTAGTAGAATCTCAATTGTCCCAAGTTATCCGAATACGTTCTAACGAAAGGAAACGCGATCGTGTTCCGTTCGTGAGAGCCTTTTAGAAAGTCACCAGTCCGGATTCGACCAACTTGCGTTTGAAATTTGCTTTTGCAAAGTCGACGCGTGTTATCGCATTTTTTCCAGGAAATTACAGTACCTTCGACCAATTTAGTCGAACCAACGGGTGCCTGATATTACAATTCTAATTTACGTAATTATTACCATCGAAAGAAATTGAATTTCGAGGACGTTGCATTCTAATGTTTATTAATTTTTTTATGTTAGATAGTGAACGTATTAATAACGATCGTTTCAGATATGCACAACCATCGCCGTGCGGGGGACGCACATGGGCGTTCAACGAGCACAGTCGAAGGTCACTGATCCCGGTGTTCCGCACGGGGGTCATAAATAATTTCTAAAACTAATCTCGCGCGAAACGTTTGCTCGTTATCGGTTCTGGACGAAGACTGACCTTAACAAGCGTTATTTTTTCTCGGCTGTTCGCAGGCAATCCTCGAAATAAAACCGCATTAGCGCCTGGGCACAGTTTGATGGACTGGATCCGACTGAGCAACTCTGGCGTCGATTTGACCGGCGTCGGCGGCGTTCCGCGAGTCGTTACTTTGTCCGAGTTGGCCAATCACGATAAAGAAAACGACGCCTGGATCGCGATTCGAGGTACGATCGAACGGTCTCGATATTAATATTCCCGCCCGAAACGCGAAACTGTCGAAGCTAACGATGAACGTCTATTCTGATTTTAACGACATTTCGAAGGTTTATAGGGCGCTCGTAAATCGAGGGATACGCGACGTCAGGGGCAAAATCAATTAACATCAATTTCTGATCAATTTCTGGTAACGCGAGAGCATAGTTTCCCCGAGTATTTGGCCTACGTTTAAATTTCTGACAACAATTTAGGTAGACCTTTAAAACCAATTCCCCGCTGATGAGATTACACATCGATCGGGGGCTCCCATGGAGAAAACCCGTGTTAATTGAAATTTAATCGAAGGAATTAAAATCGATGTCTCGAAGGTGATCGCGACGGGAATAAATTCGGTGGTGTTTTCTGCCGTCGCGATATAATCTGGCTTGAAAGAGTGATAATAACGGGAATCGCGCGGGGGAGGAGGAGGGAAGTTTCAGCTTAGCTGGCTGGAAATTAAGTAAAATAGATAGATCCAGTTTAACGCTAAGTTAAACTTGATTCCAATTTAAGTTTCGCTCGACCGGGTCTCGGTATTCTCGTTTCAGCTGCTTTCACGGCTTTTGTTGCCTTTCTTCGTCTCGACGATGAAAATTGCATGCTGATCGATAGAGCACACCGTGTCTTCCCATTTTACACAGCGAATGAGCACAGGTCACGAGACGTCGGGGACAATACTGACCGGCGATAAACGTTTGCTTTTAACCTGATTAAAATTTATCATATTCCTCGCCAGTAATTAATTCCGTTCCACGGAACGTCGACGTGATTTCAATTTTTTCGATTTTCGTTCGAAACGATGCGTTCGGAATACCGTGACCCGAATATTACACAAATCGGTGTCGATTTTGTTTCGATAACGTAGCTTCGATCGGGTCGGTACAAGGTCTGTATTTCTATGAAATTGATACGACGTCGAAAATACGATATGAAATATTCGATACCCAGAAACATCGAGTACCGGCGTTATCAGCGTCGCGATTACAATTTTTACAATTTTTACAATTTTACGATTCTTTAATTCGTTGATATTGTTAATATTACTTACGGTGATTTCTGTTTAACGATATTTCGTATATAGGAATCGTCTTCAACGTGACGCGTTATATGGACTTCCATCCAGGAGGGACTAGCGAATTGATGAGAGGCGTCGGAAAGGACGCGACTAAACTGTTCGAAAACGTGAGTCCAAATGGTTCGGGACGCCACTTGAGCAAAGAAAGGGCTCTTTCAGACGAATCGCTCGGCAGAGATGCAGTCCACGTATAGGTTAAGCGGTTCGATGGAAATCAATTGGCCGCACAAGGCCACCGAGTGGTTTTACCCCCGCCTCCGCCTGGCTGACCTACCACTCGCTTCATCCATTTTTTTTCGGACCTGAAACTTATAAGGAGAGTGCTAGTCCTTCGAGGTCATCGATTTAAGTGCAATCTTTTATCAATAACTCCAAACCGTTATTATTCTTCGCCACTGTTTTCTCTGGAAGAGCCCTCGCGATTCCAGCTGATCGACTATTATTTTTACGTACCCATAGATCGTTCGTTGCAGGTGCACGCTTGGGTGAATTATCAGAGTATTCTGCAGAAATGCGTCGTGGGAAGACTCAGCCGTGGTTCCGTTTCTGCCTCGTCGCCGACGGAAACCACCCCCTCCAGCACGACGGATTGTTCATCCGCGACGTTGGACCTGATTAAAAGTTGCACGAGTCAGTAGGCTTCTTTCGTACCAATTAGTTTTCACTTCAACAGATTTATAGTGATAGCTTGAGACGTTAATAAATTTCCACTAAATCAAGGGTGTGGATCACTCTACGATCTTACTATTTACTGATATTTAGCGCGAAATACCAGCCAAGAAAATCTGTCGGACACCAGCCCGTCGAACTTGAAGATGGACTGGAGACAAACGACCAACTCCATCACGCTCTTCTACCAAACGGTGCGCGATTATCCGAGCATCTCCTATCACGTGAGGAGGATAAGCGACTCGAAGTTGCTCTTCAAACTGTTCTTCGAGAAGGAAGTAATAGCGCACGAGCTCGAACTGGCGGCAGGCGTTGAATGGCCACCAGCGTGCAAGAGGAACCTGGAAACCATGGAGGTAAATGTTCAATAATATTGTTTATCTAGTTCTACGATCGAAAATAAGCCAAGGATCATCGAATTTTGTTTTCGTAGGTGGACTTCACGTTCGCGAAGAAGACAAAAGGTATATGGAAGTCTCAGGGAAGTCACACGATATGGAGGGAGCCAAACACGAACGCACGGATGTACAAAGAGTACGAAGTGCTCGCTAACACACCGTTTTCCGAGTTGGTTCATCTGCTGGTTCTGCGAGCAAAAGACTCGTTGGAATTGGTACCAGTTGGGAGACACGTAGAGGCCAAAATGAACGTGATGGGTGAGTAGGCGTTTTTGGAATGGTCACCTGTCCTATTTCGAGATGGCCTTACTCAGGTTGGTAGATTACAGGTCCATTAAAGCAATGAACCTTGCAACAAATACTGTGAATAACAATCTCTGTATTTATTTATATAATATTGACATACAAAGAAATTGATGTTAATGTACCGAATCGGCAAGATAAAAATCTCTGGATGAACATGAAGTTCTAGGGAAGATCTAGACAGTGAAATGATCGTTACGCCTAATATTTTATCAAGACTCTGTAATCTACCATCTTATGAAAGACGACTAAAATGGAGGACAAGTGGTGTTGAACGACCGATTGATTCTGTTCCAGGAATGGAAATTTCACGATCGTACACGCCTGTCCCACCGTGCCTTCATCCCGACGACATGGTACCGAATTACAAGTCCGACTGCATATGTCTGATGATAAAGAAGTACCCTAATGGCGCGCTGAGTCCGTCCATAACCGCCCTACAGACCGGTCAGACCCTCGTGTTGAGCAATGCTTTAGGTGCCTTCGTAGTAGAATCCTTCGATCGTTACTCCGTTATTCACATGCTGGCAGGCGGAACAGGGCTCACCGCGATGCTTGGAATCATCCAGCGGTCCTTGGCCAGGCGCAGCGTGTTGGTATTCCTCCGTTTGCCTTCTTTTTTCATTCGTATTCGTTCCCGACCCTCCGCGCGGTCCAACTCGCTCGCCCCATTTCGTGTTAGTCAACCTAAATTGATTTTTAAAAAACGTTTGGCATCTTAGGACTGCGGTGAATCTTTGGCACTGTATAATGTCCCTTTTTTAGCGTATCAGTATAAAACGAGTGTTTGTCCAGTCGATAAGATGCGAATAAAACATTAGGCTCTTGATACTTTGATACTAGTGCTTTATCAATTTCTTTTGTTTCTTTAGGAAGACTATAAACCTCCTGAACTTCAACAAGGACGAGGACAATATGTTCTACGTGGCGCAACTGGACAAAGTTAGCGCGGAAAAGAAGTGAGTGATACGATTATTTTGTTCCAGGTAGGATTACCTTTGAAACGTTGATGATTTTTAGGTTGAAGGTTACACATATCCTTTCGCAAGCCAGCAGCAAATGGACGGGAAGACGCGGTACCGTGTCCGACGACTTATTGAGAGAACTTGTGGCGGAACAGTCTCCGGAAGCGTGTGTCTTCACCTGTGGCCCTCGAGGGTTCATGCAGTCCGCGAAAAAGTAATATCAACGCACCTGAAACAAAACGAAAAATACCATTAGATTGTATATTATTTGATTTATTAACAGTACGTATTTTTCAGATCCCTTCAGAAGCTCGGCTGGAAATCCTACCAAATGTACGATTTCGACGATTAGTCGATCCAAGCGAAAGTATGCCTCCCCTCCTTTTGATACCAAACTTACGAACAGAGACAGGAACGTCGAAAGTGAAATATTCCAACGGACCGAATCCTCCGAGGAATCGATCAGGCGTCGTACTTCCGAGCTTACAAAGAACATTTTGGATACTTTTACTCCTATTTCCGCCCACAGTGTCAGTACCAATGCGTGCGCGTTGCTCGAAAATGATCGAAGTGGCAAGTGGAACGAGAGGTGATCGAGGGAAACAGAAATTTTTAAAACCGATTCTAGAATCTTATCGTTTCGATTCGGAAACATATCTGTGACAAAATTAACTATTCCGTCTATCCTCAGCTATATTTTCAATTCCACAAAACTTGGAGATCATTCACCCACGCTTTATATCATTTTTTTTAGTACTTCTCGCGCAACGTATCTGACTTTCATCGTCTCTGAACGCAGTAAACAATAAAAGATATACATATATTTCTATACGTCGATCGTTCCGAAGGCTTACTTACTGTCGGGGAATATACATACTTTGTACCACGTCTACAAATTTTCGAACAAAATAAAAAAAAAAAAAATAGGAGTAAGGGTCTTAGATGAAAGTTTTAGGTTCTACTAAGGTATACAATTCACGTCGAGGCTTTCCGTACGGTTCGCGGAGACAGATTATTTTTTACAGATACCGTAATTTTAACTTTACATCCATACCTACGATATACATCCCGAGGAGCTGTATTTTTAACGATTTTATCCGAGAGCATCCGTAAACAACGTGCATGGAGATATATTTTCAGACATAGGCCAAGTTGAGACAGTCATGGCGCTATTACTTTCTTTTTAAAGAACATTCGTTTTCGTATAAAAATCATAATTGTAATTAAATATAAAAAAAAAGAATGCATGTACGATGAGGCATTTTGAGTTATAATTTTATAAATAAGACCTTGGTTCTTTTGCAAAAAAAAAGAAACAGAATGCGTGCCAAAGAGGGCCTCTAGACTTTTAAAAACCGATCGAAACATGAACAACATGGCCTAACGAGAGCGAACGTTTTAAAAAGCAACAAACGCAAAGGATCGTTCGAACTTCTAACGAGAGTTCTTGAAATCTCGATACCGTAAAACAATAAGTAATAAGATTTCTAGATAGGAAATAACCGAGAAACCCCTTGGAGTGTTTTTACCGATCAAGTATTTTCAGATTAAATCGCGAATAGTCGTCGAAAACACTTCAGTTCGAGCGTATAATTTAGAACATGGCCGTCTTTGAAAGCGGAGTGTACTCCTCGCGAAGGAATCTCGAGTCTTTATTCAAACATATTCAAGCATGGACCACTTTCTGCATTTATGTACATGTTAATACGCGTACATGTGTATGTATATGGGTGTATATAGTTGTTATCAGAAATAAATGAATATTTGATGGCTCCACGTCTCGTGCTTTCATGTCACGTTTCAGTCTACCGAACAAATTCTCTGCTATTTTCAATAAATATTAATAAAGAACATCTTCGAGGGTATCTCTTCGTAAGAGTCGCTGCCAAACGATCCGGTCGAGTCAACTTCGCAGACGGAACGTTTACGACCGCGTGGAAAGCTCTCGGATTATGAAAGTTCTGGGGCTCGGTTAATTTTCCGGTACGGCATACAGAGTGGCTATCGATCGCGCTAACTTTTTCCCCGCAATGTGACGCAACGACACACCGTCCTGTGGCGAGACCAGTTGTCTTTTGGCCGAGGGAAACGCATTGCTGCCAGATCGGCTTTCGTTGCACCCGGGAATCCCTGCCCTTGAAGACCCACCACCGTCGAATCTGAAGATATCGATCATCGTCGACGGACACCGGGTATACCGTTCGCTTGCCAACTCTCGTTGCACGATCCATCAATCGACCAGACAAATTCTGATGGCAGGCTAAACTCGTTACCCAGCAAATTCGAGGCTGATGTACATCTGCCATGCAAACGTTCATTGTCTACCTTTTGTTCTATCAGGGAATATCGAGTGGCTCGCGGGATCGTGTAACCCATTGTTTTCACAAATTTTGGGAACTCGACTCCCAAGGCTAGGTTTAAGCAGGAAACTTTCGGTCTAACTTTTGGTCTTAGAGGCGTTGCAGAAAATATGTTTTGAAAGAAGATAGATCTGGCAAAAATTTTTAGGGGAGTGATTCTAGAGGCCAAAATAAGACGAAAATCAAGAATAGCAATTTGTTGATCGAGGCTTCGTTAAAAAGTTATTAACGTTTAAAGTTAAAAAGTGAGAAACTCTACTTTTAAACGTTGATAACTTTTTAACGGAGCCTCGATCAATAAATTAGTATTCTTGATTTTCGTCTTATTTTGCTCTCTAGAATCTTGTATTAAAATTTTTCCCTACGATGTCGAACACTCTGTATGTATTTCATGGATCCTTTCCAAAGATCTAACGCAGTATTAAGCATTTGTAATCAGAATTGATCAAGAAACGAAGGAAAAATCTGAAGGTTCTGTGGTGTGTACTGAACAATGATCTAAGAATACAGTTTGTTAAAGATGAAATTAGAGGAAAATGGCGGACCACAATAAGCTGGCGAGAAATACAATGCAACAATGACGGAGGCTAGAAAGAAACTGGCCGACAGGCCTATTTACTGGGTGAAAGAGGCGTCGTTGGGGCCTGTGTCGTGTCAGACACAGTTCCCGTGGACTTTGCGCGACGGAGGAATTTCGTTAGAAAATTGTGAAAAAGCCACGGCCATTCTGTGCACCGTCGAAAGTTACGATTTCACCCAAGTACCGTTGATTCTAACGATAGCTGGTCCGACGAATGCGCCCGGAGAGCGGCACGAACCGAACAAAGGAAACTTTCGCACAAAGTACGCTGGCGGAAAACACGACGTGCAACGTCTGGCTCGAAAAAAAGTCCGTAGGCATCGCGAGACGTGTCTTCCCGTTCGCTGTCGCGAGATATAAAATCGATTTCTTTAACCATAGTGGCTGGTACTGTACAAAATTTACGATACTTTAATATTTATCGACACTTGTAACGGTGTATTTATTTTTACCAAAGAAACGAGAGATACTTGACATATTAAGGAGTTTTAGCTTTGTGTTTGTTAACGAATTTCGATATGGATTAAAGGTCGAAGTGCAGGAGGGTAGTCAAATCGCCGCTGCAATCGGTTTCAGTATCTTTTTTCCTTTTCCCCTAATTGAAAGAGGATACAAAATTTTGCCAAGTTTCAATGAGTTCAGGAGCAGAGGGATGAGGATAGTTGGTGCCCCGAGGAAACTTTGGAGTCTTTTATCCGCCTCTACTCGTTTCCATTGAACAAACCAATTACTCTCTTCCCAGAGCTGTTTTATTAGCGTCGAGCGATTACGTAACAAACTTGTACCCGTGTACACTGAAATCCCTGGGAAATTATTTTTCGCTACGAGTTTTTGTTCGCTGCCTGTGCATCATAATCTTCGTAGAAAATTTAATATCGAGAGCAAAACGAATATCAAACTGTCTTCGTCGATGAGACCTACTAGTCCGAACGATCGACGAATTACAATAAAATACAAAATTCAAGTATCGTTAGGGTAGTCCATCAATTATTTGATCTAATAAGGGCGAGGGTTGAGCACAATCGAGGGTGTCGGGAAATCGGGGGATTTCTTTCCACCCTAGGGCAACAGGTAGGTAATAAATATATCGTGCTACCGTTTCTGGAACATAATGCCTAGATTATGTAACGTACATCTAAATAACAAATCTCGCGAACCTTTCGATGAATCGTGAACAACGATGAGACATATTATTTTTTATCTTCTGTGCAAGTAAAGTAGAAGGGTTGTTTCTTTCGAGTAAAAGAAACCCCATTTAATTTTGATGTGTTGTTTGTCTTCTGATAAATCAGAATTGTGTGCGATACAAGATTTATATCAAACGTTAAAACTGTAACTTTCTACGGACGCTGATGGCTTCTAAGCTGATACAATACGAAGCGAATGAAGTGAAAAAAGCTAACAATTCCGCTTGACTAATTAGACGGGCGCTATCCGATTACCTATTCAAACGGTTCGACGTCAACGCGAGCGAGTAATCGGTGCGAAACTATATCGCAAATTTGCCAATTAATTCGTGTTCGTTATCACGCATCGAGCCCCTCCGACTGCAGAGTCGAGAACGTCCAGGGTTTCATCGGCTCCTGCTGAAATCATCCGGGTTATCGGTAATCGAGACGTGGCCCGATATCGTTTTTCCCCGGACGTGCAATTAATCGACGTCGATCCTCGCGATAGCCTAAGAACGTGGATTTAATTGACGACAGCCCCGAATCCAGGAGGTCTTCGTCACCGTCGTACCGAGCTCGTCTAAAAGGACGGATCGAAAATTATTTCTATCCTTATCTTAATTTTCGTTTCGATCCGATCGAGAGAAAAAAAATTATCAATACGTTCACTGTCCATGACCCCTATATGGGTCATACCGCAGCGCTATTGGATACGCCGCTGAGAAACCGGACAGTGAACGTATCGTACGGAGTATCGGTTCCTGAAAATGCGAATAGCGTTCCCCGTCACGGTTAATCCGCGGTTCGTACTGGAACAATGTTTCGAACAATGTCGAATACCGCCTCCGGCGATCGAACAAAGCATCGCGATGCAGAAAATGGCGGTATTGTTCGCCGGAGCCCGGGGAATGATCGATCGGGTACCATTCTGTTCGTAGCGATCAAGATGGAACGAAGGTGTGTCGTCCGTCGCCCGGCAAGGAGTTCCGTTGTTCCGATCGATCGGACGCGAACAACGGGGGGGCTCGTAGCCGAGAATCACGTGGAATTTCGGCCGTTGGTACCCTCTCTGTTCGCAGGGATTAATTTTTTGCCCGAAAGAAACAAACGCGCAACACGTTGCGGAGAAACTTGTTTTTGACATCGAAATAAATTCTTGGGAGCGCAAACTTTTTCTATTTCGTCAGAATTTGTACACGCGGTTCGGGAATGATATTACCAGAGCGACGAAGTAATCCCGGAAGCTCAATTTTATGACGAGGATGGGGATCTCGAATGGTTCAAAATGCTCGAAAAAGACCGTCGAGGCGTCGAGCGTAAACGAGATTCTCGAAAGCCTAGGATGATCGATCCAAGAGCCTTACGTTCGAAATTTAAGCGCGACGAGGGAGGATCTAGCTGCTCGTAATTTGGTCGAGAGAATATGTTCTCGGTTTATCGCTCGACGTTGGTTAAAAAAAGTTTATCTCACGCCGTAGGAAAGAGAAGAGAACGTAAAAATCGTCGCCGCTGGTCCTTGGCGTGTTTTCCGGGGTCGTCCGGTGGTTCTCGGGAAAGAAAACCAGCCACGCAGCGATCGAGGGACCGCAAAGAACGCAGCCACGGCTCGGCACCGCGGCGTATGGCGCACCTCAACGCACCGCGATCGACCCCGTGTCTCATAATCCCGGCGAGCGTTGAATACGCTTGACAGCGGCCGAGGTAAAATAAGAGGGAATCGCGCGTGCAGGGGTGGAAGAGGCTGAAAGAGAGGACTAGGTGGCGGGCAAAGGCGGTACGGGGTGGGGGACGGACCGTGTGCCGAACGGGGTAGAAAGGATCGGGATGCTGCGGGCAGAGAGCACGGTTTCAGTCGCGCGACGGCTCTCGTCCCGGCCAGTCGATCGAGCTCCTCTCCGTCGAGGAGAGCCAACTCGCGCTCAACAGACGATGCTTCCGTCGAAACGACACGTCGATCGTGCGACGTACTCGCGATCCAACGATGTGTGATCGCGCGATCGGTCAGTGTGGACCCCGGGTTGGTGTCGAACCCCGCTTCAAATCGTTTTTCTTGCTCGCGTTCGAGGCTCGAGAGCTAGCAACCACCTGTGCTCGCGAGGCCAGACGTTCGCAGAAAACAGTGTCGACGGGGGTCCCTCTCGAGGATCGACTCGATCTTTTCGCGCGGCACGAGTCGACGGACGCGTTGGGTCGTTGGACGTGTCCGGTCTCGCCGCTAAAGAAAATTCAATCTCGTTGTCGCGGGTCAAGGTTTGCTGTTTACGTTTACGGCGGTTGAAACGCCCCTGCACGGGCGACGAGAGGATAAATGGGTCTCGCGAGAGCGGGTCTCGTGCCACGACCGTGTTCACGAAAGCGTCTACGTGCAAATTGATCGCTAATTAATAGCGGGAGTCGTCGACAACGCCGGGAACCTGGCCGACGCGACGGCCTGGAATCTGAGCGTTCTTCTTTGCGCGAAGCCCCGGGTCAAGGCCAGCCCCGACGCTTTAAAGGCGCGCGAAGGAAACTAACGCCGAACGCCGCGTGTTCTTGGGCCCGAATTTCCGTCGCTTAAAGGAAATCTCCCTTTTCCGAACGGTCCTTCATCGCCACCCTTTGACGCGCAATTTTCCCAGGAAACGAGACACCTATTCTTCCTCTTTCGTCGGTCGCCTTTCCGTTTTCCAGGCCAACGTTTCTGTTAGCTCCGGTAGCTCGAAACGTTGTACTGTCGGAACATTTCATTTTATGCACCCGCGTTGACCGCCATGCTAATTTAATATTTCAGGCTAGGAATACTGCAAAATACATATTAAAGTTTCCGAGTTTGCGGTCGTCTTTAAAAGTATCGATTCGAGACTAATCTGCATTCTCTATAAATGTATTATGTCCTGGGTCGTGTTACAAGTATTTTTTCCCATTTATTGAAAAAAATATTTGAACGATCTCTTGTCGTTATTGAACGCCCGTTTATAGAGTTTTACAGGTATCGAAATAAATGATAATCCGCGAGGGCGTTCGTACGCAGAGAAATATCTTCGAAGGGTGGCTTTGGGTTCGATCGTTTGGGAATAATCTACATAATTAACACGCCGTCATCCCATATCGATGGCTATGAAAATAATGACAAAAGGTTGATCAGCAACGTTTAACGCAAATAATGAATCACTTGTGACACGACTATATCCAGTATCATTAAATTTGACTCGACCAAAATACGCACCATTAACACGAGTAATTGTCTCTCAAAATGGTGTGCTTCGTATTTATAAAATTCGATGCTTCTCGAATCGTCCAATTATCGATTAAAACCATTTTCTGTTCAGAAAGGCGAAATGAAATTCAAGTTACGATCCTCTTCAAAAACGAGACTTTGCTATTTCGAATCTTGAGCGACAAGCGCATCTCCAATTGTCTCCAGTCGTTGATCATTCGTCAACTGGTGTGGTTCTCACCTGTCCAATTTATTCACCTTCCCTATTGTGGCCAGGTGTCGAGATACTGTCATAGTAGCAACTCCTAAGTCTGTTGCAAGACCTCGAGTTGCTGTTTGTTGGGTTAGTTTCCACCGTGGCTCTTCATCCATCTTTCTCTAAAACGAATACGCATCTTCTTCGAGGCCCATTTTTCACATTCCTAAAACGAAATTTTTCAAACCATCGAGCACCTCTGTCGAATTATTCTTTTTACCTGCCTCGATTGCACGGGAGCCTCGGTTTAAAAAGTATTCGCAATATTTTTATTCTTTACCTATTTATTTAATGACTTTATTCGATAAATAAAGCAAAGCAAACGTATATCAAACAGTGCGAAAGGGCGAAGGTCAGCGAATAAGGTTGTTTTGCAACCTAACACAAACTCGTACAAAAAAATAAAGAAATAATAATAAAAAACGATGCAATAATCAAATAAAATTGGAGAGCACGGGAGCGTCATAAATATTATACAGCACAGTCGATATATTACTTTACGTTTACTTTATTAATCGCGGTCAATCTGCGACTGATCGAATATCGGCTCGTTCATGTGGTCGACCTAATAAATGGTTCGTTACCGTCACCTCTGACGTGCAATTTTTTTATGAATCGAAGTATCAATTTTTCTTTTCACACGTTGCGAGTTCTTCCGTGAGAGCGAAATTTTTACTTGCACGAGACCATTACTGTTCATCGACGATTCTTTTTCTTAGACGATTTCATTACGATACAATATTTTTTAACAAGAATTATAGCGTTTTATCTTCTACAATTAATTCGAGATTGGGAATAAAACAGCTTCATTTAATACGATGGCGTTATAACGCGAACGGTTTTATAGGTTAGGTTTCCACGGCTTTGCACGCGGATTTTCGCATTGCTGATCCCTCTCCCCCGATAAAAAGTATCGTGTTTCGAGGAAACACGGTTAAGCAGACGATGGCCTCGCGAGGAAGACCCGCGATCGCGCGCCAAATTGATTTCAATTGAATGGGAAATCGTGTTGTCGTTTCAGCGACAAAACGCGAGCCCGGCTTCCAACGGTCGAACGCTAGTGTCTTAAGCACGGTATTCCTTAAACTCTCAACGATACGTTGACCCGTTCTCAAGTGTCGAGTGTTCGCAACACGTTGCTTAATAGGATTTTCTTCTCAAAGGTTATTGCTTCCTGGGACAATAACAAGGTTAGTATCTTTCAACTATTACGTAAAACTAGTCGCGCGAAAACTTTGGCATTTGGCGTTTTGGCGCCAACGCGACGCCATTTAATCTATCACGATTTCGACTCCTAACCTAAGCAAATCCTGGCTAACTGCATGAAACACGGAACGGAAGTTTCGAAGTTATAAAAAGCATGGTTAATTTTTAGAGCCAAGCTACGGTGTTCGACTTCGTATCTTGTCGAACGTAGAAAAGAACAGCGAACGAAGGACAAACAAAAATAACACAATGTGAAACTTTCGTCCAGATCAGGTTACGCTACGCCGTCTGGTCGACGTTGCGTTTCATGGTGTGCCAGTAGCAGAAACGACTACCATTTACGTATCTAATCGAAAATGATTCGCAGCTGTCCAAGCATTGCTGTATCTTTGAAGCCATTAGCTCCAAGTTTGTTAAAACTTGATTATTCTTTTCGCTGAATTGTATCAACTACCAAAGTTCGTAGAGTTTACTTAAGCCCCCGTGTAGTTTATTCGAGTTTTTTAAGTAACGAACACTTCCATCGAGCGACAACGTCGTTTTAGCCGACGATCTTTCAAGTATTTTCAACATCGTGCTTCCGGAACTACGTTTTTCCAAACTATCGATGTCCTAACGCAAACTTTACGCTACGAAATTATCGAAGTTAAGCGGAACAAAGTTCGGGAAAAGTTAAAGTGTCCAAAGTTCAGCGAGTAAAATGTACTGTTTGTTGGAGCTAATTATATTATGGTACAGTTTAAGGCCGTGTGCTTGTAACGTTGACGCAAGCTGAAATATGGTCGACCATGGAACTGGTTAATGGATAACTTATTGTTAATTCGTTAATGACGGAAAAGATTTCACGAAACAGGGAAACGGAGAATGAATTTCCAAGAATGAAAAACAGGTAAAAGGGGATCGTGCGCTCGTCGTACATTAAAGTACGTGTACCTTCCGCGTCTTCGTGTCGTACAGTGGCTCTTCGTGTAATACGAAGACTTAAAAGTGGTCGTGGCTGTAATATTGGCCTTGTTTCCGATGTCTGCCTAGCCACGATCTTCCGTGAAATTCTTTCGTCGTCCGTTCGAGTAACGTATACCATCGGGGAAAGAGAAAAAAAAGGAGGCCTGCTGGCCATTATCGAAACGAAAATATCGACCGTCGAAAGAGATAACGTCGGTTATTTCGTTCCAACCTGGAAATTGATACAACTAGTTTGTTCCCTCTCCACATCGGCGTGTCGGGGTTCTTTTAATTATTTCGTACACGGTTACAAAAGCGAGATTTTAATTTGCATCAACCGCGGATCGCACGCAATTCCATGACGATATTAAATTCGCAAGCTGTATTTTAATTAAGCCACGGCGAATGATTTGCGTTTTTTCAATTTGGATGCTCGCGGTGCGTTTACCGTTTCGTGTGTTCGAATGTCATCCGTCCAGAGTACGGTTCTGTTAAGTCAACGACGAATTTTTTTTCAGAATTTTAAAAAACGACGAAACCAGCAAACGTTCGACGAGTATTAGTTTGTTGTAAATAAATCTTTGCGGCCGATCGAACGTCCTCGAGAAGATTGTTTCGCAATCAGTGCTTGAATTGTATTGGACCATTGAATGGGCTCGAGTATAGACGGGAAATATGCCAGGAAAAATATAAAATTCATAGTTTTCTGCGGAGGGAAGTGCATCGTCGCGCAAAACAAAAGATACCTGGAAATACAATTTCATGGAAAATCACTGGAAAAACACTCGACCGTGGCCGTCCAATGAAATCCTAATTATTTATTGAATTGGCCAAAAACTTCGCGTGGATTTTGACGATACTAGCTTTCAGGCGCTCTGAAATATTTACAACTAATTCCCGTTCAAATTTTCGATTATTTAAAAGCAAATATTTAAAATATAGACGGAACATCGATTCTTCACTATGCTATAATTAAAACTGTAACTTGATATTTACCCGTAACGAAAAAGCTAGAAAAAGTATTTAATGAAGGCACGTGTTACCAAGAATACAATTCCACATAAAACAGGCCACGGTGATAATCGAATTTGCTGTGAAGATTTCATTATCCAATATATCCTTTCCCTATCATTAGAATGACAAATAAATATTTTCAGGTTAACGAATGTAAGTTGACGTAATGCTTTTTCTAAACCTAACCTCAAAAGTATCCTGCCTGGAAGCTCGAATTACCGTACAACTTTCGACATTGGCTTTATCGAGACTTCAGGGAAGAAAAACAAGTAATGTTCGCCAGCGGCGTCATCGGGGATAAACTTTTTCGGATAATATTTTCGCCGTGTCGTCGATAAAACAATTCCTGTCCGCGTCGGTGTCATTACAGGGAAATTGGGTTGCGTAGTTTCGCCTGGCGTTGCGTGGGTGGAGCGCCCTCTCTCCTCCACTTCCGTTTTATATTGTTCCCCTGCTCTGTTTCCTTCTCGACCCTCTCTTACGCTCGTTTCCGGTCGCGTTTCGCGGGCTTGAAAGTTGGCACAATCCACCTTGACACCGCTCTTCGCGTGTAGCGGTCAGGGGAAATTAGGTTCCCTAATTGTTGCATTACGCGGACACGGGGGTGCAATAACGAAAGGCTGCAGCTGAGCCCGTGGCATTAAATTTCGACGAAACAGATGCCGCGCTTCCGGTTGCTGCATCTTTTTCGTCGCTGGGCCAGTTTGCCTCTGCTTTGCGATAAACAGCAGTTCTTTCGACTCGTTCGTGCTTGGAATTATGAAAAACAGTATACAAAGTTGCTCTTTTTTTTTTAAATGTAAAAACTGTTCGCCGGAAAAGCTACAAAAATTAATTCACGAGACGTTCGAAAAATTAAATTACAAACTTCCACGAGGTTACGAAAAATATGTACTGCGACAAAATACTAGATTGCCTCAAAACGTGACGCGTTTACGAATAAATAAATTTAAAAAATAATCGAGCTACCGCGGATCTCGTGTTTCGAAGTATGTACTTTATTAAAGGGAATGAACGCTACGCTTTTACCAGACTGTTAATAACAATATTAATGAATTAAAGTGAAAGTGTCGAGACCTAGGAGCTTTTTACGTTAACGCGCTCGTTCTCCCGAAAATGGTCGTTAAAAAGGCTGCTTTCCGTGGAGACGAAAAAAAGAAAAAAGAGAAAAAAAAGATGCCGGCAATATATCCTGGCCGACGCATTTTTAAGCTGGGAATGGCCACGTTGGCCCGCCACACGTTTATTCTGGCCCGTGGACCGCAATGTTCGTCGCGTTTTGTTTCGTTATTTTTCTACCATCGCGTTTTTACTTATTATACAAGATATGAATGGTAAAAATATCCTTAGCAGCTTTTTTTTTCACCCCCCTGTTGCCACGGCTTGGGATACAAGGATTTCGCTGCGGTCGTACTCGTTTTGCGAACACCGTTGCTACTTGTCCCCCACGAGAGCTTTATACTCTGCATTTTCTTCTACTTTCTAAATAAATTTCTGCAACTCACAGAAACACGTACGTTGCTGATATTAAATATATATCGTATGTATGTACATCATTAAGACAACCATAGATCCTAAATAGCCTGCAATTTGCAGTTGATTTTTATAATAAAATAACTAAATACAGGGTGTTCTACCATCCCTGTAATCATGTAAGGACAAAATATACCGACGCGAACATTTTCTTCGATCATTCGTAACTGGAAAACAAAGTTCTTGCATGCATTTCCGAAACACCCCGCAATATTCTATGGAAGGGGGTATCCGCAAGAATCTCTGCAGTACTCTTTCGCCTTCAAAGTTTCATATCCATCTAATCACGACAGAATATACTGCGGTTTTGAAAGTTCAGGGATGAGCGAATAGTTTCTTGCAGTTTTCGTGAACTTTCGCGCGCCGATTTTCGCGGCGTATGAAATTAAAGTTGGCGGGCCACAAGACTTTTCACCGGGGGCTCGTTAATGTATCGGAAAGAATTTAATCGCAGGGGTCGGGCAGACGACGCTAAATTATATCAAAGCCCTTCGGTTGCAACGGGCCGTGAAAAGCACATTCCATGATTCGTTGAGTCAGAATGCAAAAAGAAAAAAAACAAAAAAAAAAAGAGCGACGCGCATCGACAATATCGGTGACCCCTTTCGCGAGGGCTCGTGCATCGACCGAGGTAAACTGTTTTCCTGTGAAGCAATTTTGGCGTCGAATCAGCGTGATTCGGAAAAGCCTGGGCGCTGTTTAAACTGCCGCACCGCGAATCGTCTATTTTGTAACGTTTCAGGCCGAAACTTTTTTCCCTCGGACGATCGTGTTGTCGCGTCCTTTTTCCCCCCTCTATCTACCGTTCGATCGAAAAGTTTTCGCGCGACAGACAAGCCGAGAGCGATTGTCAAACTTGGGCGTAAATTGTTTGATATTGTTGCGTGTTAAAAACAGACGTTTGCGTTCGTCGAACACCCCGCGCTTTCCAAGCGAGCTCGATATCAACAAGTGTAGAGACCATCTTCGATACTACTCGAATACCGGTTCGTTTAAAGCGAATAAAATATCAATCGAGAAACGATATTAGCTCGTACACTAAATATCAACACTACGCGTGACGTAATGATAAGGAAAAAGGTGCAATAGCGTTGATAAAATCAACGCTTTAATTCCATTCCCGTGAATTTCGCTTATTCCGCCTAAATAGACAAACTTCTGCGGAGAAAATTGATTCGCAAAGCCGCTCGTTTCATAATTACAACTTCTTCCGCTCTTGGGGCCGAAGAGGAAGCGCGGCCACGGCTCGGTGGAATTGCAAATTCGTTCGTTAGTCGATTTTCTTTTATTCATCGAGCATAACTAATTTCCCGGCAAGTTAACCGTCGCAGTTTCCGCGAGCCGATCGCGACTATGGCGCCGCTCACCGGCAACCGCGAGAATCTGTTTTCCATTAGCTCGACGTGCTTGTCTGCGTTCCCGTAGTTCGACGGCGCAGTTAACACGCGTGTAATCAAACGCACGAACAAATGACCGGCGTTAATCGGGCTCA